TCTGGAAGCTTGTGTTTGTGATTTAGAGAAGAAAAATTGAAGGAAAAAAAAAGATTTCCAAGTTGGTAGAATTTGGTTAAATCACCCCCAAGATTTTATTCAACCAAAATCTAGAAGCTTGTGTTTGTGATTTAGAGAAGGAAAATTGTAAAAAATGAATATGGGAAAAATGATTTCCCATGACAAAGGACTTATATTTAGAGAAGGAATATATGCATTTATCAAATAATGAAATAATTTATTATTAATTAATTATATTTGAACAATGATGCTCAAACGTGCTAAAAGCGTTGTGCAACTGCAAACCTATTAACCACTCAATCAATAGGATAGAGTGGGAAGAGACTTATAAACAAACTTTCTATTAATACTCCTTCCAATATGTTATTTCTCATTCTTGACTAGGGGTGGCTAGACGGGATTAAAAACCGGAAACCAGACCGTATAACCCGGACCGAGACCGGACCGGGACCGGATAGTAAACAATGCAATCCAATCTTTGGGCTTAGATGTGAGGTAAAAAACCGGATAAGAGAGCTCAACACCCAAAACTTAAGGGTAATTTGCATAAACGGTCACAAACCTTTGCACTTAGTACAAAACTTAACCAACTCCTCACCCTTTAAGGCATTAGGCCACTCAAATCCCACAATCTCAATGTAAAATCAAGACCGAATTGGGACCGGACCGGATCAAACCGGACCGGATCAAGACCGGACTGTATCCAATCCAATCTTCGGTCCTTATATTTTCAAAAAGACCGGACTGGACCAGATCAATTTGGGCCAATTTAACCGGACCGGACCGTATAGCCACCCCTATTCTTGACTATTTCTAACAGAAGAAATTGCAACTAGAACTAATGAACTACTCTTATATTCCACTACTACTAACAAGTAGTGATGGGAATGGGCGGTTGCGCGACCGGTATACCTCAATATTCATACCGGCCCTACACCAAGTATGAGTGAAAATCATATAATATATGCGCACTAGTATGTGCCGGGACAGATTGACCCATTATTACATTAAAAAAACCAATTCTGAATTACATTTGTCGAAAAAAAAATAAGTTTTTCTCAATAAATTAATATATTTTTAAAATGCAGTCTGCAAACTAATGATGCCCTAGTATGGGTCCGGTCCTATGTTGTTTTTATGGTGATCACCTCTCCTCAATGACATAATTAGGGTTAGAGGTGGCTATACGGTTCGGTCCGGTTAAATTGGCCAAAATTGATCTGGTCCTGATTCGGTCTTTTCGAGAATATAAGGACCAAAAATTGAATTGGATACAGTCTGGTCTTGAACCGGTCCAGTCCCAATTCGGTCTTGGTTTTAGATTGAGCTTGTGGGGATTTTAGTGACCTGAGGGGGGATTTGAGTGTCCACTACAAAAAAGATGAGGTTTGGGGATGACAAAAGTCGTCCCCGGAAATAGGAAAAATCGTCCCCATAGTTCTGGGGGACAACTTAGTCGTCCCCAATGTGTGGTTCCCTATACTCTTGTCCTCTATTCTTTTGGAGACGACAAAAAATTAGGTCGTCCCCAATATTAGGGACGACAGTCGTCCCCATTACTCCGAGTCGTCATCTCTTTTTTGTTCCATAAAAGACAACAAGTCGTCCCTATAACCAAAACTTTAGTGACAATAATTTGTCCCCTTTTCTTTTTATAGGAGCCAGATGTCATCCTCACATGTGTCAAATTGGAATAAGTAAATCGTCCGCAAAAAATTTATTTAAGGACAAAGAGTGGTCCCTTATACGATATCTTTGGAGACAACTGGTTGTCATTTCTATGAGTTTTAATGATGAATAATTGTCCCTTAAGTTATAGATTGGCACGAAAAACCAAACCAAAACTAGATTGGACCAATTGGAGACCAAATTGATCTGATCGACAATAGAATCCATTAGAATAACAAACATCAAACATACAACGATTAAATTGTTTGATTATTTTACTTCCAATTTACAAATAGAACTAGAAACACCATGACACAAAAATCACCACTACAAACATGTTGTCGTAGCATTGTTTTGTCATTCTGCATCGCCGCCGCTTCGTCTAAACGCCGCCACTACGTACCCACCACAAGTAACACTCCAGCGTACGTGACACTTGCAATGTCGGCAAATCACTACTGACTTCTTCATAATCGTCGAGTCTACAAGAGAAATCAAAAGAGATAATGTCGAAAAAGGATTGATCTAAAGTTAATATGGAATTAAACACCAAAAACCGGGAAAAGGAACCACTAATCTGAATCCTACCATTGTTGGACGACCCTACTGAAAGAGGAGAAGGAAGCGCCAGACTGCCGGTGGACAAGGGATAGAGAAGTGCCAGTGTCAAGCAGAAAAAGAAGACTCATCCGTATACAGGAGGCGAAGACTGAAATATTGAGCTAGGGTTTCTATTGGTACTTAAAGATGAATGGACGCTTGAGATTAAGATCTATGCAAATGAACCGTTGAGATTAATTGAAGAGTTTTCGATCTGCTTTCTTACTTTGTTTTCCTTTTATTATTGGCAACTTATGCACTTCGTTGAGCTCTTGAAATGCAAAGAGTAAATCTACAAAATCCCGTCCCCAAAACCAATTACATATTCGATAGTTTTTAACTTATGCACTTCGTTGAATAATAATAGATTTAAAAAATATCCTTCAAATTAATATAACCAGCAATCTTTTTAGTTGATAAAGGAGAATCCCACGCAATCTTCTCCTCTTCAGAAACTTATATTTTTGGGGACAACAAAGATAATTGTAATTTTAATTAAAAATTGTTTTCTTCTTTTATGGGGACAATTTTATACCGTTGTCCCTTATGCAACTTAAAATTATATTTCCTGAGACAAACTTCTATAGTCGTCTCCTAATTCTTGTCCCCAATATTTCTCAATTTTGTAGTGGTCATAAGACCTGAAAGGGTGAGGAGGTTAAATTTTGAGTGTTGGGATCTCTCAGTGGCAGACCCAGAAATTTTTCATAGGGATGTTCTCTTTTAGAAATAAATTAAATAAAAATAAATAATAATTAATAAAAATAAAATCGGAAATTTGAAAATACCTTACTCGTACAGGTTAAAAAATTCCATGATTTGTTTTCATATTCGGAAATAATTTTAGAATACACTTGGTGTTTATAGTGTTAAAAAAAATTGTCTCTATATACCCTACTAGACAATCATTCACGAACTTATAGCATATTCGATTTGTAAACTTGTTCTTGATGTAACCAAAAGCTGAAAGACTCTTTCAACACTTGCCGTATTAAGGGTAGTTTGATATTAGTTTAATTGTTAGGTTTTAAAATAATTAGAGATAGGAAATGACATTTTACTATTACATTTTTCAAAATCGAACAACAAATGAGTTGTAGGTCAACGAAAATTAAGTTTATTAATAAGAATAGTGTTCTAGATTTGAATTACCCAATCTACCACTTATATTCCTATACACAAATGACAGTAGGATAATCATGTTTTCAAATTTCGGGGGTGTCCCTCACTATCAATTATATATTTATTTTTGTTGTTCATACGTAAATTACCACCGGGGTTGGATAATCGTATTCCCAAAATTTAGGGGTGCCCGGGGACACCCCTAAAACCCCCTGGGTCCGCCCCTGGGCTCTCTTAACTGGTCTTTATCCGGTTTTCGATCCGGTCCCAAACGTTTTTTTTTACCTCAAATCTAGGCCCGAAAATTGGATTGTATTGTTTGCTATCTGGTCCCGATCCGATCTTGGTCCACGTTATACGGTCCGCTTTCGGATAAAACCAAAAAGTCCGGACCAAATAGTCAGAGCTAGACATAATAACACTTATCTATTCGGCCCTTTTGCATTCTACTTCTTTCTGTAGCGGTACCTTTGGCTTTCTTAAAGCCTTCATCTTTTCATCTAATTACCTAGTAATAATCTAATGCTATAACTCAATCTTATAAACAAACTTATGAATCAGTCTTTTCTTCAATACAAAATATACTATATATATATATGCTCTTTATGTTGCCAAATGGATGGCAGTAAAGAAAGATATGCATATTGGGGAGTGAGTGGGAGCATCTGTATAAAATGGGATTCCCGGCCCATGCATGCAAAGCAAACACAAAATCGACAGCAATTAGCTACCTAAGTCCCACCACCATATCCATGCAACTTAATCAGCCCATGCAAATGCAGAATTACAATGGAGAACTGGCTGCCAATGCCATTAATTATCTTTAATATTTAGGGAAAGCCGTGTGGTACAGCTTTATGCTTTCTTCCTCCTTTCCCCCATCCCTTTAAGAATATATTCGCCATGCTTGCATGCATGGTGAAGAAGTCAAGGCATAAGAGTGGCCGAAACGAACCAAAGGTGCGGATGACCTGCCGATTTGGGCAACTATGGACCAATTCCAAATGGCGGGTTGGCGGAATAATCATGCTGAGAAATGAATGTGTAAACTACACGACACGGCTTTGCCTTTTCGACAACGTGTCACAAGTCAACTCGAAAGAAAGAAGAACAAGAACAAGAAACGATGCTTGATTCTTGTTTGCAAGTTCATGCTTGTTACGGAAACCGGCCACTAGATAACCGTCATCTTCTTCTCGGATACAATCTCCGATACGGTTTTATAGTCCAAGGTTATTTGTTAAGAAAACTCATTTTGCAGTATAAACACAAAATACTCTACTATTGAACCTTATTTAATGGTTGAATCCGGATTAATACACTATTTAAACACAAAATACTATACTATTGACTTGTCCAGTACAAGTTCCGATACAATTTTATAATTCCTTAAAGAAATGTATGAATTTTTCGAGATGAGCAAAGCAGTAGTTATTGAGTTCCTGTAAAATTGATCATTATGCATGTTTTCCGTTTTCGGACGGGACAGACATTCCTGATGGTGATGGTGATTTGCCATCAGATGATTAAAATGATTGATTCTTGACAATGTTTTATAGAAATGTCAATCATCTCAATACTCCCAATCAATCATATGTCCATTATTGCCATATTGACAGGGATGGGTTAGGAAAATATATCAGACTGTTTGAAAACTCGTAGACCAAATCGTATTGCACAGTTTGGCATAGATTGTAGACCGTTGAGAATGGTTTCGTCTAGTCCATGATCTGTATTATAGGATGCGTGAATTTTTTGGTCTGTTTTGATCTAGATCGTGATTTATCGGACCTAACACACTTTCCATTTCGTGCTAGCAGCTCACTCAGCCACTCTCTCAACTTTTCAACAATACCCAAGTCTCATCCCTAATTTTTTTAATCTCGTATCCTTCTTCATTCATAAACAACACTCCACCATATAGTTTAGACAATTGTGTCTCTGTATGACATTATATTAACGTTCTAAATGAAATAATAAACGGAATAATGTAAGATATATTTGATATTAGAATATAGACAATATAAAAAAAATAAAAATTGAAATCAAATAAATTTGAATAGAAATAGCTATTATGACGTTAGTGGAAAACATTTTTTCCTCAGTTATTGGTTCAATTTTTCGTGTGGTTGACTAAACAAACTGTTCATTTTTTGCTCAATGTGGTATGCATGGTCCAAGCAGTACTAGACCAGATTGTAAATCCATGATCTAATATGGACTGTGTATATTGCGCTTGTCCCTGGTCTATACTCCAGCTTCTTGGTTTTGACCATAGAAGAGTAAAACCGTCAATTATTTTTAAGTTTTAAAGCCCGATTTTAGCTACTCTTGTAAATGAAAAGCGCGATTCCATGTAAAAGCATTTAGGTGACATAGAAGCGCAAAGCGTAAAAAGCGATTTTGACTAAACCGTAGGTATGATTCGGTCTGGATTGGACAACACCGTTTTCCCAGTCCTATTGACGGGACAGGATGAGCAGATCATCAAATTAATCCAGATCCAACCCTAGATTGAGTCCTATCAAATAGTTTAGGATTCATACCCTATTTTGACCTGAAGTTTGGCGTAAGTGACATTTTTGGCCGGAACTTTTAAATAACACACTTATGGGCATATGGCCAACTTTTCAAATAAATGAACAGATTTGGCGAATTTTTTTATTGAAACATTAAAATTGACGATCAACTATTTTCTCCGTTAGTGACTCGACATTCTATGCTGACTGCTGACTAGGATAGTACACGTATAAAAACAAAAAACAAAAAAAGATAAAGAATAAGGGAGGAGCATATCATCAAATTGATCCACATCCAACCCTGTTATTGAGTCCTATCAAATAATTTATCAGTTCTTCATTCAAGATGATATAGGGTTGGATCTGGATTAAGTTTGGATATGGGCCGAGGTGCCGCACCACCACCAGCCTATGCCCCATAATCGTCGGCCTTGAGCCTGTACAATTAACGGACTGCTATCTTACTCATGCCAGGCCTCCATTCTGAACCCACACTCAACCCAGCCCAATCTAGCCAAGCCCGAGCCCAATTAAAGCATTTGTTAATTCAAGGAAAGTCAGGAGTTACAAGAGAAGGGGTGGTGGGACAGATCACACTGGATTACAAACCCATCTGTAATCTAAGCAGAGCAGCTCATCATCTTCAACAGCAGCAAGCTGCAGCATCCTATCGAAATTCAACAAACCCATCCCTTGACAGCCAATCCATTCACAACAAATAGCCAAATCCTAATCAAATTCAAAATCAAGACCTAACCCATCTTCCCTTCCCCTCCCGCTATCCCGAATTACTTACCAATCTCCTTTTTTCCTGCTTCCCCCTCCGCTGGTCTTCAATGGAGACTCTGACTTCTCTCTGTGCGAGCCAGACTCTTGTTTCCCACACAGCCCGCCCGATGCCCATTTTTGCCGCAGGCAGCTCCGTCTCCGCAAATGGCTACGCTTACTCTCTCAATTCTCGAGCTTTCCTTACGAGGAAGCAGAGGATGAGCATCATTAAGGCCTCTGTCGCCGTGGAGCAGCAGACCGAGAAGCCCAAGGTTGCCCTCGTCAGAATTGGCACCAGGGGAAGGTGATTACTCTTCAATTCCTTTTCCTGTTAGTACACTCTTCGATTCTGATCTTGCCATCGTATAATGTCGGTTTGTTGCCCTTGTTATTGTTGCCCATTCCGAGAATTACGAAATGGGGTTTTGGAGGCTGTGAAGGTCTTAGGTTGGCTTGCTTGATTATGATATATCTACAGATTTCTTCTTGTGGAGAACTCTTGGAATTCCTGGATATTGGTTGTAGTTTAGGAATCAGTGTGCTGAATGCTTTGAGTTACTAGTAGCTGCCAATGCTACTAGAATTTCTGCTCAATTTGATGTTATTGGTTTCAAGGAAAGCCCGCTGGCACTAGCTCAGGCTCATGAGACCAGGGAGAAACTCATGGCGGCACATTCTGAGCTAGCTGAGGAAGGTGCTATCGAGATTGTGATCATAAAGACCACAGGAGATAAGATCCTCAGTCAGCCGCTTGCCGATATTGGAGGGAAAGGGTTGTTTACCAAGGAAATTGACGAGGCGCTGATCAACGGTGACATTGACATTGCGGTACACTCCATGAAAGATGTTCCTACCTATTTACCTGAACAGACAATCCTGCCTTGTAACATGGAGCGAGAAGATGTTAGAGATGCATTCATCTCGTTGAATGCATCTTCACTGGCAGATCTCGCTGCTGGGAGCATAATTGGCACGGCTTCCCTCAGGAGAAAATCGCAGATACTCCACCGGTATCCCTCGCTTAAGGTAAGCATGTTCTAGAATATGTATTGGATTATTGTTGCAAATTTGTGTGGGAAGTTAGAGCTCCATAACAGCTTCCTCATTTAGTTCATTTAGTATCCTCTACTCTGCTTAGTGAGCCATGTCTAGCTCTGAATACACTAGAAATATATACTAAGGCCACCTGGTTCCCTTGGGGAATTAGTAAATCTCCTTGGACCTTGTTTCCATGTGGTGACACCTTGCTCATGAATTAGAATGGTTACTGGATATCCTTCGTTGTGAAATGGTTCAGTTCAAATAGAGTGAGAACTTGTATGACTTCATTTTCTACTGGGTTATGCTTGAAATATCCTCACAGGTTTGTTGGTTAATATGTGGTATCTTTCTTCTGAGTTCTGACATGCCTTTGATAATTTCCTAATTGCAGGTGGTCGAAAACTTCCGTGGAAATGTGCAGACGAGGTTGCGAAAACTGAATGAGGGAGTAGTGCACGCAACGTTGTTAGCATTAGCTGGCCTAAGACGTTTGAACATGACAGAGAACGTGACAGCCACTCTGTCAATCGAAGACATGCTCCCAGCGGTTGCTCAAGGAGCAATTGGAATCGCCTGCAGAACCAATGATGATAAAATGGTAAGGTGGGAGACTAATGCCGAATTTCAAATGAACCCTACCAGGGGACACCAATTCGTTTGATTAACTTGATTGACAATGCCTGCAACCATTTGATTCACAGGCCGAGTACCTAGCTTCACTGAACCATGAAGAAACCAGGCTGGCAGTTACCTGTGAGAGGGCCTTCCTGGAAACTCTGGATGGGTCTTGCCGCACTCCTATTGCTGGATATGCAAGCAGAGATGAGAATGGTGATTGCTTGTTCAAGGGACTGGTTGCTTCTCCAGACGGGACCCGTGGTGTGTGCATTTTTCATTCCATTCCATTCATATAGACTATGCTTGCTTCTCTCTCTTTTTCCCAATGAATCCCTGCTGTGTTCTGATGATAGAGCATGAATCGTTTTGAATGTTCACAGTGCTAGAGACTTCCAGGAAAGGTCGGTATGCTCTCGATGATATGATATTGATGGGTAAGGATGCTGGGAAGGAATTGCTTTCTAGGGCAGGTCCTGGATTCTTCAATTCATGAACCAAACGACAGCAAGTTGAGAAAAGAGAGCAGAAGCGAGAAGGCTAGTGTAGGTAAGTTGGAAATTTTTTTTTGGCTAGGATGCAGGGCTCTGAGTGCGATTTGTTTCATTTGCAACATGGAACATGAAATTGTTTGTTTGTAACGGTTTGCAGGTAGAAATGTAAGTTTTCTGTAAACTTAATATCTAGTCTTTATTTGCTAATAGCAATAAAACCCATGGCCGCGGGTATCCGACCGCCCCCGACCCAGTAAATGCGGGGAATCCCCGTTTTGACCGGGTATGGGGCGGGTATGGGTAAAACCCGCAAAAAGTTTGATGGGTATGGGGCGGGTATGGTTTTGACCTCCCCCACCCCATACTCATACCCATACCCGCCCCACCAAGAGAATTTCTTCACATATAAAAAAATATGTGGATGAAATTGTAATCTATCAATGGTGATGAGGATAACTCAATGAAATAAATAGTAGAAATGCAATTGAGTGATCATTTTAATCAAAATCTAATTCATTTCCCTCAATTCTCCTTTCACTCTTTCACTTTTCCCCTTGTCTACAAGATTATGTTAGTTAATTATTACTTAGTAGATGTATAAGAGTTAGAAGATAATAATTTGAAAAATATTATATTCTATATTATGTATTAATGGATGTTTTAGGATCATATACTTTGAACCGTATTAAGAAAATGATCGTGTTTTGTTGACTTCATGATATAATAGGTTTGTTTAGAGTAATAATTAAAAATTTTCTTGTAAATTTTAAGTATAATAATATTGGATGTATGGGTACGGGTATTACCCATGGCAGTGGCGGACCCAGAAATTTTCCATAGGGGTGTCCTCTTTTAAAAAATAAATTAAATAAAAATAAAATCATAAATATGAAAATACCTTACTCGTACAGGTTAAAAAAGTCCATGATGCGTTTTCATATTCGAAAATAATTGTAGAATACACTTGGTGTTTATAGTGTTAAAAAAATTCTCTATATACCCTACTAGACAATCATTCAGGAACTTATCGCATATTCGATTTGTAAACTTATTCTTGATGTAACCCAAAGCTGAAAGACTCTTTCAACACTTGTCGTACAATCATAAAATCAATACAAATTAAGGGTAGATTGAAATTAGTTTAATTGTTAGGTTTTTAAAATAATTAGAGATAGGGAATGACTTTTTACTATTACACATTGTTCAAAATCGAACAACAAATGAGTTGTAGTTAACGGAAATTAAGTTTATTAATAAAAAATAGTGTTCTAGATTTGAATTACCCAACCTACCATTTATATTTTTATACACAAATGATAGTAGGATAATCATTTTTTCAAATTTTAGGGGTGTCCCTCACTATCAATTATATTTTTTTGTCTAGACGTAAATTACCATCGGAAGTTGGATAATCATTTTCCCAAAATTTAGGGGTGTCCGGGGACACCCTTGAAACCCCCTGGGTCCGTCACTGACCCATGGGTACCCGAAACCCACGGTTATGGGGATGGGTTTGCAAAACATTCCCCGCATGGGTATGGGGCGGGTATGGATTTGAATATTTGAAGATGAGGATGGGGATGGTTTAGACAAACCCGCCCCATTGCCATGCATTCACCATCGCATATAAATTTATTAATACCGATACTGATTTCCATTAATTAATCATGAAATGAATTCTGCCCTAAATGCAGTAGATACATAAAAAATAAGAAAACCGATCGCAACAACAATCCTAATCGAATCCCAATAAACAAATATACGAATGAGTACTATATAGCATTTTTAGGTTGAACGCCAAGGGAAAGCGGGCATTTTCTTGTCTCCCAAGAAACGCTTGATCAGCACCAGAGCCTGCATCGGCTTGAAAGTAGGAACCTGGTGACCCGCTCCTCTTATCGTCACGAACGTCAGCCCGTCGTACTCAATCGTCCATCCTCCGACCTGCCGCCGGAAGTACCACGGAGCCCACTCTTTCGTAGTGTTCAGACCAAGCTTGTTCAGCGTCAACCGTGTAGACGTCACCGGAATCCTCCCGTCGGTATCCCCACTGCACCACAAATTACAATGATAAAAATGAGGTGAGAAAACCAGGCTTGAGTTCCGGGACAAAACCCTAACCTACAAAACCCGAGTCGTATTATCATGTCACGATACATTGATATCACATAACGATACATGCAGGTCAAAATTTTGTACCTATCCGCGTGCTCTCGAGAAAACATATAGTACTATATAGCTTGTTAAGAAATAATTAATTACCTGTAGACCCAGACCCTGACGCCGCCGGCGACGAGCTTCTTAATCACCGGGAGAACGGAGTGTGGAGCATCGTGCCAAGATTGGATGGTGTCGCTGCAGTGTGTCCACGGGTAGGGGATCCTCCCGCTCACGTTAGCATGGAGGGCTTCCTGCACGTCTTTTCTGTTAAAGTACGCCTCCGTCACCGTAGAGATGCACGGGTCGTACCCCGCGGCCGGCTCCTTGTGCCACGTGGCCGGGAATTTGGACAAGGAACGAGGGCCGCGAGCGAGAGGACGTTTCGTGGCGGCGGAGAAGGTGGTGCCGTTGAAGCACCGGGGAGCGAACAGGCTGTACATGTCGATGAGGTTGTAGACGTTGAAGTACAGCTCGAGCGCGTCGTCGCAGGCCGACGAGGTTCCCTCGACGTCGAAGTTGCATGCATGCTTGATCTTGTCGTAGACTTGGTCGGAGATGACGGCGTGGTCCCACGCGTAGTCCACCATCCCCTTTTGGTCCGTCGCGTCGTCCATCAGAGCGTTCCCTATCTGATGAAAATAAATCCCACTTGAATCAAAGCAGTCAAAATTACATTTTAAAAAGGTTTAAAGATTACGTTGTTATATTTTTTTTAGGTCATTTTCATCTAAATCTTACGGTTTAAAAGGTTACGATTTTGAACTTTTATATCACGAAAACACTAGAAAGAGGGAGAGTGTTGCTTGCTTACGATGAAACCCTTGAAGTTGATGTGGTCGCCCTTGGAGGCGTTCTTGTTGCCGTCGAACACAGCCTCCGCCAGCTGCGGGACGTAGTGTCCGGCGTAGCTTTCGCCGGCGATGAAAAAGTCGTGAGAGCGGAACTGAGGGAATCTCTTGAACCAGTTGAGGAGGAACGTGTGGGCGTCACTGGCTGCCATTGCGTCGCCGAGTTGAGTGAAGTCTTGGGAAGTGTTGGTGTAGGAAAATCCAACCCCGATGGGAGATTCAAGGAACAACATGTTCGCAGCTGTACGGTACGTTCAAAATCAATTCACCAAAATGCTAAATTAAGCCAGCTATATATATACAGCATGATCTGTGAAAGTAAGTACCTTTGTTCCAAGAGTGACGGTTGAAGGTGACCTCTGGTTTGCCCCTCTTGGGGAAGAAAGGCCCCAACTCTTCAGCTTCCCCGTAACCTATCGACGAGCACCCTGGACCTGCGAGCACCGACCGCATTGTCCACCTTAGTTTTAAGGATATCAAAGAATGTCCCATGGAATACGTGTTGGAAATGAATGAATAGCTTTGAAAAACTACCAATTTGATAGTTTTGTTTGGTGAAATGTGCATAAAGATATGAGTCTCCGAAAATACCTCTTGGGGTGACCCACAACAGTAACATAGTCAAAGAATTACAGAGTAACTAGTGGAAACCACAACAGAGAATTATGTTACGTACGTCGTAGTCAATTTCGTTTACGGTACGTATTTACGCAAGTGTAAAAATAGCTGTCTATGCAATGATGGACTTTTCTGCTAGTTTACAGGACGTCATGATCACATGGGGCATAAACATAGCCTTGCCTTCAAGGAATCCGATTAAGAATGAATTAGTGACCACTATAATCCAATTAGTGTATTTTACTAGCCCTCTTCATTGTGAATAGGAATATCAGTTCGGGTCGGTTCGAGTAACCGAAACCCAAAAAAATCCGAAAACCTGAAACCAAAAACCACTAAAACCAAAAACCAAAAAAATTCCTTATCGGGTTCGGGTTCGGTTAAAGCAAAACCGAAAATCCGAACGCCTAAGAATACGGGTTGAGTTCTATTCATAGGAGGTTTTTAGCCGGAACCCGAAAAACCGATAAACAAAACCAAACCCGAACCCAAAAAACTGAAAAATATATATAATCGGGTCGGTTTCGGGTAAACCCGAATGGACCACCCTAATTGTGAATCATTAGTCCAATTATCTGTAAATTCACATCTCAGCCACAGGCAGAGTAATTAATACTGATGTGCACAACCACTTATCCATCATATTTGTGACCCGACGATTATAATGTGCATAGACACGACATATCAAGCAAAATATCTGAAATTCCAGGGAAACGGTATGGCACGTCATAGTCAATCACACATCAGCCTTCACAACGTGCATTGATGTATAATAAGGTAGAGTCTACCTCAATCCATATATCTAGATAGATATAGTAACAGCGAATTATATTACCGGAATGGAATAAATAAATACATAAAAACGTTAAATAAATAAATAAATGGTACCTCCATTGAGCCAGAGGAGGAGGGGCTTGTCCTGAGGGTTTTCGGTGGCTTCAAAGAACCAATAGAACAGCGCTCTCCCGTGGCTTTCGTCCACCGTCACGTAGCCGGCGTACTGCTTGAAGCTCACTTCCGGCTGCCCCGGCAGCCTCTTCACCAGGTCTGCTTCCTGCTGTTCCACATCGCCGGCGGCCGAAACAGCCACCAAGAGAAAACCCAGAAGAAGAAGAAGAAGAGGAAGGGAAACAGTACTGGTACGGGAAGAAGACACCAAACCCATTTTTGTATGTGTCAAATAACAATTTCTATACAGTAATCGGCCGGCCGGCCGGCGCCCGTGAACTATGTATATATAATGGCGTGGCGGCCGATCGAATAAGAAAATATGGAACCGAATATGGGAAGCCAAGTTATATAAGGAGAGGAGGAGTAGGAGACAGATAAGAGACTATGATGCTAGGCTGGAATAGGCTACTGGCCGGCTGGCTGGTTTTATTCCCTCATAACAACCAAATATTTATTCAATAACAGTTTCCGGATGTACGTACCCCTAAAATAATAATTAATTCACTTTTGCTACCATATATCTCTTGATAATAAAAAAATTAAAAAAAAAAGTTGTTAGTGTATCCAATCCAACGATTCAGCCAGATACTTACCCTTAATTATTATTATTATCAGGATAATAATTCCAAATGATTCGTTTTTCATTATCATGAATATTCACAAATTTCCATATGTGAATTGGTTCGTTCATATTTGGAGTTATCTTATTAAGAAATAGAAATGTATAGGTGTGTCAGGATCATGGTTGTCAAACCCGAGTTAATCCGTATTACATGATTTGACAGGTGGTATGAGAATTAATGGTAGGATGGAGTTCAACCAATTTAACCGAGTTTCAATAGAATGTGCGAGAGAAACCTGTTATACATACCAAATAAATTATGTATAAATTTGACATGTTTTTAAAACATTTGCACTTATCAACCCTCATCTTCAACCCCGATCAAACGAACTGGTTTTGATTTGTTCGACCCGATTTTGATTGGTTTAATTTGATTTTGACTCTTTTCATAGGCTGTTCAATCGGAGAGCGTATTCCAACAGTTTGGATGATCGGTTACGATTGAACCAAGTTGAACCGGCAGCCGGATACTGGTTTGAAAACCCTATTTAGAATTGAAAAAGAAAGAAAATACAGAAGTGGCATAATTTCTTATCATGGACATTCAGTAATTTCCATCTGTGAATTATCATTCATTCAGATTTGGAGTTATCTTATTGTGAAACAAAAATGTATAGGTTTAGGATGGAAAAAGGAAGAATCTAAATGTAAACATAGAAGTCGGATTATTATTTCTAGGGAAAGGAATCTCGATGGGAAGATTTGTGCGGGCCGGGCCGGGCCGAGCGGGTGGGTCAACGTACGTATCTATCATTATCAGAATTCAGAGATGCGCTCGTGGGGTTTGGCTGTAATTATATTGTTTGGGATTATTTGCTTCCGGTGGAGATAAAGGGGGAACATTTGTGTCGAACGAAACAACGACCAACCCGCCGGCCGGCAGGGATGGTGGGATTCTCCGAATCTCCCGTTTACTACTACTACTACTACTTCTTAATTTGCCTCCGCCGGAACTGCAACGATCAGTCTAGTTGCATTGGACACTTGGTGAGAGTCAATTGCTTCGAAACCAAACTTTTGACCCAATAGAAAATGAACTCTTTAATCCTCTCAAGATCCAATAAGTTTGTTTCAAGTCTAAGGAAGCTGCTGCTATAGGTAAGCTCTCGCCGGATAACCTTTTCAATGTTCTCTTGTCTGCCCTTCTTTCTGGCCAAAAAACAAGTTGGAGGATCAAATGGGAGGTTCCTTTTAAGCATACTTAGTCAAATATGTTACTCCGACTTTAGTCTTTAGATGTTAGAGCTTAATGTTGTAACAGTTCGACACCGATGGTGCATATGAAGAGGCTAATTAATTGTGATGAGTTACAGAACAGATGAATGCTGATTCTCGTAGCCGTGAGGCAGAAGATACAAAAGGAGGCAGCCCATCAACAGAAATTGGTACAACATTGTCAAAACAATAGAACGAACCATATGAGAAATTACAGTGAAAATGCAGACGATAAGCTAGGATTGGGGAGAATTGCAGACGGATTATAACGATGGTAAGAAATGAACTAGCGAATCACGAGGCAGCACGTGGCAAGTCGATGTTGTCGAGGAAGTGAGAGACGAGGAGGAGAGCGCGGTCTGGTGCTAGTACTGGGACGGCGTGACCAGCTCCTCTCACTGTCGCCATTGTCAGCCCTCCTGCATAACTTATAGTCCATCCTCCGACCTGTATACAGTTTCACTCACATCATTCAGCAATCTGGTCATACTCAATCCAGTTAATCAGCAACATTGGCACTGATTACAATTACATAATATTACCTCTTCTTGGTTGTACCAAGGAGTCCAATCCTGGGTTATGTTCACCCCAAGCTTGTTCAGTGCATACCTCGTCGAGGTCACTGGTATCCTACCATCTGCATCTCCACTATATAATACCAAAACCATTAAACACAATGAAATAACGATTAGTTCTATCATGTGTTACTTTGATTAGTAAGAGTAGCCATTTTAAGATGATGTCATTATGTTACCTATAGATCCAAATTCGAAGGCCTCCATCAAGCAGCTTCCTAATCACCGGGAGCACCGAGAACGCACTTTCGTTCCAGTCATTGCCCACCTGATTACTGCAGTAAACATATAGACATAGTTGTTCACATTCTTAACTCTGGTTTTACCACCCTAACCATATCTAAATCCAGAGATGAAGAATAGACTGACCTGCAAAGGTCCCACGAGCGAGGGACTTTGTTGAGATCAGCATGCAATGCTTCCTGGACATCCTGTCGGTTGAAATACTCAAACACGTAGTCGCTGGTGCATGCATCATACCCACCAGCACCAGCTGCAGGTACCCTAAACTTGGACGTCATTGTCCTGTTGATTGGTAGTCGGCCGAAGAAACTATGGCTGGAATTGGTAGGCAGATGGCACGTTGGGGAGTTGATGCCGTACATGTCTATCATTGAATACAGTCGGGAGTAATTCGCCATTCCATTTTGACATTGCTCGGTCTGGTTTGAGTCGCTCCTCGTAAAATCACAGCTCGACAAGATGGACTGGTAATCCTTGTCCGAGAGCATCGCATGACTCCATGCATAGTCGATCATTCCTTTCCTGTCTGTTTCATCGTCCAATGATGGGTTTCCTAACTGCCCCATATAACAACATAACAAGAATTAAGTAAATGGTGGTAATCATTTCAGTGATTAAATACTAAATAGTAAATAGTGAGTGTTTGATTAATATACCATGAAACCTTTGAGGTTGATGTAATTAGAGGAGTCATTGAGGGAGTAGTAGATCTTGTTCTGATCAAAGATTACTTCAGCCAGTTGCGGTGCATAGTGCCCTGCATAGCTTTCCCCTGCTATGAACAGTTCACTATTCCTGTACTGCGGGAATCTCTTCAACCACTTGTTCAAGAAGTTATAGGAATCCCACGCTACATTAAGGTCGACAAAACAGTTCAGGGATGATTAGTTTCTTACTTTCTTTAATTAAAATATATGTAACAAGCAGTTTCCGATAACTAGTTTCCAAAATACAATGCATATAACTACCTGTGACGCTGTCTCCTGGAGCATAAGTGTTGTTTGAATACGAAAATCCAACCCCAGCAGGAGCTTCCAAGAACAGTAGGTTGGCAGCTAAGGAAGATCAAAGCAAGCAAAAAAAGTAATTAGTTAAGGATTCTGAAAATAATTATACAGAGAGATATGAGAACAGAAAACAATGGGGACAAGAATTGCCTTTGTTCCAAGCATAGTGGTTAAGTTGTATTTGATGTCCTTTCTTCACCAGAAAGGGTCCAATCTCTTGTGCTGCCCCATACCCAACAGAAGAACATCCTGGCCCTGCAAAAGATTATACATTCACCGTTACTTATTCAGTAATCATAACTCCATTTTCACTTTTCAACATGATGGAAACAACAGAATGGTCAAGATTTTGATGAGTATGTGCTAGAATGGGTACCTCCATTGAGCCACACGAGCAAAGGCTTATCTTCTGACTTGTGAGCTGCCTCAAAGAACCAATAGAACAGCGCCCTCTCTTGACTCTGGTCAACTGTGATATGCCCAGCATACTGCAGGAAGTTCACAGAAGGCTGCTCTGGGATGTAGAAGACCCGATCAGCTGATTGAGCTGCAATGATCTCGGGATCCACAGCTCCCCATGATGGTGAAACACCCACCAAGCACAGAAACATGCACAGTGACAATGCATCTAAACCTGAAACCCCCATTGGTTTGAAATTTATCTGCACCAGTCACTGCTTAGCTTCTGCGATGGGGTTCTGATGATTGGTGATGCAAAACCTGGACTGCCACATTCTGTATATATAACGAAATTATCATAAATCATAGTAGGATGAATAAGGCCAAAAAGTGGGACTCTTTCCCAGCTTCATATATTCTTCTTCTATAGAGAATTTTTCTAGTAATCAGTATATATATTCCAAAATAAAAATACCAGGTTTGGCATGTATTTGACATCAAAAGGGGACATTTAGTGCCCAAGGAGGATCCCTATCGTTATCTGCATGCAAGCTTAAGAAGCTGTAAGCAATAAGAAACTAAATTCACTATTTGTACCTTTCTTTCCTTTCTTTCCTGGTCTCTAAAGTCAAGCACTGGAACCTAAAGGGAACAAACTAAAGTAACAAACCAATTAAATATAACTCACGTAAGAAGCGACTAAGGGTATAAGGTTGAGAAGCTGGCAGGACTTCAGACCTGCGTATAACATATAAAAGTGTCACCAATAGCAAGCCAAGCACTGCATCTTGCTCCATAGTTCACGATGGCCTCCAATAGCAAGACAATACTGCATGTACACCAAACTCCCAAACACTGATCTTTCATTGATAATTACAAAAACGACCTAAGAATGTAACAAGATGAAAATATAAATGTAAAGGTCGCGGCAGAAACCGGGGACTTCAAAGGGGATATGCTTAGTTAAGCATTAGCATCAACAAGAAAGTCATGGGTGTTTTCTGCCATTTCTTCACTGTTACAAAAGGAAAGGCCATAATTCTTTAGCATCCCGTGTTATGTTGTTCTACATGACTCAAGTCTAAAACTGCTCTCAACTTTGCGAGATGAATGCAAAACTGATCACCCCAGACTATATTTTCTTGTATGTATCCCTCAATAGAAATTAAAGCTACGAAAACTCAAGCTTTTAAGGGATATAATGGGTAAACTCGGGTTTCCGGATGACCTAAGGCAATCAGAATAATCTCTGCAACAAGAGAAAGATGTTTGAAACTACTTCAGGGACAAATCTTTTAGCTCCATCTCCTCCTGTCTTCTTCTTCATCCACTGGAGTGTACCATGCTGGCCGCTTCTTCGAGTTGCTAAGTCTGTAGTTCAACAAAACTTCTTCATCACAGAGCGCCCTGGTAGTCACCAGGACAAGTGCCTTCATAATGGGGACATCAGAACCGCTTTCTTTGGACCCAGTTCTCCACCAAAAACTGCCAAATCTTCTCATACTTACTTCTTCTGGATTGCCAAACGAAACATTTGGCACATAAGTCCTCATTTCCTTCTCAGTCAGCGGGAAGTCATATGGACAAATCATGACATTAGGAGCCATCCCCTTTGCAGGGTGGTTTGCAAAATGAGCCAAAGCAAGTGGATTCCGTCTCTCAATGATTTCACCAACACCACCAATGATTTGTGTCCCTTCCAAAGGCTTGCTGAGTGTTTTCCAAAGCCGATCTGGTCCTTTCTCATCATTGCTATGTGAGATGGGCTGGTTTTCTGGAAGCCTTGACCCATCCCATAGTTCCCGAGTTTCGCCACCAGAACCCCAAGGCTGAGCATTGACCACAGTTCCGTCATACCTTGTGATCAAGTAAGGGTTCTTCGCATCAACCCTTGGATATCCAGGGATATACCGGTAGTAAGCAGGGGCATAAATCACACCCGGGTAGAAGGCAATCACGGTGCCAACATCTGCTTCACCATTGACAAACAAACCTGTTCCAGCTGCCTCATGGGATATCTGAGACGGCTTGAGATCAAGTGTGTAGCCAATGCTCTCCTTTAATCTCAGAGAGACTTCAGCAAGGTTTAACGGCTTTGTCTTGGGAATAGCTGTATAGTAGAATATGGAAGAAAGGTTAAAGGCAATAAACAGTCAACAACTTGAGATTACCAAAAGCATATATTAAGTTATTAACTAAGGGTTTGACCTGGATGCTTGGAAGATGGCCCCCTCTGGCCAACAGCAAGACTAAGGCCACTTCTGCGAGGGGCAGCATCTGCGTTTTTAGAACTTCCACCACCTGCCCCATCTCCTTCAGTAGAGTCAGAAAGAAGAATAGAGTCCATAGCTGTGGAGAAGTTTCTAGTTTGAGAATGGATGTTTTCCTGCACTTGCTTCTGCTGATCATCAACAGAAGCTTTATTGGCCATTTCAATTACCTCGTCCACATCAGCCTCTTCCGCACTCTTACCTAATCGATTGTAGCTGCAAATATTGAACTTCCAGAATTGAAAAAATCGCCCATGGAGAGGAACTAAATGAATAAGCTATTAGACGAGAACCTGACCATGTATACAGAAATAGCCGATTGATGTCTGCTTCGAATTGCATTTTCCTTGGATCCCTAGCAAATGTGGGGCTTTTCGCAAGAACTTTCACTGCCTAATCAATGAGAATAAGAGCACTAGTCACAAAAATAAAATAAAAAATCTTTCCCCATAGCAAGGCATGGGCACCATTCCAAATTATTGGTACTATAGCAAGATTCCACTGCACCACTGTGTTCTTCAATGATTCAAACAAAAGTTTGTAGCTTTTTAGCGCAAATTGGAGCTTGAAGGTTCGGAATCCGGTTGTCAAACGAAATTCTACGCTTTTTTACCGTTTCCGGCACCAAACAAGCCCCAATTGGGCTGGGGGAGATCAGCATTTCCCAGACCAACAAAAAATGGCGGCTATCTCAATCGAAGTCCAGCCTAGCAACTAACGAAGAAAATTTCAACTCGAAAAAGAGAGTGACTAGGTTTACCTCTTGTAATTTGTTAAAGAGAAACGCCATTGATGGGAAAAGTGGAAGAGGAAACGGCAGAACAGCGGGTGACCGGGGTAGCTTTCAGTTTGTCTCGCTGATCTTCGGCAGCCGGCACGCTTCCGGAGCTACGAACCTGAGAAAATAGATTCTGCTTCTTGGCTCTCACGTGGGCCGCCTGTACGATGACTTTTCAACTTGTCAATTGGGCTAATTGGCCCAGAAGTTAGATGGTTCGGAGACCTCAGAACCCCGGACTTCATATTTACGACTACCGTGGGCCTAACGTTGACCTAGATCTCCGATCTGGTCAGACCAGCCCATATGCCATATTTCCAAAACTTTTAAATAGTTAGGTTTATCTCTCTTTTTTTCGAAAGGTATCCGAAAGGGATATAGCAAGATATAAGTATATATACAGAACCTTTGCAGGCAAATCACAAAACAGAAGTAAGGAAGGAACGTTGGTCGACCCAAAAACGATCCAACTATAAGAGGACTTGTTTTTCCACGATATCCTTTCAATTCCTTTATTGTCAAGAGGTCTTTCAATTCCGTCAATTTACACTCTACTAACTCAAACATTTTGATCACAATGAAGTCAAAATTGCAAATAAAAACTTACAATGTTACAATTCTAATTCTAGCCCACCAAAACGCTTCTACGTAGAATTGCACTTTTCACTTACAAGTGTAGGCAAAATCTATGCTTCAAAGGTTAAAAGCTTACGATTCTACTGTTCGAGGTCACCAAAACACTTCTGCATAAAATCACATTTGTGACTACATTGATAATTATGGTACTCGATAATAACATGGAATGTTTGTGGATGGTGATTCCAGAATATGAAATCATCACACATACTCAAAAAAGAAGAAAGTTCAGGAAAGACACGGTGTCGTTGCGTAACACGCGATCGCGCGGTGCGCATAAACATATGACTAACACAAATATCTGACAATCAAATTGGCGCCTTGTTATCAACCAATATATTACTAGATTATTCTAGCTAGATGCCTGAAGAAGGAGAAGAAGGAAGCTGAGTTGCAGAAAGGAAGTGAGCAAAGAGAGAGAGGGATTGGTGCGGCGCCAGCACAGGGACTTGGTGGCCAGCTCCCCTCACCGTGGCTAGGACCAGCCCGCCTCTGTAAGTCTCGACCCAGCCAGCGACCTGTGCCTTGTGGAACCACGCCCGCCATTCTTCCTCCACATCTAGCCCCATTGAATTTACGCTGTACCGAGTAGACGTCACCGGCACCCTTCCATCCGTATCCCCACTGCGCAGATTCGATAACAAGATTTATTCGCGCAAACATCGATCCTACTACAACATATTCGAGATATTCATTGAACGAAGAAGATCACGCTGATCGCTGAATGTACCTGTAGATCCAAATACGCAATCCAGCTTTTATGAGCTTGCCAATAATGGGCAGCACGGTGTCTTGGGTGTCATTCCACTTCACGATCATTGAGCTGCATGCAGAGAATTAATTAAGTCAAGCAAACCCTAAATCAGTACACATATATTTGATCTGTCGATGACATAATAATGTACGTAGAGATATAGGTCTATACATAATTATGGAGGGTAGGTGAAAGACTGAAAGATTATTGTATGATGATCTTGGCTAGCTAGCATGAAAGTGAAAGAGAGAGACAGAGAAGTCTACTTCAACGACATTAATCCTTCACTGCAGCTATGCAGCCAGCCATCCATCCACCTCCAGCAAATTGCATGCATTTATTAGCTAGCTAGTCAATATGCACAGGAAACAATACAATATTGCAATGCAGAGCAGAGCAGAGCAGAAAAGGAAGGCTCTAATTTTCCACTGATTCATCAGTACGTACGATAGTAACAGCGCGACTCGATCGAGGGTTTCATTCATCATTACAGAGCTGTAACATTTTTTCTTCTTTTGTCTTTTGGGGGCACAGTGAAAAAAAAGTACTGGTGGAGTTAGTTACGAAACTTGCGCTTAATTATTACCTGCAGGTATCATAAGGGTAAGGCAATTTGGTGAGGTTGGCATGCAAGCTCTTCTGGACGTCTGGCCTGTTGAAATAAGCCTTTGCATAGGTTTCTGTACATGGGTCGTACCCTGACGACGGCAGCTTATAATGGCGCCACAGATCCTGATCGATTATTCATCAGCAATCAATATGAAGTCAAAAACTTACGAAATTCATTCATATATAAAAGCCTAACATGAGAGTTACTGTTCATTAGTGGCTCTCGCACTCCTCCAAGTGCAAGTGGGGAAGTTCTCTCCATTCTACAACATTTGTGTTTAGTTATTGTTCGCTAGTGTTGATGATAATACGTGCGTACCTTGAAAAATGTACGAACATTGAAATTGTGGTGATTGGTGGCGAACTTGGGAGTGATGATGGAGGTAGTAATTTGGCAAAGTGGTGTGTAAATGCTGTAAATGTCGATTGCGGTGTAGGCTTGAGCGAACCCGTTTAGATGGTTGCTGCAGTTCATCATTTCTGCTTCTATAGTATAGCTGCTGCTCTGGCGGCCGTGATGGCTTTTGTGACGGCCGTACTCGTCGGCAAAGCACTGCTTGACGTTGCGGTGGAGTTGGTCGGAGATGATCCCGTGGTTCCAAGCAAAATCAACCATCCCCATTGCGTCGGTTTCGTCGTTAATCACCGCGTTCCCTATCTGCACCAACCCAGATGTAGAGTTATTTGCCACCGGAATTCCTCTCTAACGACCAAACAAGAATCGGTCACTAAAAAGCAAGCAATAGGTACCATGAAGCCTTTGAGGTTTATGTATGCACTTCTGGGAGCCGCCTTGTTTCTTTCGTAGATAAGCTCAGCCAATTGGGGTACATAATGACCTATGTGTAGTTATTAATTAGATGTTAAGTTATTAGTGCAGTACTGATCAGATGTTAAGTTCGTGATTAATAATTTTTAAGTATATGATTGGTTACCGGCGTAGCTCTCTCCGGCAAGGTAGAAATCATGGGACTTGAAAGCTGGGAACCTCTTGAACCAGTTGATCAAGAAAGCGTGCGAGTCGTCGGCGGTAACTCTGTCGCCTAGCTTCTGGATGTCATTTGAGTCGTTTGTGTAGGAAAAGCCCACACCCACAGGCGACTCCAGAAACAGCATATTTGCAACTGATTAATCACACAGTTAGAGCAAATATCAATTGATTACGTACCTTTGTTCCAAGAATGATTGGAAACAACGGAGTAGCAATTAATTCATCACGTACCTTTGTTCCAAGAATGTTTGTTAAACACAAGTCGAGTTCCGTTCTCGGCAACAAGGAACGGGCCAAGCTCCTGGGCCGCGCCGAAAGCTATCGAAGAGCATCCCGGCCCTGTCATAAACCATTTTCCTTCCTGATTAAATTAATATACAATGTGAAAATGAAAGTTTAGTTGTGTATATATATATATATATTTGACCTCCATTAAGCCAGAGGACGAGAGGTTTGCGGGAAGCATGATGTTGAGCTTGGAAGAACCAGTAGAACAGTGCTTTGCTTTGGTTGGGCCTGAGCTTCACGTAGCCGGAGTAGTGTTGGAACTTCACCGGCGGCTGTCCAGGCAAGTCCGTCACCCTATCCGCCGCCGCCTCGGCAGCCTCTTCTCCGCTGGCTATACCGTCACCGGAATGAACAGCTAATAAGAGCAAGAATAAACGCAGCAGCTGCCTCCTCGTGAAGCTGTAGCTATTAGCCATAAGGAGATAATACAGAAATGAAGCGAACTGATGGGTCGGAATCCAGAGACTAAAAAGAGAAGAGTCTGTGCAGTAAACAGGTTTAAAAGAACTCGGCTTTTTATATGAAACAACGGCCGTCCGGCCGCATGCAGTTGGATACAGTAAATTACTACAGTAAATTCTCTCTGCCTTTGCACTTTTTTCATTCTTTACTGTGGCGTGATTGGAAGGAATATTTATGGAACTGATGGGGCTGAGAAGTACTGTCGTGCGACTTGACTACAGACCTCAACTTTTGTCTTTTCTGTTGTCGTTTATCGAGAGGGGGAAAAAAAAGGCTGAAACAGACAACGGCTAGTATGGGCGTGCAAGATTCAGGCCCAGCCTAGCTTCCAGTAAACTTTTAACTACTGGGCCAATGCATTTTGACGAATACGGCCCATCTTCGCCAGGCTTGTGCGGGATTGGGTTACTTTTTTCTCGTGGTTAGATAACGGGTTCGAATCCATAGTAGTTTTTCCATCCAAGCCCAATACCTTTCATAAATCATGACCATTACATGTGCATGCCTGCCGCATCATGATGGCTAAATAAACCAGGTCGGCTCGAAAGTCTTGCCAATTGTTCCTTTTTTTCAATTGTTACCGTTCTTACCATTCTCCAAAGACTTACAAGTACTACATAGAGTTGCACTTCCTCCGACAAGGTTTTAAAGATACTTGCCTGATGGCCATTCATGTTTTTAATGATACGCCTTGGTTAATATTTTGTAATTAGGCACATGTAATAAGACATTTTTATGTCTATGTAATTGCGTCGTTTTACCTCTGTTTTTGGAGTTCTCGTTGTTGTAAGTAGTGTTCCTAGTCGTACTTGCTTAGGCAATTGTTCGGGACATTTGATTTCCAAAAAAATTGTAATGCCAATGTCATGCATGCTCTCAACTGCCTTGCTCTTGTCTGTGAAGATTAGAGGTCGCAATTGGATTACATTTGTGGATTCGTGGATTGGATTGGTGGATCCATGGATCAAATGGATTGGTGGATTCATGGATTGGATCAAATGGATTGGGTGGATTGATCCATGAATCCAAATGACATCAAAGGCTTAGACCAAAATGTAAATTTTGAAAAGTTTATGTACTAAAATGTCATAATGAAAAATTTTAGGTACCAAAATGTAATTTTTTCAATGATTTTTTCGTATAAAAATATAAATTTTAGGTACAAAAATGTAAAATATAAAAAATATAGGTACCAAATCGTAATTTGCCATTTGGATCCATGGATTGATTCAATCCACCAATCCAATTGGATTTGGATCAAATGGATTGGATTAAGTAGATAATTTGGTGGATGGATTGGATTGGATTCATGGATTTGGATCCTAATTACCACCTCTAATGAAGATGCTTCTTCTCTCCTCATTGATCAATGTCAACTGGCTAGATAGGAATTACATGCTCAATGCAACTAGCTTGGAAGAACGGTAAATCCGTAGGGAGATAAGATTCTATAAAATATGAAGTGATGATTCTATAAAATATGAAGTGATTAAATACCCTTGAATAATGATATTGTAGGTTATGATTATGAGTAGTTTTTGTTTGTGATATCAATCTAATAATGCATTGTAATGTAGTCATAATTATAGTTCGGGGAGATCCGAACACAATCTAATGCAACCTGTGTCCCAACATTCAAACCATTTCTCTAAAAGATGGAGATCAATATTGTTCGAAAGTTTACCCGTGATTGTTGTAACTCTGTAACAAAACATCTGTTGCAGCCACATACAATTAGTGACCAAGAAGATACCTTAGAATATCGAAACACCTAATTAAACCCGAGTTGGTAGCTAGCTAGCCAGAATTTTGCTGATTCTGACCGTTAACCGTTTCTAGCTAATATATCTATGGTAGTTACGGCGGAAAACCGCTGTTTACGGTTGATGGGTTTGCTCCAAACGACAGGAAAACTCTGCCCACCCTACATTTTTGCCTCTGGGTGGGTCAAATGGGTTTGCCACGTGGGACAAAAAATGATCCATAAATACAGGCACCAAATGTTTCAAATTTTGGGATGATGTGATTGATAATGTTGAGCTACTGTATTAATATTTTTTAAGGATAACTTGTGATGCCAACCGATCTTAGTATCTTTGGTAGCAGAATGGTAGACCTGAAAGTGATATAATTATCGGCTTGATTATTTTATGACTTAGGTTAACTGTCGCCACCCACTTCCCATCCGCCTTCCCTACACAGTTTTTTGTGTCGAAATGAAACAGAAGATCGTGTAAATTAAGCTTGTTTTTCTTACTCGCCGGAAAAAGCATCAAGCCCAACAAGCAGCAGCCCCGTCGCAGGCCGACTAGACTAATCAACGAATCATCCACCGCCCCCATCATCGACAATAATTAATTTCACGATTCACATCTTTTCAAATAAAGTTTGAAAAAAAAATGTTTGACATTTTTATAAATTTTTGGGGAATTTTCAAATTGTGCCTATTCTTATCGAAGGTTATTCGGCGAGAGACTGAGAATTTGACATGTGTGCGAGAGTTATAATTTTTCAAACTTTTATTTAACTTTTCTTTTACGAAGAGATGATCAATCATCATGCAGAACCACTGGCTTGGTTACAGCTCCTCCCACTGTCTAGGTGTTTCAGTGTTTGAGGTAACTTGTTGGACACCTTGACTCTTGTTAATTACTTGAAGACCACTTAATACCTTCGTGTCGCCACTTTTAATCTTCAAGTCGACAAGATGTCAAAAAGAGGAAATGCAATTAGGCAAGAAGAAAGTCGACCACGGCAACATGTAAAGTCTGCGCCTCATATTTGATGGAAGAAGACGGAACTTATGTTAATCCAACTCAGTGCTGGTTATTCCAGTTTTAGAAAGGTAGTTAATTACGTAATAAGTTTAGTTTGCAGGTAAGTAAAATTGTAAAATCAAAATTTTGAAGTAATCAAGTCGTGACGTATATACAATTGTGTGAACTACGGTCTACGGTGTACTTTTACGATGTACTTACAAAAATGAGCGTATACTATGCATACAATTATAACAATAGTATTAAAACATAGAATTTTTGAACTCTAGTTCATAACATTAGTCTAATATTATGATATAACATACGTTCACGACTAATCAATGCATTATCCTAAGCCTTACACCTTCAATTTTGAACTCTAATTCTAAATCCAAAAATTGTAAACCATAAATCGCTAAACTCTAAATACATCAATGAAAGTAATTTTTGTATAAATTTGTGCATTTTCTGGTTCATCATATCACAAGAGACGATTGAAATCGTTTTAACATGAATCGTCTGCTCAAAATGATGATTATGAGGTGTTATGCCCACAAAAAAGAAGTGAGTGCAATCCGCATATGGGAGAACGTTACTCTATGATGATAGCAACTCGTTCCCCCGAGTTAGGGTTTTGCTTGTAACTAACAAGCGAGAGAACGACTCTGACGTCGAAAGACCTTTTTCTTACCGATTCGCGATAACCGGCACACTAACACCAAACATACATACATATATTTATAGGGTAGAAACCCTAATACCCGACTAGGCCACTCGGCCTCTACCCCTAATTAATCCGCCACCCCTAAGAAGTCCAGCCCCTCGTGGATTACGTGCTAGGCTCTAACCTGCAACATAATACTAACCGAACAAGCCCAAATCCATAACATTATAATAAAACTAAAACTAGAAATAACATCTAAGCCCGCTAGACTACGAGTGAGTTGCTATCATATGAATGGTAGAATTTGGACTGTATTGAAATATGTTGTGTTTGCTCTGCCGGTTTGGGGGGTCCAAAACGGGCCGGGAAATGGGATAAGAAGAAGGGAAGAACGAGAGGGCAAAGTAAGTAAGTAGGTAAGCTAGGAGAGGAAATGTACAGCAAGAACCAGGCCAGGGCTGCTACTACAACTCGATCGTCCGTACACCTCCCACATAAATACACAGAGAGCATTCATTCCCCTCACCTAAAGCTCTTAATTTGCTGCAGCAACTTGCCTGCCTCTCCCATTTTCCGACCAGCTAGCTACCGTGCTCCAACCGGCCACACAAAAACGATCTTTGATTGACGATTCTTTGTATATATGAATCCAAAGGGGAGGTAGCTAAAAACAGTAATGGGTTGCCAGCTGCCTGGCCCCAACATATTTAACAAGAATTTACCTAGCTAGGCCCAGTCACTTATTGCTGCTGCTGCTAAAAAAAAAAAAATCTGCAGTTTCACTGCTGTGATTCATCAAATCACAAACAAGAAGGTTGTTTTTTTCCCCCACTGTGAAAGTACCAATCCTCGTGACTGTATTGAAATGAATTAGTTATCAACGTGGCACGAGAGATTTAGCAATTGGGTAGCCTCATTTCGAATATTTTTTTTATGATCTAATAATACGAACCGTTTATTTACAAATAAATGCAATTTGTTTTTTTAGAAATTTCAATGGTTTATTTTTCATTTGATGAAGGCACTGGAGTTGTTGATATGAAAGATGGTAATTTAACCCATATTCGCGGGTATCCAAACATACCAAAGCTCATACGGGTTTTTAGTTCGGTGTGGGTAAAACCCGTTTTAGAGATTGGCAAGTTGGGTTGGGTGCATGTTTGGGCAAAATCCGAACCACGCACTGTACACCTAACCTGCAACTTAACCTGCAACTGGAAAGAAAAATGACTTTGTTTGCATCTAACCCAAATAATATGAATAATTTACTGGTGTTCTTAGTTTTCATAGCAATATAATTACAATAATATGGTTAATTGTTGTTGTTATTAGTCTATATGGCAATATAGTCACAGGGGGAAAAAGATAAAATAAAAATGTAGACTTTTGCAATTATTTACGATTATGTCCATAAACTCATGAATACCCGCTGTATTAGATTTTCTCTTTCTAAATTCCATAAAATATAGCAATCATGTTTTGGATGTACAGTATACAAATGTGTATATAGTATATGACATACCTAGGCAGCATATTTGTCCATTCCCAACATGGCTGCAAAAATACCTACCCCATTCCAGGGCAAACACATATTAATGCATATATGCTATGCACATCTCAACCCCAAAACACAATCGACATCAAATCCCAAATCAAACAGATGACCAAACTAAAACCATCACCATCCACCATGTTTCTTTATTCATTCTTTTAATTCTAGATTCCATCTATAATTATCACGCTCACATTATGTTTATTCTTTATTCCCATTGGATAAATATATCCAACCTACAATAATAAACCCGAATTAAAAGTGTTTTTGAAATATATAGATGTTAAGAGCGAAAAAGGGTTTGGTCTTATAGTGTTATCACTGGTCTTATATGAATATTAAGATGAGAGCCACTTCGAAATATTTATCTATATATCGGGGTGTGCGGTTGATTTGTTTTTATAAAGATAATGTAATATTTTTATTATTGTTAGATGTTATTTAAAAGTTTTCATGGATTACGTTAGTAGTTAATAATTGATTGCAACTTTGATACACAAAGTTAGATTGAAGAGAGGCTAAAATTATATGTAAAAAAAGAAAGTGGTTGGCAAACAGTACAATTCTGAAGATAAATAATATGCAGGACTTCGATAGTACATGGTCGATAATTTCATTTTCCATGAATGGCAAACACCCTCTTGTTGAACTGCCAAATTCTCCGTAAGTGTCAGGTTACTATTATTTCATTTATTATATAGAAATGCACATATACAATAGTGAATTGAAACCATTGACCTTAAAATAATATAATACAAATACAGAACGAAGATGACACCAAGATTATCTAGATCAGGGAGCGGATATGGTACTAATATTGAGAAGTGTATAACGGTTTGGTTAAGTTCGAATTAGGAACAAACTAATGTGAATTATGGTCTAACAGTGAAAGAAAACTTAGAACCGAACCAACATTTAGTGGAGTAGCTAGTATTTCACTTAAGATGGGTCGGGGACCCGCTTCATCATAAGTTGGCTCCGTCAATGCTAACTTTGCATTTGGTCCGATTTGGTTCGATACAGTTGTTAAGTTGGTTCATTTTTCTTTAGTATTTGAAAAATTCATAGGATCAAGAATCATACCACATCATATTCGATTCGCTAACCCGGTACCGACCAAACCGTTGCAGTCATCTTAATATTAGCATCATGCTAACATAATCACTAGAAATATTATGGTAACTATTGTACATAGTAGTCACTCACCCGTCCTCGTCCCGTTTTTTCCGCCTCCCTATCTCCACCCCTCCCTCTGTAAAAAAAAAACACATCAAGTTACTTGTAAAATAAAAATGGGCTCTTGGAAGCTTACCCTTCGCCTCTACAGTCTACATCATCAAAGAATCAAATATATTAATCATTAATCATTTCCAGGAAAAAAAACCACTAATAAAAGATACAGAATCAAAATACGAAGTAAAGAATTCAAACGAACAGCGACTTAATTAGGAAGCAGGAGTTGAACAGGCCGAAGAAACAACTGGGCAAGTCAGCTAATTATAGCGCTACAACACAAAATAATCAGAGCCATTGCCGAGGAGAGCAGGCCGCCCACATTTGCACTTTTCCGCTCACCAAAATCACCAAATTCACTCTTTCCAGCACCAAATAAAATACCCCACGACAAGCAACGGCTAATTATATAATTAATTCCTTATAATGGCTAATTATATAATTATTAAGCCTTCCCACCAAAAATAAACTCCACAAAAATCCTCTCCTTAAAACCCACCATATGATCCCCATTGCCAACCTACTTCTCCCCCTTCCCCAAAAACAACACACACACAAAACACATTGCATGGCAACTCACTCCCATCTCATTTCCCCTCACCACCACCACCACCACCACCCTCATACCGCCACCATGAACATCAACACCACCGCCGCCGCCTTCTCCTCCTCCCCGGCCCCCGCCGCAATCCGCCGGATCCTCTTCCTCCGCGACGTCCAGCTCGTGGAGCTCTTCCTCGCCCTCGCCGTCTTCGTCACCATCCACTCCCTCCGCCAGCGCAAGCGCCACGGCCTCCCCGTCTGGCCGCTCCTCGGGATGCTCCCATCCCTCGTCGCCGGCGTCCGCCACAACATGTACGACTGGATCACCTCCGTCCTCTGCCGCCGCAACGGCACCTTCCTCTTCCGCGGCCCTTCGTTTAGCAGCCTCAAGTGCGTCATCACCGCCGACCCGCGGAACCTCGAGTATCTTCTCAAGACCAAGTTCTCGAATTTCCCCAAGGGACAGTACTTCCGCGACAACCTCCGTGACCTCCTCGGCGACGGCATCTTCAACGCCGACGATGCCACGTGGCACAAGCAGCGCAAGACCTCCAGCCTCGAGTTCCACTCCGCCAGGTAACAAAAAAAAAATTATATCTACAATAGTCACCACTTTTTCTTGTCGCGAAAAAAGCTCCTTTCTCGATTCCTTTTTCAGCTAGTAAACACTAGCCTTTTTTGCAACGGAAAAAGCTGAATCTAAGACCTTTAGTCACAAAAGACCGTCACTACAACTAATTGACGAGTGCAACTTACGACATTTCTTTGTCGCAAAAAAGAGTGTTTAAATTAACAAAATAGGTCACCCGTTACAGTTTCCCATTGTTGGTGAAATCCGATGGTTTGATTTGAAAAAATTTCAAACAAAATCTAAATTAATAGAAGATTTTAATGTTAGGATATAATTAAATCACGATTTCATCATAACTCTATCGTTAACCTTTCTAGTTCAACCTGTGGTACGATTTTACAATCTCGTAGCTAATAAATTGTGGACATTTTTTGGATTGATAGGTTCAGGAACCTGACGTACTCGTCGCTGTACGAGCTGGTCCACGGCCGGCTGCTGCCGGTCCTCGAAACGGCCTCGAACCGAAACGTTTCGATCGACCTACAAGACGTGCTGCTCCGCCTGACGTTCGACAACGTGTGCATGATCGCATTCGGCGTCGACCCGGGGTGCCTGAGCCCCGGCCTCCCGGAGATCCCGTTCGCCAGGGCGTTCGAGGACGCCACGGAGGCGACGGTGATGCGGTTCGTGATGCCGACGTGCGCTTGGAAGGCGATGAGGTGGCTCGACGTGGGGCCCGAGCGCGTCCTCAGGAAGTCCATCGAAGGGGTCGACGCGTTCGCCGAGGAAGTGATCCGCGCGAGAAAAAAGGAGCTCGCCCTGCTGGACAGCAGCGACGAGGACGCTGCTGACGTGGACGGACGGGAGCGGGTGATTAGGAGGTCGGACATACTGACGGTGTTCATGGGGCTGCGTGACGACAAGGGGACGCCGTTCTCCGACAAGTTCCTGAGGGATATTTGTGTGAATTTTATACTGGCGGGGAGGGACACGTCATCGGTGGCGCTGAGCTGGTTTTTTTGGCTGGTGGACGGGCATCCTGAGGTTGAGGAGAAGATTGTTGGGGAGATTGGGAGGATTGTGAAGGAGAGATCGTCGGGAGGAGAGAATAATGGCGGCGAGGAGGAGGAGGAGGAAGAAGGAGTGGTGTTTCGGCCGGAGGAGATTAAGAGGATGGATTATCTGCAGGCTGCGTTGTCGGAGGCGTTGAGGCTTTACCCTTCGGTGCCTGTTGATCATAAAGAGGTAAAAAAAAAAGAGAAAACTTACCTTTTTCCTGTCCTTTGCTTTCTAACTGTTCTGTTCACTTTTTTTTTTTTTTTACCGGTTTGGAGCTCGACATTTCACTGCAAATACTCTGGTCCTGTTTTCCTGTGTCTGTACGTATGTCAGATTTTTGGTTTTGGGGTAAAACAGGGAATTTTTGAAATTGCTGGTCGAGTGATTAGAATAGTCGTCTCGATTTCGTAAGATTTTAAATATAAATTCGACAAAATAATTTTCTTGATAACTCTTTTTGATTATGTGAGAGTTGAGATGTTTATGTTGCGGTTGTTTGTTTAAACGACACCATTTTCACATTTTTCCGATAGCACGTGAAATGGTATCGGGAAGATGTGAAAATGATCGTCTAATGACATTTAGTCACCAGATGAATCTCCTAATATGGTTAGTGAGGTGCACCTACCAATACAACAAAGACCATTTTTGCACGCCTTTTTCTGTACCTAGTAAGGTCTAAAATGATGCTGACGCTGTCAGTCGAATTCCATGGCTGTACAGCGTTGCATGGCTTTGATTTGGGTGAGCAAACAGTGGTTCAACGACGCATAGTTTCCAAGAGTCAATTTCGAGATAATCGAAGTAGGTGACTGACCTAAAACTAACCAAGGAACACAAAGATACAGACTGAGCTTTCCAGGGGTCAGGGTCAAACGTCATTGGGGGAAAACATTGATCTTCCCATTAATGACACATCAAACCCGTAGGATCAGTGCATGCGATGACAATTATTTGTCAAATTCAACTGCGGCTCGTGGAATTCTCGATCCAACGATGTGCTTGCGATTGACCGGATTGATGACCCACATCCCTAACTAGACCGTTTGCTAGGAATTTATTTCACATTTGAAATTTTACCTCATTTGCTCTTGTTGTTGGTTGGGCAATGAAACATTAAACGCTCCTATTAGTTATGTTTCTCTGGAGCCTGGGGCCTTGCTCTGGTCCTATGAGAAGTTATGGCTTTGGTGGATAGTGGCTTTTACTGCAATTGAAATTCTCAAAAATTAATTCACCAAATTGGGTTGTTGCAGGTTGTAGAAGATGACATGTTCCCTGATGGGACTGTACTGAAGAAGGGAACCAAGGTGATCTACGCAATCTACTCAATGGGGAGGATGGAATCTATCTGGGGGAAAGACTGCAGGGAGTTCAAGCCCGAGAGGTGGCTGAGGGACGGCCGATTCATGAGCGAGTCGGCTTACAAGTTCACCGCTTTCAACGGCGGTCCTAGGCTGTGCTTGGGGAAGGACTTCGCGATCTACCAGATGAGGTTTGCGGCTGCCTCAATCATGCTTCGCTACAAGGTGAAGGTCGTGGCTGGTCACCCTGTCACCCCGAAGCTCGCCTTGACTATGTACATGAAACACGGGCTCAAGGTGAACCTCTACAGGCGCGACCAGGTTCAGGTCGTTGACAACAAGGTGGATAGTTAAATCAATGAAAGGATGAGAATGTTTGATAAATAAGTGATGGTCTTTGGTTATATTGAGTTGATTTGTATTTTCTTTTTGCTTTCTGTATTACTGTTATTGTTCTTATGTGGTTGTAGATGAAGCATACTTATTGTTTTATTTGGGATGATGAAGAAGATAATCAAGACATAGAGGTAAACTAGAGTGGTAACTTGTGAGACAAGGCAAGATGAGAGGGGTGATTATTGGATTATGTGTGGTTGCAATAACGGGATGAATTTTATTATCATGTTATATGTACTGGGATCTTGAGGTTGTGTGTAATTATTTTTACAATAAATTGTAACAAATTTATGGTTGTTGATCTTTGTTCCTAATATCTAGAATCAATACATTTCTTCACTCGCAAGTTATAAACAGTCAACGCAGATGTTTCCATAAAGTCAATATGATGATGATCATTACACCAGGAAGCAGCAGTTTACTGAACAGACTTAACATGAAGCAAAACAGAATAAGAAAGATGGTGACTTGAGTTTCAAGTAACCACCCTTAATAGTTGGTATATATGGTTGGAGACCATATGACTATCCAGAGTTCCAAACCATGGAGCTAACTGTTACTATCAAGCAAAAGCCAAACCATGGTAGACTTTTTTTTTTCTTGCTTGTATTGTACACATACAATTGCCGAAAGAGGTCAGAGTGGCCACCTTAGATCGTGCATTTGGATGAAAATGGTTTGTTCAATTCAAGGTCGGATTTCAGAAGCACTTTGATATTGGGGAGGGGGAACTTGGATAACTTGCCTCGTTTACGCTCTGCCATCCCATTCCTCGTAGAATTGGTTCAGATACTCCTCCATGAACTTGTGCCTTTTCTCAGCCCTTCTCTTGCCAGCCTGGGAGATCACAAATCTCGTTATAAAACTTTGAGCAGGTTTGCATAGCTTCTCGTAAATTTTGTGAATGTAAGGATTGTACCTCAGTTTTCATCAAGTCTTTCAGCTTGAGGAGTTTCTCGTGGAAGTGATTGATGGTGGTCTGCTCTTCTTTCTTCATGTACTGCTCCTTGGATAAGTCTGAACGGGGATGAATGGCGGGATCGTGAAGCACTCGGCTCCTACTTCCTCCAAATGTAAAGCAGCGTGCAATTCCTGGAAGCCGGTATAAATCAACATGTCGTCATTCATGGAACGTAGATAATGGAGAAAAGGAAGCAGTTATTGAGCTATACTGGGTTGCCATTGCCAATCAATATCCAAGAAGCAAATACCAAATACAGCATAGAAATTTCTGATTACAACCACAAAGTCTGAATGTAAATCCTAACAAGTAGTCCATCAAACTGTGATAATTCATTTGAGAATAGAAATCACCTATTGCACCAATTGCATCAAGGCGGTCGGCATCTTGGACAACCCCAAATTCAGGACAGTTTTCACTGTTGCCCTGACCTGCAAGTTCCTCTTTGAAACCTGGGAAGTTGAAAGCACCAAATTAACATCTTAAAGAACGATCTAAGATTTTGAAACAAGTACAAAGAGCATATCTAATGCAGGTACATTTAGTTCCTTGATATCACAGTTGAAGAACATATCTAATGCAGGTACCCCATCCTGACATGCCTACTAGGCTACTAACCATGAAAAATAAATGAAAGAGGGCACGCAATCTTCTTTCGCATTGATACCAGTACTTATTAGAACGATCCAACTCAAGATTTAGTTCAATTGACTGAATCAAAGTAACTGGTATCAAAGCAACCTTACCCATCCCCCTAATGATTGATAGTATCTTCACTTTCTTGACCTCTTCAATACCCTCTTCCTCAAGAAACTTCTCCACAATTTTTTCTTCAGATGGATCGCTACATTAGTTTTTCCAGACGAATCACATTCACAAAACATGCACGCAGGGAACAAAGAAAGAAAATGGTGAAACGATGAAAAATCTTTTCAGTAGCCCTTCAATGAAATGACTTAAACTAAACAATGAGAGTAAATTTTCAATGAAGCTCAACACAGGAGACTGAGGGATATGTTCTGAGATGGGATATGCTCCCTTACCACATACCTTAAGTACTTATAGTCACCTGCAACCACCGAAAATTGCACATAAACACAAGTCAAGACCAGGGGATGCTACCATATTACTTTATCAAGCAAACAGCATATAAATGGATGATGAAGAGTTTAGAACCGAATGATACCGATAATCAGGCACAGTGGTAACAGAAACAGTTACAACGAAAGAAAGTATGCTTCTTTCAGTTCTCAATCCATTATCAACCACAGCTAAAGAGCATGTATTCCAACAAGTCAAAATGTACTGTATCAACCAGACCAAAGTTGGCTCCGTGCTTCACCACTAAATACCCCATTAAAATTCATGTCAGAATTCTTAGACCCATCATACTATTCTTCACCACTTAATTGATGCAAATCGTATAGGGAAGAAGAAGGATAACCTATGTCGTGAAGAAGAGCAGCGAGTTCTACCTGCAACAACATCATACCACAGATTATTATGAGCAAAAATTGGTAAACATAAGATTGGAGATCAGGAGATTAGGTTTGTGGGGTTTACGATTTGCAAGGAATCGGTGTCGGAAGAGAGGGCTTCTTCTTCAGAAGCCAAAGAGAGCGCGAGGCTCCTAACCCTCCAGACATGGGAAGCGTCATGCGACGCGTCGTTCCCTTTCATCGTTCTCTCCACCAGCTGCTCCGCCTTCTTCACCGTTTCTGCCCATTTCGTCCCCATTTCCCAACTTGATTTCCTCACCGGCAATCTATCACTCGCTCTGAGTTGTGCAAACGCGAGAGGTGGGCGGCAAATGGGCTGGCTGGCGTTGAAGGTAATTTTGACGGAGCAGGGAAGGTTGATCATTTGAGTCAATTCACAGTCAAATAGATACGAAGCTTTGACGGATTATCGCAAGCGCCGGTGCCGGCTTGGCGGTGCCGCCTTGGGTGGGGTCAGGTCAGGATTAACTGTACGGATAACGTGTCCTTTTGGGCTGGGTTCTTAGCTTTTGGGTCATTCAAGCCCAATGACTCGCCCGCTTCCGGCAACGTTCAATTTTCCATCATGGAGGTCCGAGTCACAAACCCAACTGGGCTGGGCCCATGTCAGAACCTACCTTTTCTCCCTTTTTATCATCACTTGTATTACCAAGAAAAAAGATAACAATGTCTATACTTTATACACCAAATCACAACCAATGTCTATAATAAAGAATCTCTACACTTGCAAGAAACAAAGAAATGACCTGACCACCTCATGGGCTACTAGATTGTTACTCTTGTCGATAAATTCCACTGCTAAAGTTCGATATTGTTACCGAAGCAGCCAAATCTCCTTAAGAATTCTTCCTCCACGAGCATCCTGTGAATCCGCTGCCCCAATCTTGTCAATGACGTTCTTCAAAGGAACCACTGTATGAGTTGATTTGTTGCCTTCCAAAGGTTATACTTTTCATGTTAATATGTATGTAAATGTTAACATATTTGTATGACTTATAAAGAGAAATTATTACCCATAGATAACTATGGATATCCGAACGGTACGGGGATTGTTTATGTGAGTATGAATATGGATATGGATAAAACCCGAACTACTTTGGATAAGATAACATAAATGCACTATCCGCCCGACCCGCACGTTGCTACTCCTAAATGTAGGTAGTAAAACTTCACTTTACCTATAACACACAAATCAAATATTATTATTGTAAGAAAAATATAGGGAAAATTCATCAAAAAAATGTAGGTAAACTTAGGAAAAGAAACAGGAAGTCCACTCTTGCTGTGTCGCGTCTCATTTTCCTTGTGTTCAAACCAAATTATTAAAACCAACGAAAACAACACAAACATAAATCTATGCGTGTGGTCACCCATGATGCAGAAATTAGTTTCTTCATCGACAAGTAAACATTTGCTAGCTTCTTGTTTTCTTTATTCTTTGAAGTACATAAAAAACGTTATATATGTTCCTGTAATCCTGTTGTTTTCGTGTTACGTACGACATAGCCGCCACCGTTTTCGCTGGCATGGCCACCTCTCACCTCTTCTTTTTTCGATGTGAAATACATTCTACAAATTTCCCATCTCCCCGATCACTCCGACGTCACCACTAAACTTGTCTCGACGTACACCCTCTCGCCTCAAAAGTCCCAACAAGGGGATGCACTCCGGTGAATTACGCCGGCGGCCGTTGAAGTCCGATCAACAGAAAGGCAAGTGATCATTCATCATAAGAAATATTCAGGTGGGATAAAGTAAATAAGTATTTATGAAGTAATAAATAAACGGCAACAAAGGCAGTTGGATCGGATCTTTACCCATGGAATAGATGACATAATCGAAATTAAAACAGAGGGGGGGAAAAGGTTGTTGATATATATATCACGGGTAGCCCGGCAGCCTAGCTGAGATGACAGAAGGTTCAAGATATGGTGGAACGATCTGGACAAAAATCCAAAATAATAGATCGTAGATCTGAAAATTTGTTATACTAGTTAATTACGAGCTATAGTGGCATAATCCGACTTTGAGTTTACTAGGTTTTTAAAAATTTAATAACATTCGAAGTCTGTGTATTTAATAAATTTGGAATTGATTAGGGTCTTTATATGAGTTAGCATCGATGAGAGTATGTGGTGCTAAACTTAAATGATTATAACTAAACTCTATGTTCTAAAGGATTCTGGTGTCGGGTGAGGTCCTAGGACCCTTCTCCTCAATACCTCCCTCTGCCACTATTCAAATATCGGTTTATAGATTACCTTTATTTTTAATATCGCTTATAAATAGATTCGCTTGTTACGTTTCTGTCACATAACGTATCAAAACTAAATTTAGTTGGTTGCTAGGCTATGTGATATCCAATATACATATTTACCGTGGCGGATGTATTGTCATTTAAGGGTATCCTGATGCCCGTAAAATTGGGGAGGAAATTGGGGATTGCAAATCTATCGATAGTAATTTGAGTTTAGAGTATGGGGTGGATTCATGATCTTTTAGGAGTGTTCGGATAGCACTAATTTTTCAGAAAGAATAATTATACATTTGAATAATGTATGTTTTTTATCCAAATCTTTTTCAAATTCTTTTATATTATCCAAATCTATCGAAATACTAAGAATTAGCTAAATGTTAACTTCTAGTAAGCAATTTTGTTAGTAATATTGACTTGGCAACATGAAATTGACTTGGAAGAGACACATGAAGGTCAAGATTCCAAAATTTTAGTATTTTAACTAAGGAAAGAGTTTCAAATTATTAACAATAACGTAAAAATAGTTAATATTTTGATGAATTATGAAAGATTTGGTTAATTAATAGAATTTTAATAGATTTGAATGATATAAAAGAATTTCAAAAGGATTTGAATAAAAAATAGACATTACCCTTATATATTTATATCCTGGAAATACAATGTTTAAATCCTGGTTCGGCTAGGGTCTAGGAGATGGGGTATTAGGGGTGGACAACGGGACGGGATTGGGTACCCGTCCCGTTTGAAACGGGTACCCAATCCCATTTGAAGAGGAAACTACATATCCCGTTCCCAAACCCGTACGGGACGGATAACGGGTACCCGCAGGTACTCGTGATTATTTTAAAGAAAGAAAATTTAGCCACAATAAATAAGCTAAGCGGCCATAGATGTGTATGATAATTAGCCGAAAAATAGAATAATTCTATTCAACGAAACAAATTAACATAAGTACACCAAAGCCAACTCCAAAGCAGAATTTTTGGCACCATGACACTGAATTCCAGGAACTAATAAATTACACTCACCTGCATAGCAGCTTTCATAACTCTCTGCTAACCAAATAACCCTACATGACTAAGGCCCAAACAAAGCCTAATAAGATGATGGAGTTCTTTCATTATGCTCCTGGGTTGGTGAAGAAGCAACCTAGCAGATGGGTGAATCTTTCATTATAATTATCCATCTTCTCATTTCGCTTCCTTGTAATGCATCCATGCTTGAGCCATTTCTAAAGGAAAAGGTTCATATGCAACTGTGTATTATTACATGGGAATAGATCACCGAATGAAGAATATGTATTATTACTTTAAAGAAGACGAAAGGGTAGTACGAGTACCCGTAATACCCAAACGGGTATGAATGGTAACCCGCGAATACCCATTGTAGAATTTCTTGATCCTAAATCTCATCCCGTAAAAAAAGTTACGGGTATTTGGGCACCCCGTAACCTTAAAAAAACGGAACGGGTATGGGTATATCCAAATACCCATTTCCCGTTGCTCACCCCTATGGGTATAGTATATTACCTATGGTTGTAGTTAGGGATGGCAACAAAACCCGAACCCACGGGTACCCACCTGACCCAACCCGGTCAACGCGGGTAAAACCCGTGTTGACGGGTTTTGGGTCGGGTTTGGATTTAAACCCGCTACACTATTCACCGGGTCGGGTTGGGTTTGGGTTTAGGTAAACCCGCCCCATGGTTACCCACCCACACACATATAAGTACTTTTCCAGTATATTTAATATTATAAATAATATATTTCCCTTAAACAACTAATATTTTTTTATGTTTGTGGAGACATGTATAATTTGTTCTTTCTAATTATTTAGAATGAAGTTGATATTAGAAGTGAAGAGTGAAGAAACTTAGTTGACGAGGAAGAAGCTTTCAATTAATCTTATTGTTTATAGATGTTTATCTTTAATTTTGAACAAATTGTATTGATCATTTGCGGTTTGCTTGTATGCTATAGATTGGTGTTTTTTACTAGATTGGTGGGTTTTATATGAGAAAATTGATGTTAAACTTTTATTTTGAAAGAAACTTTTTATTGTAAATATTTTATCACAAAAACCACGGGTACCCATGAACCCGCGGATACCCAGCGGGTTGGGTTGGGTTTGAGTTTTTCAAACCCAACGGGTTTTACCCCGGATTTTTTTGGCTGATAAATAGGGATGGCAACAAAACCCGAACTCACGGGTACCCACCCGACCCAACCCGGTCAACGTGGGTAAAATCCGTGTTGACGGGTTTTGGGTCGGGTTCGGGTTTAAACCCGTTACACTATTCACCAGGTTGGGTTGGGTTTGGGTTTAGGTAAACCCGCCCCATGGGTACCCGCCCATACACATATAATTACTTTCCCGGCATATTTAATATTCTAAATAATATATCTTTCTTAAACAACTAATTTGATTTATATTTGTGGAGACATGTATAATTTGTTCTTTCTAATTGTTTAGAATGAAGTTGATATTATGAAGTGAAGTGGAGAGTGAAGAAACTTAGTTGATGAGGAAGAAGCTTTTAATTAATCTCATTGTTTATAGATGTTTATCTTTAATTTTGAACAATTTGTATTGATCATTTGTGGTTTGCTTGTATTCTCTATGTTGGTATTTTTTTGTATGAATAATTTGTATGGGAAAATTGATGTTAAACTTTTATTTTGAAAGAAACTTGTTATTGTAAATTTTTTACCACAAAAACCCACGGGTACCCATGAACCCGCGGATACCCAGCGGGTTGGGTTGAGTTTGAGTTTTTCAAACCCAACGGGTTTTACCCCGGGTTTTTTTGACGGATAAGCTCATGGGTTTGGGTTTGACAAAACCCGCCCCAACCCGACCCATTGCCATCCCTACTGATAAACCCATGAGTTTGGGTTTGACAAAACTCACACCGACCCGACCCATTGTCATCCCTAATTGTAGTTCCACTATTTTACTATAACAACTAGAGAACAACAAAACGTGGGACTGGAGGAAACGTGTAACATCAACGACTGAGCCACGAATGGGTCCAAAGTCTTCCTTCCTTGGCCCCAATTCCCCACACAGATTCCAAAATTTCAAGGAAATTACTCTTATAACCCCTAGTATTTTTCTTCCTACTTAAGTTGATCAATTTGTTAATACTCATATAAATATTTATAGTTTGACCAATATATAAGCTTAGTCTACGAACAAACGGACTTACGATTAAGAAGTATGATACAAAATACTATTTGTCGAACGTAATTGTTGAATGTTCAAGTTTCTACGACTTTTTTAAAAATACGAATATGTTCATTTTTTTTTTTTGAAAAATGTAGTAATAATGGTAATGTTTTTCGTTTGTTTAATTTTATTTATCAGATGTTTCTAAATAGACATTTTCATTTATTAAAGAAAAAAATAGTTCAACCTAGGAAAAATAATTCATCGCGAAGGGATCAATGTTATGATTCACCCTACAATTCTTTCGGATACTGATTATACTTGGGTTGATTGAGATTTTCACCTCATAATTACTTTAATGAACAAAAGTTGAGATTCCTTTACGAACAATGATTTGATTGTCTAGTTGTAATACCATTAGTCTATAACATGAAGGCCACAGGTTCGAATATTATCAAAATGTGTTTTGTCACCAAACATTCAGTCATTGTGTTAGCGTATTGTTACATTAAAAACATGTATTCAAATCAAATGATCACAATATTCCAAGAAAAAACGAACAAAAAACAAATATATGGGAGTGGTTCAGCCAATCAGTATAGAAAAATCACATTAGAAAACAATGCAATCGATACTAGTTAATTAATTAATTAATTAATTAATTATTCATAGCTGATAAGTTTGAAAGTGTTGGTTCTATATTTTAGACGTAATTATGAGAAAAAGGAAAACACATGGAAAAGAATATGCGATCATAATTAAATTTCAATTAAATAAAAAGCTGTATACTTACTATATTAATACCAAAGGTGATCCATTGTCCCAACCGTTCCACCAAAAAGATATTCAAAACCTCCTCCTCCTCCTCCATATGTCGCGACTTCTCCCCAATGGCCGGCCACTCCAACAACAAACCCCATCTCCCCGTCAAACCTAAACCGCCGCCCGCCACCACCGCCACCGTCTCCTTCAGCGGCTGGTTCGGCTGTTCTAACAGAAACTCCGTCGCAATAATCAAAGTCGCAGCAGCTCCTCCTGATCACAATCATCACATCCAGAAGCAAAAGAAGCACAAGCCCTGGTTTCCCAATTGGTCAATGAAAAATTCCCCCGCCACCGCCACCGCCGCCGCCTCCACCGCCGTTTCTGAAACTGCACCTCTCGACTCTTCCTCCCCGGCCGCCGAGAGCAATAGCATCAAATTAGGCGATCACAGAAAGTCAACGGAATTCCCCAAGTCAAAGTTCATCAAGTGGAAGCCCAACTGCAAAGCTTCCAAGAAAAGCCACCCTACGCCCGCCGCCGTGACGGAGGAGAAGAAGGTTTCCTCCGCCGCCGCCGAAGTTGCTCCGCCGGAAACCCCCAAAGAGGTATGTAAAATTGTAAATAATAAATAATCAGAAAGTGAGAAAACAAATCCGAACATAGAGCAACGAAATGGGAAATTAAAATACTTAATTCGTGCGAAATTAGTTAGAAATTTCTAACTTCTGATTTTTAATTAATGATTTTATATTCATCGGGTTCTTGTTGCAGACTGGGTCATCGGAAAAGGAAGACATCATGCTCGGAAACGGCAGCGTTTCGGAGAACCACGGTGATGCGGAGTCCACAAAGGGCGGCACGTGCAAAAAGCGGTTGTCGTTTCGCCGGAAGAAAGCTGAAAATGGGGACAAAACGAAGACCGGGTCGAGTAGCAGCCAACCGGGCTCCCCGGTAGCCAGGCCCAATCCACAGGCCCGAAACGACAGCGTGGTGATCTCCCGGTCCACTACATTCCCGGCGCCGGATCTGCACCAGGTTCAACCAATTGTTGTTGCCGCGACCGTGACTAACAATAATAATAGCAAAACTAAGTTTCCTCCGGCAACGGTGGAGGCGGCGGGCGGCAGGAGAAATCGGAAAAAGGAGGACGGGGAATTGGATTCGGTGGTGGGGCTGTCGATTATAGCGGTGACGTTGGTGATCATGGTGGTGTGGGGCCGGTTCTGTGCAATCGTCTGTACGGCGGCGTGGTTGTATTTTGTTCCGCGTTTGAGAACAACCATGGCGGAGGTCAAGGTCAAGGCCAACCACGGTAGAAACCGCGGCTCGATTCTTAGGAGAGCCGACAGTGAATTTGGTGGTTCGGGTTTGGGTCGACCGGATTTGGATTCCGTGGAATACAAGAGAAGGGTGGTGTTGGAAGGTCTTCTTGAGAGGAACCGTCGCCCCGTTGCTTGAACAAAATTTTGTTTTCTGGCTTTTTCTTTTTTTTCTTCTGAATTTCAGAAAAGGGCATGTACATGAATGTAAGATTTTGTTATTAGCTTAATTGTAATTTAAACAGTAAAAGAAAATTTTCCAACAGGTTGGTAATTTGACAATTATAAAACTGGTCAAAACCTATCTATATACATTGTGCCTGACCGTAGTCGTTTTTTTTTAGGTCCTACATAAATAATTAGTGTTTACATAATTCAGCATGCTTTGAACGCAAATTTAGACTATGTTGCCATGATTACGAAATTCTAACAAACATCATTATAAAATATACATTGCAATATGTATTTGAAAGTGTACCTTCTTTAGTTAAAACTAAATAATTGTTCAGTTTTGTTGAAATCTATTGGGCCGAGTTGGACCTATATGTTTACTTCTATTTGTTTTGGACTTGTTTTATTATTTGCCCTATACTCGAGTTACATGTCGATGGGTATAAGGGTTCTCCTGCTGCCCTCTTGTAACCCTAACGTAGAGGTTGCAGCTTTCTCCTCTTCTTCATAGTGAGAACTTCAACATGAGAGCTATGCTCTCCGTGGACTAGTCCCGATACTCGGGGAAACCACGTAAATCTCGTGCGTCTTTTCTTTTCCGCATTCGACTATTTTATAAAAATATATGAACACAATTTTGAATATTCGAATATAAAACCATTATATATTTCGTAGCAAAAAGATATGCGGAGGAGAGAACGAGACAACGTTTCATGCGGTGCGCCACTGGCCATTTGCCAGAGCGACATGGCCGGAGCTGCTATAGGATGAACCTAACGAACACTTCTTCGAGCCGAATATTCACAGATGGTCACTTCACTACTTATCAGGGCGCATCAACACTATTGACTCTGCTTTGTTTGCAGGTATGTGTTACGTTGGATGTTGTGGAAGAGCCGGAATAGTCACTTGTACGAAGGGAAGCTGAAAACCCATGCACAACTTCAGTTCGAAGCCAAACAACTCAAGCAGCAGATCCATTCTGCTTTCGAGAAAGAGTACCGCATATTTGGAGATGGGGGACTCCGCGAGTGGTGACTTATTTGATGGCAGCAACCTCAGCAAGACTGGGTGTGTGTCAATACCGATGGATCGGTGATACACTCACAGGGGAGCAGAACTTGTGGTGGCATCTTGAGGGGCGACGATGACTGTTTTATTAGAGCTTTCTTTGCGAACCTTGGAGGGGGGGGGTCAATTACTAGAGCAGAGCTGGCTGGAATTGTGCATGGGTTGAAGGTTGCCTAGGAAGAAGGGACTAGGAAGGTTGTTCTGCAGACAGACTCCAATACAGCGCTGACCTTGATAGAGTCGACAACTCCATCACATCCACACTATAGGAGTGCTGCCGAGATCAGACTTTGGATTAACATAGAGTGGCAAGTGAGATTAGAGCGTGTTTATCGGGAGGCGAACTATGCAGCTGACTATCTCACCTCTTTTGAGCATTCCCTGTCTGGAGGGATGCATATTTTTGATGTTCCGAGCAACACACTTCTGTACTAGCTATACCTTGATCGGAATGGGGTACAAACACCCTGTTTAGTTAATGCATAAAGGTTGGGGCGCCCTTTAACCGCTCCGTTCTCGGGGAAAAAAAGTTATCGAACACCTTATTTGTTATTTAAATATAGAGCGGGTTCTACACCATAGTATTTCACGTAGGGTAGGACTAGCAAAATTACATATATAAATATAATTTTAGAATAGGAAAACGTGTTTTCGACTTCGGCAAGGTGGATAAGGAAAACCAAAACTCTAGCCTAAAATTTAAACCATGAACAGGAGAATACTAAAAAGAAATCAAGAAATTATTATAAATATAAAATTTCAAGTTGCTACTTGCTGCCATCATTCATTGACACTAATTTTCTTCGTATGGAACAGGGGAAATTTGAAATATAAGATCCATATTCTAGAATTATGACTGACTGCCTAATTCATCTTATTACATTTTCCAAAAGGAGAATTTCGTAGCTTAAGCTCGTTATACAATAGTTCAATCGACGTGTCATGATGCCTTGGGAGCAAGGATTAAAATAACGTACCGGAGGTTATATCGAAAAAGTCTGTAAGTAATAGGGTATTTTAGATTAAAACCGTGGTTTAACCTCTGATAGTAGGTTTTTATCGTCGAACCGCCGGTACGATATGGTTTTTTAATCCTTGCTTGGGAGGAGGAGTTATAAATTATGTGTATACTTCGAGCTTCTTTACAAAACACTTCATAGTAAGGCCACTTGTCAGTTTTCCGACGCTTATAATTCATTACCTCATCGAGAACAAACTTCAATCGAGTAATACTATACGTCAGACTTGATTGTTTAGATGGAGGGCTTGTGTTGTTAATTTTGCATATGTAGTATAACAACTTAAAACATCAATTAATACCTACTTTAACAAATTGGGTATAGTAGTCTATATTTTATACTTATACATCTCATGACTACTATATTCATGGAACATGAATGTCGCACTCTGATCCATTTGTCAATATGTGTTAACTGACTTGACTATTCCATTCATTAACTTATGTTTTCTTGAAGGAAGTAGGAAATTGTGAAAGCAACTTTGTAGTTTCGATCATAAATTATTGCTATTAGGTTAACTCATGGAATGAGGGCAGCCCACCCACAAAATGTTGAAGTTGACTTTGTCATATAGGCAGAGGGTGTGGGGGGAATTGTAGCTCCTTCAAAGATACCAATTAAGAAGATAACTCGTTAATTAGTGTATTTATTTGATTTGTTAACTTGATTTTGCGTGCTGAAATGTCTATGCATGTTGTCCAATACACAAATTAAATATAACAACCAAGGTGATAATTAGTGTTCAAGTGATCCGGTTGTTGGATGTACTTTTTTGAGCTTTGGTAAATTAGAATCGTTGGTAATTAATTTTTAGTAAATTGATATTCGGATTTGAGTTTGGAGATCAAGATATGTAATTTATACATTAAAAGTTATTGGGTAATATCATTACCCCAACTCCAATTTAATTCACAATCTTGATTAGTTGAGTATAATATACTATAAAACTACACCAATCTTATCCATAATCACAGAAGTATATACTTTGTAAGCTCAAACAAAAAAGTCGATAAAAATTGTAAGAATATTTAACTCAATCTACGGGATTGTTGTACGGTATTATAACATTAAATAATTTGTATCTCATGCATTCATAATATTTCGTAGTCTGAGATGGTCTCAAATTATTTTATAAAATTTTCAGAGATGATTAGTTTTATCGGATACGAAAGAGGGATGTGAGTATTACATCCAGAACATGATAACTTATAAAGTATTGAAGGCAAAATTACAGCAACGCGAGTTGATGAAAGAATTCAAATATTAAACTTAAAGTAGTGATTGACACCAACGAAAAATTGCCCACCGATAATGAAACTGTTGTCAAATGCACCGAGGTAAGGAATTCCAAATGACAACAAATGATTTCACTTGTTATAATTAAGTAATCTATAAATGGCCAAAATGTATTATTCTCGCTAACTTAAGAACTTACCATCTTTGACATACTTATGAAGCTAACCCTAAATCACCTAGAACAGTAATTTTGACTGCTAAACCTAACCCAGGCATATCTACACACTACTATATGGAGGTTCTCCTCCTGCACCCTCCTCATTCTCTTTTTCCTTATTCCTGCGCAGAGTACAGAAGGTCTTTAAGGTCAATTTAGTAGCCGATTTTGGGTTTATTTTTGTGTGTATATTTGATATGCATGGACCGCTGTAATGTATATGTATGGGCCTGAATTCTCAATATTTTCTTTAGTGGGTTGCTTTCAAGGAACGACTGTATGTATATGATTTTTTTGGCAGCAAAAAAAGATAAAATAATGCTTGCTTTAGTTTCAAATAAAAACAGGGTCATATGTTGAGTCATATATCGGAACCAAATTTTTGAACGATATTAATTGTAAAGAGAATTGTGAGTAAATTATATTGATGTAGATACAATGAAATTAATTTCAATTGAATTACATAAATTGTCAGGTGACAATAGAGACAATATATGCAAGTGATTTTGTAATTCATTGGTGTGAATTTTCTAACGCATCCCGCCCCTTCACCGGTATTGATAATATGTTATCTTAGTATGAATTATATAATAATTGTTGTGTATTGAGAAAATTGAATTACGAGTTTAAAATTTATTTTGTCCCGGTATAAAAAAAAATTTCGCTACGATCGGATAACCGAGCACAAAGTTACGTTTGTTTAAAGTTTCGACGCAGGTCAGTGCTTCACCGCCTTTCTCTACTGCGGTGATTGCATCACCGCCTTCCTCTACAGCGGTGATACAATCATCGCCTTGGACTGACGCGATGAAGCAATCACCGTTTTGCTCTCACGCGGTGAAGCAATCACCGCCATTCTCTGACGCGGTGAAGGCCCAAACATGCGTAGATTGGGAATTATTTTCATAACATGTGTATTTTTAGAATTTTTTTTAAAAACATGTATAACTTGGAATTTTTTCCTCTCTTTGGAGGGTACCAGTAGCAGTGCTTCTAGGTAAAAGTCTCTTGGATTTAGAGCTCAGTATAAGCTTGGGAAGGTCCATCTTGGGGTATGAATGATTCTTATTGCATTTATAATATAAATCCTAAACCAGATTTAAGTAATTAGTTAAGGATTTCATGCTCATGTTAGAATCCCTCTATCGTCAACTATTTTGCTATATATTATTTAGACTAAAGTTAATTTACATTGCTTATACAATGCTTCAATTCGATTGTCAAAAATTGAATGTAAGTACATATAGTTTTATTAGCATAATTAAATACGTCTTGCAAAACTATTACTCCATACTATATATTTTAGAAATTAGCTAGAAAAATATGCTTTTTATATAAAGAAAAAGCGTATATATGGAAAATTGTCAACATTCCTACTGGTAGTCCGTTTACTTCATGTTTGGTTTTTATTTATATGTCATCAAATTTTGTGTTGATGCTAAGATTGCTTACTTTACTAATTCCGATAAGGACTTCAAAATGAGATCGAATAACTTACAAACTAAGAGGAATAGATTGTTAAGGTCCATCAAACTTGCTGAATATTGTTATAATCATCTCCAAGTGATGCGTTTTGGAGACTTTCTATGTTTATTTTTATTTACCTGATTTGACATTTCTTCATTTATTTTGATGTTAGAATTTTATCAAATGTATTTTTTAAATAGGAATTTTAATTTTATTGCAATTGTTGGAGTGTTTGATAATGGAAACTATTCGTATAAATATTGTTGATATTGTGGATCGATGAGGTGAAAAGGTGAGAGTGCCAAAAGTCCAAAACCACGAGGAATTTCAATAACCAAAGTTTTCATTGTACAACAGACAAGGCAAAGTGAACCTCCCTCCACGAAGGTAGCCTCCAGAAATTTTGAATATGCTACTACAAGCAAATACTTCAATGGCACGTCATTTTTGGAACACGTCTAAGGCTATAATGAGGTATTTTCATTAACTTCTGTTTTAGATAAATTGGACAATCTATAAATGATGGACAAGAAGTATACGGTTATTCGATTGGAGGTGAAGTATATCATCGAGTTAGTAGCCTGAAACCTATTGAAGAGAAGATACCAAATTTTCTCAACTCTACATATATGACAATACATTAAACTCTAAAACCGGTTAGATTATTCCTTCATAGATCCAATTTCAAATCCTTTTGCATGATTCAGCTATTCAACAATTGCAGGAGATGTTAGCTTCAAGTAATATCTTAGTAAAAACATTTTGATCTACAATGGATAGATAAAATGACATTATTGTTCAGCTTGATGAAACTAGGTTACTTGCTAAAATAGAAGGGGTTGGTAGAAAATATGATTTGTCATATGCAAATGAGATTGTTGCTTTAATTGTTGACGATAGTAGGGAACAAATATTTTCTCCTGATATCGTTGTCCACTATCAAATTCATGAACTGGAACAAATTAGTATATACTATATATCACCTAATTTTAATGGCTTTGGAATATCTCATATTCCCACATGATGAGAATGGTTGACACTCAAATATTCCATGTTTTGACATTGGGGATGCAAATGGACTCAACAATAAGATTGCGAGTCAATGTGAATTTTACAATTATATACTTCAAACAAGACTCAAAATATCATACTCATTGTTGTTGTGTGGAAAGTTGTAACAACATTGCTACTAAGGTTTTTTTGGATTCTTACTTGAGAGGTGAGTCGGATACCAATATGAGCAGAAAATATGTGATTTAACTTTATCACATACATGTAGTCCTCTGTATAACTATGTAAACTTTGACGATGAGAAATAAATTGAAATGTGATTTGATTATGCTTTCTGTGAGTTGGTTTTTTGAATGAGTTTGATTTCTTACTTTCAATTACAAATTTTAAATTTTCAGTAATTGAATATTTAAGACTATTTTATATTATCAAATGAAAATAATATTATTCTGTATAATGATTACTGTTAATTATTCCATTTATCAAATTTATCCGGCCAACGGGCGGGCCTAGGCATATTAAGCATTAATACATTAGCGGGCAGGAAGAATTAAAGTTTGATTTTGATTGTTAACAAACCACATTATGAATGTCACTATGTCAGTAGTTTGCAGATTTCTTTAATTTTTATTTCCTGACGTCGCACAGCCCTTTTTTTGGCCATTTACGTCGCAGAGGCCAGAGCCCTTAGAATGCACATATGTTCATCGAGCCCATATGTTGAAGGCCCAGAAATCGCGGGCCAAACCATAGGCTCAGAATAACACCATCTAGAATAACAGTTGCAGTGGACAAAAAGCCCATATTGGCTTTTGAGAAAGAACAATAGGCCTGCCCGTATACAATCGGTCCCCCAATCCAAGCTGATTAATACTCGCTAACCCTAGCAACCTTTTCACCATAGCTGCTAAGGATACACCGAACACCGTTGAATCACGCCGAGGGTTCCCAAGCTCCAACTCCGCCGCAGCAATGGTAAACTTTCCCTCCGTTTGTCTCTCTTTCCTTAGTTATTTCAATGGCTTCCGTTCTAAATGTTCTGTGTTGCCAGCGAAATTACAATGAAAGATTGTGGTTAGATGGTAATAGGGAGTTGAATAATTCGCTTCTGTAGATTTGAATTGGATTTTAGGTTCTTCAATGCCGGAGAAGCTTGATTTTGTTGTTCATTTTGCTACCTTTTTTCCCCCTCTCCTTGAAAGCGTTAGAGGGTTCAGTAAAAGCACGGCGACGATGTTTGAGTGGAATTTGATTCTGGTCTTACACTTGGTTCATTTGGGTGCTTCACGTCTATCTTACTTCTCGATAGGGTTAGTGTTGAGTTACTGCTGTCGTGTTTGCCGTGGTTATGAAATTCGGCTGTTAATCGTGCTATTCTGCTCTGGGTCATGAAGTTCTGTTTGTTGGCTGATCCTTCTACATGGTTTTCGTATCGTGGTGTTCGGGGCGTCTGGCTAGTTGTTGTAGTTTCCTTTTGGTGAACATGTGTAGTGATGGTCAAAACCTTGTTGAGTGCAGGTGAACGTTCCTAAGACAAAGAAGACCTACTGCAAGAGCAAGGAGTGCAAGAAGCACACTCTCCATAAGGTCACCCAGTACAAGAAGGGTAAGGACAGTCTTGCTGCTCAGGGAAAGCGTCGTTATGACAGGAAGCAATCCGGTTATGGTGGTCAGACCAAGCCCGTTTTCCACAAGAAGGTAACCTACTTGTTTAACGATAGTATTGTTTGTGTATTGGTGTTCATCAAATCCTTCTCCTGTTTCATATCTGCTTTCTCTGGCTATCATAAGGGTTACACATCCGTATTGTTTGTGTATTGGTGTTCATCAAATCTTTCTCCTTTTTCTTATCTGCTCTCTCTGGCTATTATAACTATTCAACATCCCTTGTTCTTAAAACTTGATTGGGTCTAGTTAAGGCTTGTTTTTGCATATGGGCTATCTTATATCTTGGTTTTTTTTATAACAATAGAGAGGCCTGGGATGATGATAATTTGCCTACATTGTCTGATGTCTTTCTAATGACAGACATGTATAGTTTCTGAGGCCTGGTTTCCTAAAAGAATTCATCGCTTATGAGTCATCGGGGTTAAACCATGTTCCACACGACGTGATATTTTCACACCCTTCTTGCCGATTTTCACAGGCAAAAACAACAAAGAAGATTGTCCTGAGGCTCCAGTGCCAAGGCTGCAAGCATGTCTCTCAACACCCAATCAAGGTCAGTACTAGTAACACTTCCGTCGTTTCCAGCATGCTTGTTGCTTTCACATCTCGCACTAACTAACTTATGGTGTTTGTTTTTGTTGCTCTGGGATGCCAGAGGTGCAAGCACTTTGAAATCGGTGGAGACAAGAAGGGCAAGGGAACATCTCTGTTCTAGATGCAGTAGTTCAGCTGTATCGTTTGTTATATTTCTACAGTAGCAGAATACTGCAATCCTTAAGTACTTAGTATTGGTTTTGAGTTTGTAACAGTTTGTCTGTTCGAAGTTTTCTTGTTATGCAAATGTAGTAGACTATCGAAAATCAGTTTTGGTTTCTGTTCTCTTGTGATCGCTTCCGAGTTCGTTCCATTTGACAAGAGGTTTCATGTTTAGCTCATTCGATTTGTGAATGATATCGAACATCTCAATCTAGTTTCCTAGGCAAGAGTGTTAGGGAATTTTAGAGTTATGGTCATTCACTTCCTGAATAATCTTCTTCCCTTAGCAAGAGTCTGTGTTGATGAATCGGCGATCTTTCGAGTTATATATGCCGAGGAATGAACAAATGCTCCATAATTCTCCATACCAAATTCAGTATAGCTTGTTGAGCTAAGAGAACCTAAATATTGTAGTTGCCAGAGCTATCGAATCGAAGAGGGCAAAGCTAACTGGAGCTAAATCTTGTTCTGTAAGAATTAAGAAACATCTTTGGAAGGATTAAGATAAAACCATTTTCTTTACCCTGGGAGAGAGAATAGAGAGATCGTGGTGCGAGTTTTGTTGCCCGTTCTCGCTATGTACTACCACTCGAGCTCGATCCACATAACTCCACGAACCCAACTCATAAACCCCAACAACCCACGGCCTCTCCTCCATTCCTTCTCTTCCTCTTCCTCCACCACCGTCCGCTTGCCGCCGTCCACCGTCGACATGAGGGCTCTCATTTCCCGCGCCAAGATGTTCGCCGGCAGCCCTATCCTTACTCTCACCGCCGGGAGGACGGCTTCCTCCTCGACCACCGCGTCTCGCGCCTACAGCCTAATCCCGATGGTAATCGAGCACTCCTCCCGCGGCGAGAGAGCCTACGATATCTTCTCGAGGCTACTCAAGGAGCGGATCGTCTGTATTAACGGCCCCATCAACGACGACACCGCTCACGTTGTCGTCGCTCAGCTTCTCTTCCTCGAGTCCGAGAATCCTTCCAAGCCTATCCATATGTACCTCAACTCTCCCGGCGGCCAAGTAACCGCTGGTCTGTATCTCTCTCTCTCTCCCTCCCTCCCTCTCTTTCGCTTCTTTGAATAATTTGCCTCCAATGACTCATTCTTTGCGCTTAGGCATCCATTGATCCATTATTGTGTGATTGAATCGTTCGTTCTACTTGATTTGGAATGAGCTTTTGGCTTCCTTGTGGTTTTGTTCTTCGTGCAGTTAACCTTATTGGTCTTCTTTCTTTCATTGTTCCTAGCCCTCCTAATTGATTAGAGTATTTGGTTTAACTGCACAACCCGTTTAGCCGTGTTCTGGTTATTGCCCCGGTAGAATGCCCCCAAGTCTTTAGTCATCTAGCTGTAGTTAATTAGGGTTTGACGGGTTAACTTCTTTAGCAGATTTCTCCTGTGGAGTTTATGTCACATTTGCTACTGCTAAAGGGAATTTAGGTGGCAGCAGATGTATTCATTTGATGCTTGGGTAATGCCGATTTTATGTCTGCTCTCTTGAAAATGTCCTTCCTTGTTCTCGAGTCCAGGTCGTAGGAGGGTCAATAAGCTGGCTGTAGTGCTCTTTTGGTTGCTGAAAATGTTGGTTAGCTGTACTATCAAGGATTTACTTAATGTGTTCATCATTGCGAAACTACATAATTGGTTGTTTATTGGAGGGTCATGAGCTTATGCATCTTCTGGAGTCAGCCTGGAGCAGTTTAAGCTAAGAAAATTTGTATTTCTCTGTCTTCTAGACTGCATAACTATTGTTATTGTCTGAAAGTTTGCAAGTTTTCTCGTCCATATGTTGTGTTCCCTCCTTGACTGCCACTTTAAATGAGAATTTTTTGTGTGTTATGCAGGTCTTGCTATCTACGATACCATGCAGTACATAAAGTCCCCAATCAATACGATTTGCCTAGGCCAAGCTGCATCAATGGCTTCTCTGCTTCTGGCTGCTGGAGCTAAAGGCGAGAGGAAGTCACTTCCGAATGCAACGATAATGATCCATCAACCATCTGGTGGGTACAGTGGGCAAGCTGCAGATATTTCAATCCACACTAAGCAGATAATTCGTGTTTGGGATGCATTGAATGAGCTGTATTCAAAGCATACTGGCCAGACGGTTGATATCATCCAGAAGAATATGGACCGAGATCATTTCATGACCCCTGAAGAGGCCAAGGAATTTGGGATCATTGATGAGGTGATTGATCATCGACCGATGAATCTGGTTGCTGATGCTGTTGCCGAGGAAGGCAAACAGAAGGGTTCAACTTCAAACTAAAGACTGGATCAGGGGTAAGATTTTGGCAGAATGGACTGTTCTATTGTCTTATGTCAGAGTATTTCGCTAGCTTTCATCGGATAGTTGTATTAGCGGATCATCGGCTTCTCATACGGAATTAGATTTGGTTAATTTCTGAGTTGTCTTATTTATTTCTCCGTTTTTATCTTTGATTTGCTTTGGAGTATCTAAAAGAGAGGAACTCAGAGGTTATATTTTACTGCAGTCGAATAATTGATGTCCTCATAAACTATTCATCCATCAGCCATGATTCCATCTTGAATTTTTTAATCATGCATGCAACATCATTTTTACAATGTAGGATTAGAGACTTGGTTGTTCTTTGTTTAAGTGAGATTAGTTGTTCTGGAAACTGTGAACATTTTCGTTGTTCAAGCACTCTTACTGTCTCACTGATCATTTCCCCCTTCTGGTTCATTCCATATCGTTGAACTTTTCCTGTTATCCAATTGCTTACCAGTTTAAGTACCTCAAGTTATTGCAGAATGGTGAAGTGTTTAAGCTTTTGATTACTCTACTCTCTATTATGCACACGGGAAAGGTGATATACTTACTGTGCCGAAACTCAGGCTTTCTTCTTCTTCTTTTGTCATCACCATTAGGGGCAGCCGATTCTTTTGTTCCATAAGTTTTGTTGGTTAAGCAAAACTTGGAATCTAGTCAGTCAAGCGTGGTTTTTTTTTTATAGGAACAGGCTGTAAGTTCAACTCTCGTTTCAGAAATGTGATGGAAGTCAGGCTATAGTGATTATGGAATCCAGGAAATGTGATGGTGTAGCCCGCCATTGAGGCTAACAAAATCGAGTTTGCTCTCGTATTTATGAACTTTATCGCGTCCTCTTCGGGGTTTGTAGTCAGTTTGGTTGTTTCGCTTTTGGTTTGTGTGACTACCAACATGAATCAGGCAAATGAACTAGGCACCTATGCGGCTTATTCGGGTATACCTTGAATCTAGCCTGCAATCATTTGATTGCTTGATATACTCCTTCTTACCATATCTTTTTGTCTTTGCATTTCAGTCCTTGGTACTCGTTATTGTGGACAACAATCGTGATTTGTCCTACTTAAATGCCGGACTTTGACGGTTTTGTTTGTACATTTTTCGTCACATATTGAGATGTCTGAACAAACATTTGGAGGTTGTTCGGGTAACCCTAGCAATTTGTTAATCATATGTGCTTATGATATTTCATTGTATCCTTAAGGCTGCAACAGTTCAGTCCATTTACGAAGTGTGGACGGTTAGTCTATTTCAAATCGTCCATAACATAATTTGTTTGAATCTTGGAGATGGTGGATTAGATTTTTTCCTCACATTATAAACGTCGAACATGAATCATTCCGTTATTGACGATCGATTCCCATATTATTATTGATTTATGTATAATTGTTGGTGGAAAGAAGCAACCAGTGGAAAATCGCCGACTTGGTGGTGACTAGTGTCACTCACTGGCTCGCTTCGCTACGCCATGCTTACCTGACAGGAATTGTACACGGCATTATTAAACTCTCAGACTGAAATCCCAAAAATACCCCCACTTCGTGTTCACCCTCTCCGACCGACCCACAGGCCAACACCATCCACCCAGAACCAGAACCAGAAGCAGAAGCAGAAGTAGGAGAAAATCCCAGACGTGAAAGAACTTGCCCCCCTTCTCTTCCTCCTCGCTTTACCCCCTTCTTCTTTCCTCGCGCTCTCGCCCCCGGTCCAATCACCATCGTCTCCCGCAAAAAAAACAAAATCGAACCCAACTCCTCTCTCCCGAAATCCTTCAAACCCTCCGCGTGTCGCTCTGCAATTCCCGAATGTCTCTAACCCTTCCTTCGCCGGAACCCTGATCCCTCTAACTCTGCCGCCGCCGGTTGCGCCTTATGTTCTTTCGTCCGGAATCCGCCCCCCCAATTGGATTCCTCCCCCTACTCCTCCTCTCTCAATTTTAGGTCACCACGCTCAATTCTGCGATCGACTTGAACGCCTATGGCTCCGGGGCGTAAAAGGGGAGCGAATAAGGCTAAGGCCAAGAGTCAGCTCAGTTTGGGCGATCTTGTTCTCGCTAAAGTTAAGGGCTTCCCTGCTTGGCCTGCCCAGGTCACCTCTTCTTCTCTTCTCTCTTCCCTACTTTGCTTCTCATTCTTATTGTTTTGTTGTGTAAGGGGCTAAACCTTTGCTCTGCCCCGTTTCCGTGCTGTGCTTTTTCAATGCTTTTGGTCACCCTAGTTTAGGTTTGAACGGCTTTCACGCTTCACTAGATTGATCTTGGTGGGTTGTGTTCAGTTGTCGTTTTTGGGTGGTCTAGTTCTTCACTTTACATCGCTTTCTATGCTATCCTAAATTTGTTTCGCTGGCGACTATATGGGTATGTCCCAAAAGACGATTGGCATTGTTGGTTTTGAGCACCCGCACGTTGTTTTGCATAACGTGTCTCTATTGCCCACTTCACTTGTATGGTTGATACGCTAGAAGCTTGTGAGTCATGCTGTTCTATGGTAATTTGCATTGGTTGGGGAAGCTTTACCTAGGTTTTGCTACATTTTCAGATTAGTGATTACTGATTACTACTTGGTCAATTATATGTTCTTAGGTGTGTCAGGATGGAGAACACTGCCTCTTTGTCTCCCGTTCACTTTTGAATTTTGGCCTTCTTTATGATTTATTTGCCAATATGTAACGAAAACCTAGGAAGGCCATGGATGTTGGCTATCCTCATGTTAAGCATCTTGGTATATGTTCCTGCTTGGCGCTGTGAAACTGAATCTTATGGTTTTGGTTACAGATATGTCGGCCTGAGGACTGGGAGAAGGCACCGGACCCGAAGAAACATTTTGTTTTCTTCTTTGGAACTCAAGAAATGTGAGTCCTTTCCATTTGCATTTGTTTTCTGATTTTATCGATTGGTGCAGTTGTGGTTTCTGGCTGGTTAATCAAATAAATAATGTGGATAAATACCAAGCTAGTTTGCTGTAGGCATTTCCTTTACTTTATGAGAAAGCCCTACTTACGATGGGAATGTATGGTTTTGTCACACTCAAAAGAACTGGTAGCTAGAAACATGTGATAGTTTTAATAAACATTGCTTCCTTTTTGTATAAGGTTTGAACTTAGGCATATTACTCAGTGATGAGTGAAAATAGTTACATTGCGAATGCTTTTTTTTGTTTTTTAATTTTTAGGTAGACTTCCTTAGGAAAGGAATGGATACGGAGAAAACAGGGGTTCATGGTCGATTAATGTCTGATTTAGTAGAGCATAAGACTTATTGTCAAAAGCCTTCTGACATTAGGGTGAATATATGGTTTCTACTTGCGCCCCTATTTCCTCTGATTCGATTTTCTTCTACGGTTTTCCTTTTCTATTTCAGAGCTTTTGTTGCGCCTCCTGATATCCAAGTACTCACAAGTGAATTAAAGACCAAGTTATCTTCCAAGTGTCAAGGTAAGAGCAAACGCTTTAAAGAAGCAGTACAGGAAATTTGCGCAGAATTTGAGAAGTCACAAAATAAAAAGGTAAATGCTCGAGGTAAGACACCCGTTGCTGATGGAATGGGAGATGGTGAAGAGACCGACTTGAATGATGGTGTTGCTAGATCAAATGGAGAAGCATCAGAAGATGCAGGGGATTCCAGATCCAAAGGAGATTATTGTTCTGGAAGAGAAAGTGAAGCTGACTCTGAAGATACAGAGCCATCTGTGTCTTGTGGTACTGGTGACAGTCCTGCCGAGGCTATGTCATCTGACAAGATGTCTGGTGATGAGCAGGCGCAGGAGGTGGCATCTGGTCCTATGGTAACCACAGATGGGAAAGATGAGACCTCTATTTCTGCAGGAGTAAACGTTGGTGACACACAGGAAGCGGACATTGACTCAAAGGTGCAGGAAAATGGTAGTAAGTCTCAGATTGGCACTGGCCGAGTTGGGAGAATAGATGATGCGATGAAAGGTCATAGAGATAGGAGCTCCAATTTTTTGGAAACGCAAGATGGGAAACCTGGTAAAATGTCTGATATTGGGAAGGAATTCAAAGACAAAGTGAAGGGAAAACCTTCTGCTAGAATTGACGGTAACCCTATGGGATCTGGTAATGGGAAGAAAAGAAAAGAAATGCAGAAAGCTAAAGCAAATTCAAAGGCGCCTGATGACACTCGTGAAAACATGGGTGATAGACAGAAAAGTTCCAAATCTGGAACTGAGAAATCCGAGGTTGATGCCACGGATGCTTCTCGTCCATCTAAAAGGCTGAAGCGTGAAGATGTGGGATCCCTGGAAGATTCTATGAACTCTGAAGCTGTTGGTGGCAGTTCGAGCAAATCATTGTATGAGCAAAGGGAAGTTCTTCTGGGTCTAGCATCACATGCAATTAAAGTGAACGGTGATGCTTCTGCTCGAACAGGTAAAGCTAACTTTGATGCATCAGTTGCATCAGGTAAAGGCAAATTGGACACATCACCGCGGAAGGCTGGGTTGAAATCTTTAGCATCTCCACAAACCAATAAGGTGAAATCTTATGAATCTCGACAGATGGATAAAGTTAAATCCAGTTCATCTACCCATACTGGTAAGGTTAAGTCTGATTCCTCCTCCCAAGTGAGAAAAGTAAAGCCCAGTCCAATTGGTGATAGGGGTAAAGGAAAAGTAGATATTAGTCAAAGGAGTAATGTGCATGATAATTCTGGTGATGAGGATGTGTTACCAGTATCGAAACGTCGGCGGCGAGCGCAAGAGGCAATGAATGATTCGGTTCAAAATTCAAAAGATAGAGCCAAAAGAAGCGCGGACCCGAAGAATGACTTGTCGTATAGCAATGCTAGAGTTCATGCCAACCAGAATTTGAAAAGGCGAAGAGCCGTGTGCCTCTATGATGAGGAAGAAGAGGACGAAGATCCTAAAACTCCTGTTCATGGTGTGGCTGCCAAAAGTATTAAACCTCCATCAGCTGTCCCTGGTGATATCAAGCATAGGGACGTAGAGAGTGGTGGTTCGCGTAGGCAACAAGATGGACGTGCAGTTAACTCCCAGTCAAATGTGACGGAGTCTACCAGACATCATGATGTGTCGAAGGAGGCATCTTCAGACTTGCAAAAGAATCGCCTTTCCCCTGGTGGGCTGATAACAGTGAAGACGCCCAGGGCTCCTGATTCACAGAGTCCACGAGAAGTTGGAGAGCAGGTTGTGGCCAAGGAGGTAAGCACTGCTTTGACTTCTCCTAAGAACTCTCCCGGGCTACTTGAACCACCTAAAAGAGTGATGGAACAAGATAAAACCAGCAAGGTTTCTCAAAAAAATTCTGGTGCCCAAAAGATGCTCCATGCTGACGAAGAGCAGGCAATGTCCAAGGAGTTTAGCACCGCTCCAACTTCTCCTAAGAACTCTCCTCAGCCACTTGCTCCTCCCAAAACAGTGGTGGGACAGCATAAGACCAGCAAGGCTTCTGTGAAAACCCCTTCTGGTGCCCAGAAGAAGCCCCAGGCTGATAAAGAGCAGGTATTGGCAAAGGAGGTAAACACTGTTCTGACTTCTCCTAAGAACTCTTCTGTGTCACTTGGTCCACTCAAAACAAGGGTGGACCAGCATAAAACCAGTAAGGCTTCCGTAAAGACAGCTTCTGATTCTCAAAAGAAGCCCCAGGTTGTTTCTGCCAAGTCATCAGGCATAGTCCCAGATGGTGCAAAAGCTTCCCAGAATCATGTGGCTGTTCAAAGAAATAAGCAAGCTCTTTCTGTAGAGAGACCTAAAAGTACTCCAAAAGTCCCATCACGCATGGGTGATCATGCCATTTTGCTGGAAACTTCAATGGAGTATGATCCTTATACCTGGTGGAATCTATGTACAACTTTATGCATCTTATGTTCTTCATTTGTTATTTCATACATTTGACTATAACTGTGTCCTATTTTCAGAGTCAGAGCTGCTGCAGATGAGAGTAGCATTTCATTGGCTGATTCTGATGCATCAGATTCTGCCATATCTATGAAGAACCTCATTGCTGCCGCTCAAGCAAAAAGAAAAGAAGCTCATACCCAACATTTTTCTCTTGGGAACTCCAGTTATACCCTTCTGTCCATCAATGATGCTCATGGATGGAGCCTTAGTCCGTCGTTTATCCAACCTTTACCATCTGGCATGTCCAATGGGGCACAGGGTGATGCATCAGAGTTTCATCCTCGCCCAAGTGCACCTTCTCCATCTACACAAAATCATCCTTCAGGGCCTGAGACTCGAACAGAAAATGATGAGGATGAGGATCGAAGGGTCAGTTCTGGACATAGGGCTCCTGGAGGCTCACTAAGTGGTGGGACAGAGGCTGCTGTTGCACGTGATGCTTTTGAAGGGATGATAGAGACTTTGTCAAGGACAAAAGAAAGTATAGGACGTGCAACCCGTCTTGCCATAGACTGTGCCAAATATGGAATTTCCAATGAGGTAAGTTAATAGTTCTATCTGAAGATGATTACATAGAGCTGTTGATCTTGTACAAAAGGTGCTGGAAGGCTCACTGTATCCAGATTTATCACTGGTCCATCGCCTTTGGCTGATGGAAGCTGTTGTGCATTTTGTCCTGTTGGTTGCTACTTCTGAGCCAGTATAGTCTTCAGACCTTGTTACAATCTTAACTTGCCTCCCCAGTCCCCAATCCCCATACTGTTTATACATGGTGTGGGGAAACAACAGGGCCGACACTTAGGCACAATAACATTTGTATCAGATGTTATACTATGAATTTGGTGAACATGCCATTCACTTAATTTGTCATTAGGATGTCCTACTATGCCTTAATTCTTGAAGGATTAAATTTCATGTTTTCTTACAGCTTATTGTTCCTATGAATCATTTAACAACATGCTACCTTTTTTCAGGTTGTGGAACTTTTAATCAGAAAGCTAGAAAGTGAACCCAGTTCCCATAGAAAAGTAGACTTATTCTTTCTTGTGGATTCAATTACCCAGTGTTCTTCTCATCAAAAAGGTTCCTTTCCTTTTGCTTTGAAGATTGGGAATCATATGCTATCCTGTAAGATATTTATTGAATCATAATCTAAGAGTTAGTGTTTTCGTCTTCAATTGCTAAACATAACCAGGAATTGCTGGAGCTTCATACGTACCGACAGTTCAGGCAGCGTTACCACGTCTTTTGAGTGCTGCTGCTCCACCTGGAGCTGGCGCACGGGAAAATCGCCGGCAATGTCTCAAGGTTAATTTTCTTAGTCACCTACTGACTACATCTTCTATACCCGAATTCGGAACAATAATGATATTTTTCTTAACAGGTGCTGAAACTATGGCTTCACCGGAAAATCTTTCCAGAATCTGCTTTGAAGCGTTTTATGGATGAAATTGGGGGTTCAAATGATGAAATCTCTGGTGGTTTGTCTCTTAGACGTCCATCCCGCTGTGAGAGGGCTTTAAATGATCCTATCAGAGAGATGGAAGGGATGCTTGTGGATGAGTATGGGAGGTATGGTGGATTTATCTTCTAGGATATTTGATTTTTGTTCATACTTGAGAGAATAAATCCTGATAAGATGTGGGGCTGGCATGGTAAAAGAACATTTTGCTCTCCCGAGGAAATATAACAATGTTGGAAGAATTTTGTTTTTCTGTTTATATTGCTATGAGCAGTGTAGTCTATTGGATGTTTACTATTTAGTTTCATGTTCGTACCCTTTCCGGTTAGTAATCTGCTGTAGTTTGTTTAGATTTGGACTCTTAAGTGGGGCTTTTATCTTTAAGGCGCTTGCTTTGCTCAACTTATTCCCGTTATGTGCAGTTAGAATATTAACTAGACAATCTTACTTGAATGAAATCCATGGGGATTTGTCTTATTACTGTACCTCCAACAGTAGGTGTATTGACTAAATTGGTTCATACTATGTTTGTTCACTGCTGTCCAGTAATGCTACATTTCAGTTACCTGGTTTGTTATCTGGGAACTTATTTGAAGAAGATGATGAAGATCTAGTATTGGAGCTGCCTAAGAAAGTGGGCGACATGCCCGTGGTGGGAGAACCTGATCGCACCATCTTTGGAGAGTCAGAAGCATATACTGCTACTCCCACTGACAGACGTCATTGCATCTTAGAGGATGTTGATGGTGAACTTGAAATGGAAGATGTATCGGGTCATCATATCAAGGATGAAGGACCTGAAATGGATATAGAAGAAGACCATTACTCCGATAGGGTGGTGGTCAAACCGGCATCAAAAAGTCCTGCTGACTCACCCCCTCTTCCAGATGGTTCACCACCGCTCCCTCCTGGTTCTCCTCCTCAGCTTCCACCTTTACCACCCTCTCCACCGCCTCCGCTGCCTCCTCCGCCACCAAGCTCTCCTTCTGAACCTCCACCCCCTCCTCCACCTCCACTTCCTCTTCCACCTCCGCCTCCACCACCTTTTCATCCATCACAGCTCCCTCCTGGACCACCCTCAGCTCCTCAGCCACCTTTGCTACATCAGCATTTATTGCCAGCTCAACCCCTACATCCTCAGTCCTTAATATCAACACAACCTTCTATACAGTCACCACAATTGGCTTATCAGCAGCCTGCAGCTCATGAATACTGCAGTACATCCAGTGTATGATCTCTGACTGTTTCCTAGAATATTGTGTGTTTTTATTTTACTCGCTCAATACTCTACTTGTATTATTTCCAGGGAAATAAAACAGGTCAAATGGCTGGAACTGCTCATGCGAAGAATATGGATCATGTGATGAAAAGTCAGCAGTCACCTCGTTTTGCTCATTCAGCCGTTTGCAACTCTCGAGAAACTTCAGGATTCAGTTCTTCTATACATCTGGAATATAGTCATAATGATGTGTACTTAAATCCGCAAGCATCCCAACACAATCCTCAATTCCAGCCGGGCAACACTTCATTTGTGCCTAGACCTATGAATCCAAGCCTCCCGCAAACGGCACCGGGCCATTTTCAGTTTTCAAAGCCAGTGATTCAGCAACACCACCAGCAACCCTATACCCATCCTTATCCTGTGCCATCCCATCCTGAGGGGCATAGGAGATTTGTTGGTGATGATCAATGGAGGATGCCCTTGAATGAATTTAATGCTAATAATCAACATGGTGGATGGATGGGTGGAAGAACTCCATCGCATGGAGGGCATGCAATTGGCCAAGAAGGTAGGCTGTTCTCACCTCGAGTCCTTGATGAATATTGGGAATAGAGTGATGGTAATAGTGCTGCAACAGGCATGGATTTCACATGAAAATTTCTAATTGGAAAGTATATGGGTGGATTAATTCAATTGTGACAAGTTTAATCTGATAGTTAGACGATTGTGGTGCATGTGTGGTTGTGATACTTGTGAGGTTCAATTTTGACCCGTAACTGGCGTGTATGTTGACTATGAATGACGGCAGCAGACAGTGGACCGATTTGTTTGTCCATGTAGTAGACTTTGGATTCTTACTTCGTAATATTTCTTAAAAATAAAAAATAAATGAAAAGAATGGGTGACATAGCTTACTTTGGGAACTAAGCGCATGCCACCTTACAAAATTGAGCTCCCTCTGTAGCTTCTGGTGCATCAAAATGACTAAATTGGCATTGGACAATCAATGTAATATTTCTGTGGAGTATGTACTTGTCAGAATGGTGTCCCAGATCGAGAATTTCGATTTTTGTTTTGTATTTGTAATTAATGTTTATATGACTCCATTGAAGTACTTTATTAATATATAAAGTCACGTCAAGTCTGTCAACCTATTTGTGTTGTGTCACTTGACCTGAGCAGAGTTCTCTCTTTTCCAACTGGATGTTTCCCTGTCCAAACTTTTTGGTTGATTGATTGGTTTTGGTATGTCAGGCTTCTTCCGGGGACCAGTTGAAAGGCCACCAGTGAATGCTGTTGGTGTTCAGTTCCCTGCAAGTAACAATTTACCACCTGCACCTCCAATTCCAGGTCATCCCTGCTTTTGTTTGCCAAGAAAGTATCCTGTCAGCCACAAAACTTATGTGGAGTTTCTCTTATCCCATATTTGTTGACTCTAGCTTGTGTTGTTGCAGGTCATGGTGTTTCTCCGATGAGGCCATGTAGACCAGACATGTCTGCCGTTAATTGCTGGAGGCCAGGTTAAGGATACGAGTATGAAGCTTCCATCCATGTCTAGGTAACTCCCTCCTTTTTCTCTTCACTTGAAGGCTGTAGCAGGAGGTTGTTTCCTTTTATATGTTGAATCACCTTCATGTTCGTTCCTTTTCCCTGTGCCTTAAATCCTAACTCTTATTAAGTAATGCTTCTAGGACCCTTAGTGTTCTTTGTCCAAGTATTTGGGACTTCATAACTATGCTTCTGACTTTATTCTGGGGCTACGTAGCATAGGAAGTTGGAACTAAATGTTTGCCGAGTTTTAAGTCGCCCATGTTTTTCATGCTCATTTTACTCTCAGTAAAATTTAGGCATCTGATTATTTCTTACCTTTACGCTCACCTACTGAGATTTGGTGAACATCTCTTCCATGCTTTTTGTACTTTTAAACTTGTTTGATGAGATCCCATTGGCATGAATCTAATGTGGTTTTATTGTTTTTATTCTCTCTTTGAAAATATTACTTTCCTGGCCTTTTCTGTTGAAGTCAAGTTACTGTTTAATTTTTGTTCAAATGGTATCTTATTTAGGTTGGTGCCAATTTTGTGGGGATTAAGTGATGATTTTTCTTAGAGCTGCGGAGCAACAGAAAGAAGCAGTCACTGTGAGCACATACTCGAGCATTTGATAACACTGGACAGAATATAACTACTACCGGAAGTTGAGCATTTAGATCTTGTGGAGAATTTGGCAGGACGCTGTATATTGTATTTTTCCCTGACAAATGTATCGCGGGAACTTTTGCTTCCAAGTGTAGGCCCATATTTCTGACTTGGTTAGTATATCTGTTTCTTTGCTCTTGTAATTATATTGGTTCTTTTTTTTTTAACAATATAAAGAACTACTCAATCATCCACATTGCATCAAGTAGGTGACCTCATTCATGTAGAAGTCATATTCTTGTTTGTAGCCATTGCATGTTTTTTCATGCTATGCAGTCTCCAATTCACCAAGTATATACATGCATAACCATGAATGCTTGTTATGTACAATGGTTATGATTTATCAGACTAGATTCTGTTTGCTTTACACTTGCACTTCTTTGTAATTAGCTGTGGCTTGTAGGTAGTGGTCTGTCTAACATTATACTGAACAGAAGTGTATTATGTTTCTCGGAAAGAACTCGTAGCTGCAGTTTTTGTGTTTATCTCCTTTAGGATACATGACGTGATTCTTCGACATTTGTTTTCCTCTCTTACGAGCTTCCTGATGATTGTGCCTAAGTCATATTGATTTAGGTAGAAATAGTTGGATATACTGATTTCAGCGAGACTTTAGTTTACTTTTTTCATAATGAGAGAGTTTAGTTTACTTATTATTATTTTCATTTATTTATTAGCTGTTTCTTTTCTATATATTAAGTTGCTTAAAAATTGAAGAAAAAACAGCATCGTATAGGTGCAGATGTGATCTGTGACTGCTAAATTCCTCGCAGTTAGTAGTTGCAGAAAAGAAGGTTGACTTGACTTGGTTTAAACATTGTTATGGAGGTTCATATATTAGGGAAGAAAGAGGCTTATCCGCTTATACGGTCAAGAAGTAAAATAAAGAGAGGTATGGTACACGGTAAAATAAATTAATTGTAAAGCTTCGTGGTTTCGGCATCCCTAAGTGTTATGGCCACAGAAGTTGCTATGCTCTTGCTTGGGATGTTGCTTGTTGAACCTTGATTTTACATCTAGTGTATCTCTCAGCTCTTTTGGTCTTTAAAAACTCATGAATACAAGGACTTACATCCCTAAGTTCCGGTCCATTGCATTGTTTGTACTTGACCAGTATCTGTTCTTTGCATGATGTTCCACTGTAGAATCAGTTTCATTTTTTATCTAGTGCTGTGTGATCATAACACTCTAATCTTGTGGCATGCCTTTGTAATATTTCCTCTAGATTGGACTTAAAAAATGTAGCCTGATATCTTTTATACATTAGGTTAATCCCACTGCCTATTTAGGCCTTGTTTATGAACTCTTTCTGTGGCCAAATCAGAATAGAATAAAAACTCCTAGCATTAACCGCTTATCAACTGTTCTTAAGATCCCAGTTAAAGAATGCAAGATGAAGCTGGGTGGATTGCTTTCTTGCCTCCAATAGAGATCCTTCACCATAAAGGATGTTAGGAATTTCGTGCTATCATTTGTGCTACAGAGGTTTGTTTGATTGCTTACGAAATCAAGATTAAGAACCGAGGGAGAATTGACGTTATGTTTTTCTGATATTGTTGTCTTTGGTAATCTGTCTGATTCTGTAGTTTGCAGTAGTGTTGGGTCTTGAGCCTTGATGTGCATTTGATATTACTGTTTATCCTACTCCTGCAACCTTTTTTTTCCCTTCTTTTCCTTCCACCTGTGAAGATAATGCAAGAGGCTATCTCAATGTTAGTTGTGTAACATTGAAAAGCGTTGTTCATCCATTTTCTGGATTGCATCTGAAGACTGCCTGAGCAACATGCTGTGTTTTTCTTGTTTATGTTTTGATACTCTCTGAATACACTCTGCTCTGCATTCTGCATATCTTTCCCACAATTTTCTAACTGCTGTTTCATATATATATACAGTTTCTATATCAATTGGTTCCTTATTCCCTTATTTTGCTTAGGGCTCCTATACTTGTATTGAATTTTGCCCATATGCAGAGATAGTTTTGCTATTCTGTTACTGCCCGGTATTGCATGTAGGAGAGAGTTTTCCTGTCCAGACATGCTTCCATTGCTGAAAACTGAAATTTCCAGGAATTGGAGAGTTAGCTAACTTGAATCATTTTGAACCATCACTGAGATTTAACTTGTTGCATATGTTAACCCACAAATTGGAAGTTTCTGGTAATGCAGATTTTGGGTAAGCACAAGAGGCCCGGAATCGGCCCCAGTCGGGAGCTATCTCCGAGATAGCGGGGCAGACCAAATGGAGTTGAGATTTCTGATAGCCAGGAAGTGCAAAGGTAGAGATAGCGGGGGAGATCAAATGGAGTTGAGATTTCTGATAGCCAGGAAATGCAAAGGTAAACACTTTCGGCAGATTTCTGAACTTGAGACGAAAGCCTTGATGTCGCGATTATGTCTGTTAGATTTTTAAGATTAGCATAGCCTAGGAGAAGTCTTGGGATTTTTGGGAAATTATTACTCTCTGGTATTACAGGTTCTCATTCCACCCTTTCCCTCTTGTATATGTGAATTCTCTTCATATCAAATGTACATGGATAACATAAAAGAAAAAGGCCCGGAAATGGCTATTTGTTTCTTGATTTATTTTTCCACCAAACTCCCGCCAGCCAAATGTGTCACCTGGGAAACAACCCAACCCGCTCTAGGTATGGCAAAAATGCAAGTTTTGAGTCGTAACGAGCCAGTAACACAAGGCTAATCAGTCTTGGTTGTGTATCCGAGGATGGGTTCAAGTGAAGAAATCGGACATCTTGTAAAAAAAACAGTCAAATCATACATGTACTCGAACCGAATGTCTCCAGTTCTGATCATCTAGCTATATAATCAGAGCTTAAATTTCTCGATACAACTCAATCTCATTCATTACCGGTCAGGCTTGGCTGGCTCTCTCATAAAAAAAGTGTGCAGTTTCCACACCAGTTCTTCAGCTAGATCGCATAAGAAGCGATAGCAAGGTAATTGCTGCGCCTGATAGTGCATACTGGTCTTCCTTTGGGCTGTATTTTCGACCCGGCCATTGCAAATGGACTAGGACTAGCTCTAGCATCTGTCTAGTTCAACGAGCTCTCGATGACTTGCTGCAGAAACCAGGTCCACGGTATCACCTGGATCTCTTAAACCGTCTGGTTTAGGGCTCAAGTTCTCCAATTATAATGCTCCAAGCTGTTGCCAAACCAATTCTACTGCCAATCACTCACCTCATCAGCATGTTGGGGGATGTCGGCTTCAGATTTCTTCCGCCTTCTTACCTTGTAGTCGCTTTCTGAACTGATGCGAGCCAACTCGGAACTTGAACTCTCAATCACGCAGCGAAGCAAGAATGGTAGTGTGAGGATGGATTTCGGAATAGTCGAATAGAGGTTTTGGCGGATAAAACGAACCAAGCTAGCAACTTCAACACGAAGGGGAAGAGGCTGGTTTGGGTAGAAGAATACTACGAGATCAAGGGTGGTGGGTTTGATCTTGAAGTCTGCAAGTCTAGGATCTCGATCCAAGACCAAACTCAAGCACTCGTGCTCAAAAACTCCTCGGAGTAACTTTTGTTCAATTCAATGATAACGTGTTCTTTACAATGGATGAACAAAGCTATTTATAGCCAAAATAACATAACCTAATCCTATTAAAACAATAAAAACGAATTCAAGTGCAACAAGGAAAGTAATTAACACCAATCACCAAAACTTGCACGCTAAGCAAGCTGTCCAGGAAACAGCCTTTCCTCCCATCTTCATGCCCTTCGATGGAAGCCTTCCAGGTAAGCAATCCTCTAGCCAATTCCATGTCTTTGTAGAACAACAAACATACATTCATGTGGTCTGAAGCCTCGAGGACGATTCTCCCCCATGCTCATGAAACTGGGCTTCAAAGTCACTATCTCAAACACCCTTTCTGACTTAGTCAAAAACTGGCAGATTTCCAGTTTCATGACAGCATTTTGACGACCTTGGTTCACCCTCTTCCTGGCTTCCCTTTGTCGATCCAAGCACTCCAACATGTATAAAAACATCCCAGGTTCACAACAAGTGCTTATTCGCCCATTTCTATTGAACCAATTGCGAGATACAACTCTCCAAAGAGGGCTTCCCAAAACTGTTTCCATACTTAGAAAAATCCCAGCTTTGTTCTTGTTGACTTGACACCATCTTTGATCGATTAATCGACAGACAAATGACGATGGAATTGATATCATATCATGAACCATCGTTCTCATCCAGTTAAATGTTGACATAGCAACTGGATTTCCTATGGTAGGTTCAAGGAGGGTTGGTGTCTAGAGAGAGTCCCAGATCAGCAGGAGTGAGACCATATTAACCCTGGCTAATGGCAGGAGAGACCTTTCTTCCTTCAGGCTGAGGATCTTGGCCTCCGGTTATGGAATGAATCTACGAGATCAGAGTTGCTTCCTCTGCAAACACATTGTTATCACCAGTTGATGCGCCTGCAAATACATCCGAGATTACAGTCCACATCACGACTTCAGCATATCAGAGAGATTAGTATCAAGTAAAGGAATGATAAATTATACAAAGATTACATGTAACTCGAACCATTCTCTCCTCTGTTCATACCCAATAATAAGACCCTAAACATGATCCTATGACACGTTATTACAGTTGCGAATTTTGCTTTCTTTTCCCTATTTTGATAATCTAGCTATATGTTCAGAGTTCAAATATCTCGATACAATTCAATCCCATTGCTCGCCAGCTAGGCGTGGCTCTCTCCTCAAAAAGTGGATAATTTTCCACACTGTGGATCCGTTTCTCCAGCAAATAACATCAAAAGTAGTAGTAGCATGTATATAATGGCTAACCCTAGTCAACGGCTGCTTTGTTTCTCCACCCACTCAAGGGCTTTGGCAACCCATCGAAGATGGGCCTAGCTATGGCTGCAGCCGACAAAGCCTGCAGATCTGCTTTCAGACTCCATTTTGGAGTCGGCCATGTGAATGAACCACCACTGCCATCTGTCTCATTCAAGCTCGAAGTGCTCGACGACTTCCTCACTGCAGAAACCAGGTCACCAATGTCCGCAGGATCTCCTGCACCAGCTGGTTTATTAGGGCTCAAACTGCCTGCTGCTGCTGCTGCCTCGAGTTCTGCTATCAAAGCACTCCGGCTTGCTGATTTGGCTCTTAATGCTAACCCTTTACCTCCAGCTTTTCCTGCTGATACTGAAGCGCTACCATTGCTGTTCTCTTCCCTCATCAGCATGTTTGGGAAGTCAGCTTCCGATTTCTGCCGTCTTCTTACCATGGAGTCACCATCTGCAGCATTGCTCTCATCAAGTAAAACATTGACATAGCTCCTGGATTTCCGGTGATGGGTTAAAGGAGGGTTGGTGTCTGGAGAGACTCTGAGATCAGCAGGAGAAGGAAGACCATAGTAACCATGTAAAGACGTCATTGCAGGAGAGGCCTTTCGTCCAGAAGAAGACTTTGGCCTCAGGGTTTGAAATGAATCGAGGAGATCCGTGTATCCACGCTCGAGTGGCGTGTGGTCCAAGTTGCTCCCCCTGTAAAAAAGAACTTCCCAGTGTTATATGAATCACAGTGGTGTGAAGTGGCAGTATGCAGTCTACATCACAGGCCTCCAGAATAATGCACATAAAATAACCTACTGAAACTCTGCTACTATAAGTTGTAGTGCTGCATCTGTTCACATACATAATACATTTGCAAAGATCTTCATGCCAGAATCCACCGAACAAATTTTTTGACCAAACCCATCAGCAGAGATATTCAAGGCTCAATCAAACCCACCACTAAAATCTACTCATACGAACAGCACGCTCAGTACTGTTTAAAAGTTCTTGGAACAAAAATCCCCACTTTCCCGATGGCAAGATAGGAAAAAGAATCTGGACACGAAAATGCTGACTTAACTTTTGAATTGGTCACTTGAACAATGATTACCTAGACGTAATATCAGGCTTCCATTATGGTTCATAGAGATTAGATTCTATCTTTTCCATTATGGTTCATAGAGATTAGATTCTATCAATCAGGTGGAAGCACAATGAATGAACCTGAGCAGTATCAGCAAGGAGGAGAAAAAGTAAAGGTAAATATGAAGAATACCCAGAGTTCTCAGCACCACTTGATAAACATGGGGATGGAGGGTGTCTCCCAGGTAGAGGAATCCGGAGTGTTTTCAGGGCAAACATTTGATGATCTGTAACCAGGCCATTCTTCTTTTTTATGTCGGCCACCTAAGATTCCACAAAACCAGGTGAGCATACACATAAGTTAACAATCAATGCCTTTCAACCTGTATTGACTATTGAACAAACAAAAGGGGAAGAGAAAGGAAGGAAAAGGCAAGCCAGACAAAAAGCAGTCCACAACAACTGGCATTACAAATTAAATGATTTCCATTCAGAATCAACAACACCTTCTACCAATGCCAGGGAAGGAGACAATCATTGCATTATCCACTCATTGTCACGTTCGGATGCCAAATAAAAGGGAACTCCAATCAAAAGCTTTTACCCACCCAAACAGAATAAAATACAACACCAGCTGGGGAATCACACGAGTCCAGGAGGGGAAATAACATTTACCTCAACGCCATACTTGATGGCAACGCCGGCGAGGGTATCGAACTTGGAAACCGGATGCTCAATGAAGCCACGGGAGACCGGCGACGTCGTCGGCGAGGAGTTGGTGGAGGTGCCCCCGCCGCTGGAGGGCTTGAATGGAGTAATAGAACCATTTACATTGTTGAAAAAATTGTGACTGTAATTATCGAATCCTCCTAAATCCTCATCAGCGTTCTGCAGCTGCAGCTGCCTATCATAATCATTGCTAAACTGACTGTATCTATGATTACAATTACTCATCATAATTTCCTTCGTACCCTCCCTCTCCATCTGCTGCGTCCCCAATCCAACATAAAGAGACACACAGAAAACCCCTCCCCAACTATGAACACCAAACAACAAAACCAAAAAGAACCCTTTTTTATCCGAAACTCAGCAAACCATATCAGCCAAGAAAACGAAGATGGCGGATTTTTTCTTCTTCTTCTTCGGTTTCTCGGGTAAGTGATCCCAATTGGGGAGCACCCAGATTTCCCCTCAACTCGCCCACAAACGAGACAGATCAAGTGGGGTGTCGCAATGCGGATTCCAGCGGCGGTGTACGCAGAATCAATAGATCGGCCCGAAACCGACCACGGGAATCGCGATTATGCAACAGCCGGAAGTCGGTGGAGAAAATCGCGTGAAACAAACAGAAAGAGGGAGAGAGAAAATTAGAGGAATAACGACAAATTGAATAGAAGGAAGGATGAAGACCATTCAATCAAACCAAACAAACAACAAAGAGGGATGGAGGGGAAGGAAAGAATGCAGAAATCTGGAGATCCAAAACCAAATAGCGGAAAGAAGAAAGGAGAGGAGAGAGTATCTGCTCTGGTTTTCCCCCTTATTTTCTTTCTTCCCCGAACCAAATTTTCCGGGAAAGGAAAACAAATCCCTCTCTCACTCTTTGCTTCTCGCTGCACCAGGCCCTCCCTCAAATAACGCCATTTGTTAGATTGCGTAATTTATATTATATAATTTGGATTTTAATAATTGCTGTTTAATAAAAGTTAGAAGTCAAAGGAGCCAGATTAAAGGAACGACACAAAGCACAGCCTGATTAGTGATTAACTGATTAACCTTCAATCCACCAAAAATAAAATGATTATGTCTAAAGAAAATGAAATTTTCATTTCCGTTAAAAATAAAAGGAAAAATACAGGATTACGAGTAAATTCCCAGCGAAGTGTCCCTTTATACGTGTCAATCAACGAGGGTTGCAACTTGCAACTCGTATAAGGATTGTGTCGGCTGGGTCACAATCTCTGGCCCGGCCCGGCCCGGCCCAAACCCATTTATCTATTGGTTATTGCAATGCTCTGCCCTTTCCCTTGCTATGACAGCCGAACCGGACTGACCAGTCAGGCTAGTTGTAGAAACAGTGAAAAGACACAAAATGGGGATGGAAACCCTTCTCTTGGGACTTAGAAAATGTACTGGGGGTGGAGGATGGTGATGCAACCAGGATGAATGAAGCTTGGATTTATAATTTTGTGGACTTTTGGGATTTTCGGAGAAAACATGTTCGCTGATCAAAGTTGTTGATTTCATTTCGCTGATCAAAGTTATGAGACAATCCAAGTACCACTTCGGTAATACAAGGGAAGGGACTATTGTATATAAGTATCCATCAAGCTCATAAGTACGAGGCCTTTTGGGGAGGACACCTAAGAATAAAACCGAGTGGGCTTGGCCCAAAGCGGACAATATCGTACTAATGAGCAGCCCAATTTCGAAAAGTGGTATTAGAGGGCTAGGAGAGATCCACGTTTGGGCTTGGCGGATCAAAGAACTGTTATGGGACAATCCAAGTACCACATCAGAGATACAAGGGTTGGGAAGGAACCCTTGTATATTAGTGTCCACCAAGCTCATTAGTACGAGGCCTTTTCGAAAAGTGGTATTAGAGGGCTAGGAGAGATCCACGTTTGGGCTTGGCAGATCAAAGAATTGTTATGGGACAATCCAAGTACCACATCAGAGATACAAGGGAAGGAACCCTTGTATATTAGTGTCCACCAAGCTCATTAGTACGAGGCCTTTTGGGGAGGACACCCAAGAATAAATCCGTGCGGGCTTGGCGGATCAAAGTATTGTTATGGGACAATCCAAGTACCACATCAGAGATACAAGGAAGGAACCCTTGTATATTAGTGTCCACCAAGCTCATTAGTACGAGGCCTTTTGGAGAGGACACCCAAGAGTAAATCCGTGCTGGCTTGGCCCAAAGCGGACAATATCATGCTAATGAGCAGCCCAATTTCGACAAGTGGTATCAGAGTCTAGTTCGGTTCGGGGCGGTGGACGTCAGTTTGGTGGACCCTCATTCGGTAACCTCGGGATTTGCGATTCGCGTCTGTTTGGCGGATCAAGGGAGATCTGCGTCTGGGCTGTTTGGTGGATCCAGGAGAGATCCACGTTTGGGTTTGGCGGATCAAAGAGAACCGAGAAGCCCATCGATACAAGGTGTCTGGTGGATCAAGATAATCGCTGAGGTGAGGACTCGAAGTTCGTGGTCTTTGTCTTGAGGGGTTGATTGTCATGGGACAATCCAAGTACCACATCGGTAATACAAGGGAAGAGACCCTTGTATATAAGAGTCCACCTAGCCCAATTAGTACGAGGCCTTTTCGGGAGGATACCCAAGAGTAAAACCGTGCGAACTTGGCCCAAAGCGGACAATATCGTACTAATGGAGCACCCCAATTTCAACAAGTGGTATCAGAGTCTAGTTCGGGGCGGGACGGTAGACTCTAATACACAAGGGTTCCTTCTCTTGTATTTTCGATATGGTACTTGGATTATCCCATAACACTTTATATGTTTTGAAGTTATCCTGAAGATCACGATTGAGGCTGAGGGATTTTGTGTCAGATGGGTTTGGAACTTCGATAGAAAATATATGTTTTTCTGTCGTCTTGTTATTACAAACTTCATTCTTCTCTATCTTCTGTAGTCTATCTTCTGGGGTGTTTAGTCCTACTTTTTTTGACAAAGGAGAGTCTTTATTGCATTTTAACTGATCAGTTACAAAGAGACAACAACCAACATTCTGGTTCAACAGGAGGAAGGAAAAGGGAACCCGGTTACAATCAAACCATGAAAAGCAAAGCAAGAACAGAGAACACAACACAGTTTGACAGCAACCATCCAACACAACAGAACCCCTGAAAACACCAGTATCAGAAATCTCTCTTGCAACCAACCACTTAGAATGCAACAAGAGCGAAATCAGCTTGTCCGATCAACTCGAAATCCATGGCTAGTGATTGAACCATATGCCGCCTCCTGGGGATAACTCGAAGGCATCCATCACAGTGAATCCTAGAAACAAGATTGCATGGCGGTGGAAGAGGATTTGAACGGATTGCTCCAAGCTGACAGAGGCAGAGGAAGGTGAGGCAGAGATATCATGTTTGAAGCAGAGCAGAAGATCCCAAGGGAGCCACAGATCTCCACAGAAAACACTGATAACCAACCACAACCACCGGAGAAGACCCGACCCTCCACGATCCGACGGCTCACCCCGCAACACAAACACAAAGTGCAGATCGGAAAGGGAAAGAAGAGAATGGCTCCACCAAAGGATGAAACCACCAACCTGGAAAAATCACCACCATCCAGATCTGGACTAGGCACTCACCAAATTGCTAACTCTGGATCCTACAACGAGCAAACCTTGATCAGGAGAACCAAGAACCGAAGGAAGAGACAAAGCTCGACGGGAAAAGAAGAGACGAAGCTCGACTGGGAAGGAAGCTGAAAGGCCACAACGGCAGGGGGAAAGCTGGAAATCCGAAGGAAAATCACCTAGAACAAGACCAGGTGAAGCAAGAGCCCAAAGAAAAGAAGGAGGAAAGAAAAAAAAAACATGGAGGGGCTTGAGCTGCCGCCGGTCACCAAAAAGAGCCGGCGGCAGCCCCTGGAAACACACAGAAAAAGGAAGCGAGAAAAAGAAGAGAGAGGGCAGAGAAAAGAGTTCTGTTTAGTCCTACTCGAAGAAGGTAAAAGCTTCTTTTATCTACAATCCATCGCAATGGCATTCCCACCAACAGGATGATGATCCACAATTACACAATTTTAGTTGGCTGATCATCCTGCTATCAAATTTGTGATTGGCCATTCTATTATCAAAATGTTATTGATAAGTCAAATTCTATCTATTTAATACGCTCTATTTCAAACAGGGAATCCAGCCATTGGATCATTAAGGTTTTTTTTATTATTTGGGTTACAGAAGTTGACCGGTTGAGAAAGAAACTTTAAACAAGAAAGGGGAAGAAGGAAAGGTCCTCCTCAAATCGATGTTACATGAGATAAACCCACAGAAGTCGGTGCCAGGGTACAACACCAATAAATAGCAACGGGGAAGCAAGAAGAAATGCATGTGGTGGTTGGATTGGATTGCAAATTGGAAATGTTCTATTTCAGCAAGTGTAAATCCACCCTAGACTAAACCTGAAGCCCCGGAGCTTTACCGAACCAAGATACAAAGATCAAATATTCGAGCTAAATCGTATTCGAGAAGTAAAATTGAACGTATTTTACACATGAGATAACCGATTTAGATTACAACGAGCCAATAATTATACTACTTTATTACGAAAATACCCAACAAAAATAAAACAAATAAATTCCAAGTCCAACAATGGCTCAAACCATCTGGTACACGCACAGCAAAATGGGGCGAGCGCGAGGCCATCCAAAGCCCGGTTGAATTGGGCTTGATGCTGGCTGGTGTGGAAGGCCCAGTGTTGTCATAAGATCCATATGCTTATCTTCCCCGTCAATTGACCCTGGGCCCAGCCCAATAAATATAAACAAACAATGGGGAAATAACCACCGCGCTAGCCCATCAGCCCACCGCGTCGTTCGCAGTTCAACCATCGCCGACGGTCTTCTCCATTGACTTGCAAAAACACGGCAGAATCAATCAATAAAATAAAAAAAAATAGTACATAACAACAAAAGTGGGGAAAGGAATGTGAAAGGGAAACCCACCTTGATTTGGAAAGGGAATGGAAACCCGCAGTTTGTGTTGAATAGTAAGATACGCTTACATAAAATCATGGTACATTAAACCATATCGTACCGATGGTTCAACCACAAAATAGCAGTATTGGAGGCTAAACCGATAGGCGGTATTTAACGGTACTAACGGTTGAACTACGGTTAAACCACGATTTTGTCATAAAATACCCTATCGCTGACTTTTCCGGTACGGTCTCCAGTACGGTTACATGGACCATGCATAAAATACCACACTAGTACCAACCAATCTGACACCCACTTGCATATACATATATCAACAATGAACTATTTATATATGCGTCTATAAGCTGTGAATCAAATCCTCAGCTCGTGGTATTTGAAATTCAATGTATTCAAGATTCCACCTCGTCAACTCTTCAATATAGTAATGGCTGCTCTATTCCCATAATTCAACCCTGCAAAAGAGTTTCACAGCACGCCAATACCGGTTTCAGCAGCTATACCCCATGCCAGTTCCAATTTGTTCCGAGTTCCGGTTACTCTCCCATGGCCAGATCAACCCAATTTGGAAACCTCTGCCCACTTGCTTTCTCTCTTTCCAGTCTCCAAACTTCTCTTCCCCATGAATTCCTTCCTCCCAAGCCACTGATCATAACCATTTAAGACAAGCTTCCCGCATATGTTCTGCACACAACAAACCTCTAAACGAAAACAAACATGGTCGACATTTCCTCTGCCCCTCTTCTTGCCCTTCTCCTCTTTCTACTCTCACAGACCCACATCCGACCGGCGACCAGCGCCGGCGGCAACGAAACCGATATACTGTCACTCCTCCAACTGAAATCCACACTGATAGACCCACTTGGAGCTCTGAGCTCATGGAACCAAACCCTCCATTTCTGCCAATGGCAGGGAGTAACCTGCAACAACGAAACCGAACAGAGGGTGACCCAACTCGACCTCAAGCTAAACCGGCTCAGCGGCTCCATCTCCCCACACATCGGCAACTTGTCCTTCCTAACCCACCTCATCCTCAACAACAACACCATCTCCGGCGAAATCCCGCCGGAAATCGGCCGCCTCACCCGCCTCCAGCAGCTCGTGCTAGTCCAAAACTCAATCTCCGGCACCATCCCGCCGAACCTCTCCGCCTGCTCCAATCTCACCATGTTGCGAGTCGGCAACAACGGCTTGTCCGGCGAGATCCCGACACAGCTCTGCAATCTCATGAACCTCCAGCTGCTCTCAATCCATTTCAACAACTTCACCGGAAATTTCCCTTCCTGCTTCGGCAACGTGTCTTCCCTCCAGGCGATCTCTGCGGCTCGGAACCAATTCGTCGGCGGGATTCCAGAGTCTCTGGCCAGATTGAGCAACCTGAACGTAATTTCTTTCGGGGCGAATCGATTTTCTGGTCAATTCCCACTTCAATTCTTCAACTCCTCTTCCATTCAAATCATTAGCATCATTGAGAATCAACTCACCGGAACCCTACCTCTAGGGTTAGGGTTTACTCTGCCGAATCTGGTCCATCTCAATGTGGCTTACAACAATTTCACCGGTCGAATTCCCGAATCAATCTCCAACGCGACAAACCTGCAGGTTTTCGAGTTGGGTTACAACAATTTCCACGGCGGAGTGCCTTCATTGGCGAAGCTGAACCGGATCCAACTCCTGGGACTGATTAGCAACAACTTGGGCAGTGGAGGAGAAGGAGACGATCTGTTCTTCCTCCATACGTTGACCAACAGCACGATGCTCCAAGTGGTCAACGTCGGGATGAACAATTTCTCCGGCGTGTTGCCGCACAGCATAAGCAACTACTCCGCAACTTTCGTCAGGCTGTCGCTGCGTCTGACCCCGTTGATCACCGGAACGATTCCGGCGGGGCTCGACCGGCTGGTCAACTTGGAGCAGCTGGATTTCAACGGAAACAGTCTCTCCGGCAATCTCCCGGTCGAATTGGGGAGGATCCCCAAGTTCATGACTCTTCAGGTTCAGAACAACAACCTGTCGGGAACCATTCCTTCCAATATCGGAAATTCAACCAAGTTGCTCACGGTGTGGCTGCAAGGGAATCAACTGGAAGGTGAGATTCCTTCGAGTTTCGGTCAGAGCAAGGATATGACGCTGCTGAATCTAGCAGATAACAATCTCAGTGGGGGGATTCCGCCGGAGATTCTCGATCTCCAGGACTTGAGTTTTGTCCTTGATCTTTCTGGGAACAGGTTGAGTGGCCGGATTCCTGAGGAAGTTGGAAACTTGGTCAACTTGGGTCAACTGGATCTCAGCAATAACATGCTGTCAGGTTCGATCCCGTCGAGTATAGGGAGATGTGTGAGACTGGAGACCGTAAATCTGATGGGGAATTTGTTTCAGGGCTCTATCCCTTCGTCTTTTAGGGCACTCAGAGGGTTAGAAGTTCTCGACCTTTCTCGCAATAACTTGTCAGGAATGTTACCCGACTTTCTTCAGGAGTTTACATCGTTGGTGACACTCAACTTGTCTTACAACAACTTCCAAGGTGCACTGTCAATGCAGGGTGTCTTCGGGAATTCAACTACAACTTTGGTCATGGGAAACAATGAGCTCTGCGGGGGAATGCCGGAGTTTGGATTACCAAAGTGCTCCATGGAGGGTTCAAAGAAAGGCGGTCTCAGCACGGTTGTGAAGATCATAATCTCGGTTGTAAGCTGTCTCTTAGGACTCGCTGCCCTTCTTTCATTCCTCTACTTTTGGTTCCTGAGGAAGAAAACCAAAGACCCTGAAGCAGCTTCACTCTTTACCGGTAACACACTTCTGGGGCCTACGTATAATAATCTACTCCATGCCACCGATGGGTTTTCGTCTGCTAATTTGCTCGGAGCAGGCAGCTATGGCTCTGTGTACAAGGGGATTATAGCCATAGAAGACAACAAGAAGATGTTTGTTGCCGTCAAGGTGTTGAATCTTCAGCATTCCAGAGCGGTCAAGAGCTTTGTAGCAGAATGCGAGGTGTTGAAGAACATCAGGCACAGGAATCTTGTCAAGTTGCTGACTGTGTGTTCAGGAATCGACTTCCAGGGTAATGATTTCAAGGCCCTGGTGTATGACTTCATGGTTAACGGGAGCTTGGAGGAATGGCTTCATCCCAGGCTTCTTGATGAACAAGCAACAGGAAAAACAAAGGTAGAGTTGAGTCTCCTCCAAAGGTTGAACATAGCCATTGATGTAGGAACCGCACTGGATTATCTTCATAACGAGAGTGGAGTACCGGTAGTTCATTGTGATCTCAAACCTAGCAACATCCTGCTGGATGTCAATATGGTGGGACATATTGGAGACTTTGGGTTAGCAAAGTTCCTTCCACAAGTAGAGCTCAACACTCCAGCAAATAGTACGACGAGTTCTTCGATTGGTGTTAGAGGAACAGTTGGCTATAGCGCGCCAGGTAAAAAGCTTTCTTTCGCCTTTTATTTCCTTAGTGGCATCATCTTTTTCTCTGCCATTTGCTTTATCTGTATTTGGCGAAACTTGCAGAGTACGGAATGGGGAGTGAAGTTTCTACCCACGGAGATGTGTACAGCTATGGCATTCTGTTGCTGGAGATGTTCACAGGGAGAAGGCCTACCGATGAAACGTTCAAAGATGGGTTGAATCTCCATAACTTTTCAGCAGCAGCTTTGGCTGATAAAGCAACAGAGATCGTAGATCCCACTGTGCTTCTGGAGAGACAAGACGACAGCAGCAGCAGTAGATCGAGCGACGATCATAGCAAGAATGAAACGCAGAAGGTGTCGATGGAGGCATTGGTTTCGATTATACAAGTGGGGGTTGAATGTTCAAATGAAATGCCAAGAGAACGAATGAGCATCGGTGATGCTGCAACTAAGCTAACAGCAGTGAGGGACAAACTTGTTAAAGCTAGAATGTAGCGAAGAGACATAATTATGCACAGAAAAGTGGTCACAATAACAGGACAATAGCATTTCGTTGGTACTTTCGATGTATCTGAATGTATATGGTATTGTACAAGTAATCTGATGAGGGCAACTGAACAATTGTTTCTCGGCAGCATCATCGAATCCAACCTTTGCTGTATCATGTCAACTTCTCCCTAACTGAATGAGAAGTCAAAGAAATGGCGCCGCCACCAAATTGCAATAGTGATTACGAAACAGAGTGGGTGAAGCATTACCCTTATCTTATTGGCAGGCCCCTTTCTTTCGCTGTCGAATATCTTCTTCGCTGTCTATGATCACATCTGCGCAAATCCGAAACCTCTGCCCACTTGTTTTCTTCCTTTCCCTACAGTTCTCTTCTCATTCAACTTCTCTTAGGCCATTGACTTTCTTCCATATCCCAATCTAATGATTATCAAATCTTGATTCTTTTCTTCCACTACAGAAAAAGATTGATTCTTTATTATAACCGAGACCATAATTTCGCCCAAGACAGGACTTAGTTGTGATAAAGGGCTAGAAATGAAAGACTGATTCTTTAACCCTTGTACACACTTGCAAACCTGTAATCACCAACTAAAAGAAGCAAACATATGCCCACCTTGGTTGACATAATCTCCTCTCGCAGACATATAGTAGGCCGGTGACCGAAGCGGGCAGCAACAAAACCGACAGAGGAGCACTTCTCCAACTCAAATCAACAGTGATAGACCCAATGGGAGCTCTGAGCTCATGGAACCAAGCCCTCCACTTCTGCCAATGGCAGGGCCTAATCTGCAACAATGAGAAAGAACAGAGGGCTAACCCATCATCATCATCATCCCCGCCGCGTCCTTCCCAGTTCAATCATTGCCGACGGTCTTTCTCCAGTTCATTGACTTGCAAAAAAAAAAAAGACAGAAGAGAAGGCAGACAAACATAATCAAGAAATGGTAAAAAAGGGGAAATGAGTGTGAAAGGAAACCCGCCCTAATCTGGAAAGGAATGGAAATCCGCAGTTTTATCAGTTTTGTGTTGAATAGTGAATACATTAACATAAAATATTAGACAAGTACCAACCAACAACCCACTTGCATATATATAAACAAAGTTAAGACATGCATCTATAAGCTGGGAATCGATTCCTCTGCTCATGGTATTTGACATTCAATGAATTCAAGAGCCCCCTTTCGCCAACCCTTCAGTGTAGTAATGGCTAGTCTGTTCCCATAGTTCAACCTGCAAGGAGTTTCAGTGTTTCACAGCACGCCAATACGGACGCCAGCAGGGCTTCAACTGGGTTAGAATTTCGGCGCCTCTCTGCGGATTAAGTAAATCATTCCCTAACTTCTCTTCCCCATTGAATTTGTTCATCCTCCTAGTCCAGTGATCATAAATTCATAACCATAAGAGATCGGCTTCCCACGTGTGTTTGTTCATCTCGCTAGTGTATTTAATCATTCTGCACACAACAAACCTCTAAAGAAAAGAAAAATGCCCACCTTGGTTCACATTTCCTCTGTCCCACTTCCTGCCCTTCTCCTTCTTCTACTCTCACTCTCCCAGATCCATATTCAACCGGCGACCGCTGCCGGCGGCAACGAAACGGACAGACTAGCACTTCTCCAACTCAAGTCAACACTAATAGACCCACTGGGAGCTCTGAGCTCATGGAACCAAACCCTCCATTTCTGCCAATGGCAGGGAGTAACCTGCAACAACGAGACAGAGCAGAGAGTGACCCAACTCAACCTCGAGTTAAACCGACTCAGCGGTTCAATCTCCCCACACGTTGGCAACTTGAGCTTCCTAACTCACCTCGTCCTCAACAACAACACCATCTCCGGCGAGATCCCGCCGGAGATCGGCCGCCTCCGCCGCCTCCAGGATCTCGTCCTGGCCCAGAACTCCATCTCCGGCACGATCCCTGCAAACCTCTCCGCCTGCTCGAATCTCACCATGTTGCGAGTGGGTTACAACGGTTTAACCGGAGAAATCCCAATCGAGCTCTGCAAACTCATGAACCTCCAGCTGCTTTCAAACCATTTCAATAACCTCACCGGCAATTTCCCTTCCTGCTTCGGCAACTTGTCTTCCCTCCAGGCGATCTCCGCACCTAGGAATGAGTTCTTCGGCGGGATTCCAGAGTCTCTGGCCTGGTCGAGAAGCCTAAGAATCGTTTCTTTCGGGGCGAACCGATTTTCCGGTCCGTTCCCGCTTCAGTTCTTCAATTCGTCTTCAATTCAGGCGATCAGCGTCATGGACAATCAACTCACCGGAACCCTCCCGCCAGAATTGGGATTTACTCTGCCGAATCTGTTCCATCTGAATTTGGTTCTCAATAATTTCACCGGCCGAATTCCTGACTCGTTGTCCAACGCAACAAACCTGCAAATTTTCGACCTTGGTCACAACAATTTCCATGGCGGAGTTCCTTCTCTGGCGAAACTGAACCGGATTCAATTCCTGGGAATGATGAACAACAGCTTAGGACATGGAGGTAAAGATGGCGTGGACGATCTTCTCTTCCTTGATTCTCTAACAAACAGCTCGTTTCTGGAAGTGGTCAACGTCGGGATGAACAATTTCTACGGGAAGTTGCCTCACAGCATAAGCAATTACTCAACGACTTTCATCAGGCTGGCGCTAATGCTAACCCCGGGGATTACAGGAACAATTCCGCCGGGACTTGATAAGTTTATCAACTTGGAGCAGCTGGATTTCAACGACAACAATCTCTCCGGCGAAATTCCTGTTGAATTGGGGATGCTACCCAAGTTGATGACACTTCAGATTCAGAACAATAACTTGACAGGAAAAATTCCTTCCAATATTGGCAACGGGACCAAATTGCTCCATGTTTGGCTGGAAGGGAATCACCTGGAAGGCGAGATTCCTCCCAGCTTCGGGAAATGTCAGGATTTGTCGGCGCTGAGTCTCGGGGAGAACAAACTCAGCGGTGAGATTCCGGTGGAGATTCTCAACCTCCCGGCCTTGGGTTTGGTTTTCAACCTCTCCTGGAACAGGTTGAGTGGCCGGATTCCTGATGAAGTTGGGAACTTGGTCAACTTGGGCGAACTCGATCTCAGCAATAACATGCTGTCAGGTTCAATCCCGTCCAATTTGGGGAAGTGTGTGAGATTGGAGACCCTGAACCTGATGGGGAACTTGCTTCAGGGCCCTGTCCCTTCATCTCTTAGGGAGCTCAAAGGTTTGGAAATTCTGGACCTTTCTCGCAACAACTTGTCAGGAGAAGTACCAGACTTTCTCCAGGAGTTCACCTCGTTGGTGACCCTCAACTTGTCCTACAACCATTTCCAAGGTCCTCTGTCGACGCAGGGAGTTTTCAGGAATGCAACTAAAGCTTTGGTCATGGGGAATAATGAGCTCTGTGGGGGAATGCCTGAGTTTGGATTACCAAAGTGCTCCGTGGAGAGTTCCAGGAAAGGCGGTCTCAGCACGATAGTGAAGATCATAATCTCGGTTGTAAGTTGTCTCTTAGGGCTCATTGCTCTTCTTTCATTCTTGTACTTTCGGTTCCCGAGGAAGAAAACCAAAGACCCTGAAGCAGCTTCACCCTTTACTGGGAACACACTTCTGGGGACTACATATCATAATCTACTCCAAGCAACCGATGAATTTTCGTCTGCTAATTTGCTCGGAGCAGGCAGCTATGGCTCTGTGTATAAGGGGCTTATAGCCATAGATGACAACACCAAGATGTTTGTTGCTGTCAAGGTGCTGAACCTTCAGCATGCCAGAGCGTTCAAGAGCTTTGTAGCAGAATGCGAGGTGTTGAAGAACATAAGGCACAGGAATCTTGTCAAGTTGCTGACCGTGTGTTCAGGAATCGACTTCCAGGGTAATGATTTCAAGGCCCTGGTGTATGAGTTCATGGTTAATGGGAGCTTGGAGGAATGGCTTCATCCCGGGCTACTTGATGAACAAGAAACAGGAAGAAGGGAGGAGTTAAGTGTCTTCCAAAGGTTGAACATAGCTATTGATGTTGGTACTGCATTGGATTATCTTCATAACGATAGTGGAGTACCTGTGGTTCACTGTGATCTCAAGCCTAGCAATATCTTGCTGGATGTCAATATGATGGGACATATTGGTGACTTTGGGTTAGCAAAGTTTCTCCCACAAGTGGCGCTCAGCAGCCCAGCAACAAGCTCTTCAATTGGTGTTAGAGGAACAGTTGGTTATAGCGCACCAGGTAAAAAAGCTTTCGCTTCTTTTCGCTTTTTCCTCATCTTGGTCTTGTTTTACTGTCTGCTTGATCTGGATTTGTGGAAACTTGCAGAGTACGGGATGGGTAGTGATGTATCGACCAGTGGAGATGTGTACAGCTACGGAATTCTGTTGCTGGAGATGTTCTTAGGGAGAAGGCCTACAGATGAAACGTTCAGAGATGGGTTAAATCTCCATAACTTTGCAGCAGCTTTGGGTGATAACGCAGCAGAGATCATTGGTCTCATTGTTGTTCCAGGAAGAGAAGAGGACAACAGCAGCAGATCAAGCCACGATCATAGCAAGAAGGAAAAGCAGAAGGTGTTGATGGAGGCAATGGTTTCGATAATACAAGTTGGGGTTGAATGTTCAAATGAAATGCCAAGAGAAAGAATGAGTATAAGTGATGCTGCAACTAAGCTAGCAGCAGTTAGAGACAAACTGGTGAAAGCTGGAATGTAACCAAGAGACATAATTAGTAACAGTTTTAGCATTGACTGGTTCCAAGTTTCTCAGGAAACTTTTGATTATACACAAAACTCATTTTGACATCAACCTTGCTTGATGTTCTTTGTTCCACAGTTCAACCCATTTCCATGGATTCCCTTTCGGATAAGAATCCGGTTTTGTAGAGGAACAAAAAGAACATTAATAATACATGATAGATATACACAAAATCCTCCCTCTATCATATACGCAGCTTTCCCATCTCTACAGAGGTATTGTAGCGCCTGAGAGCACCCAAAACTGCAATGTAGCTCATTTATTGCTGGACAATAATAAACTCCTCTTATGGAGCAGAAAGTAAAAGGATGTTATGAATTACCTCAATACATGGAGCACATTAACCAAGATACCGTAGCAAGACTCCATCATTTCCTAGAACGAACCCTTGATTTCCCTCCATAAACCTGCCATGCAAGCAAGCATTAGTTGCTCAAAGCTAGAAGAGATGGATGATATTAATTATTAATTAATACCCCACAGTAATTCATAAATCATAAGGTTTTACTCACTTCACGGAGTAAAGATTTGCAGCAATATTGTCAGCTGCTTTGTCTCGAATCCATGACTTGCCTCCATTGGTGGTTCTCAACAAAACCCCACTGCCTCCTGCTGCCCAAGCCTCTTCCTGCATGGAGAAAACATTCATAAATGATAAACACAGAGGTGAAATTCCAAATGGAAGATCAAAGCCTAACAGCTCTCGTTTTGATTGCATTTTGTATACTGAAAATCCTACAGCAGTTCTGGAAGAAGAAAAGTGTCGTAGAGCATGGCTTTTTTATTCACTACTGAAACATGAAAGCCTGAAAATCTCGAAAACACACTAACCTGAGAGCGGTAGCCAACATCAAGAATGCCAAAACCACGACTTTGGACGGGGATTTCCTCAAAATCCTCTGTTATCTGGTAATAACGAATAACAAACTTGTGCATCAAGAAGAGCCAGAAATGACCAGACCAGGAAAGAAATGGGGAAATGAAGGAAAAGGGTAGGTAGAATTCAACAAAAAACCATCAGTCATGGACCAAGAACATATATCACAAAACTTAAAACTATATGAGAATTTGATGAGTCAATTCCTTTTCACTTACCCCAGTCCCCTTGCTGAGATAAAGTCCTCCTCCACGAACGAGAAGCCAAAGACCCCCATCAGCTCTCCAACCCATGTTCTGAATCCTTCTTGCCACTGCTCTATTATGTGGCTGCCAGAATGCCTGCACCCAATCGTGGAGAAATACCGAATTTATTTAAGATGATGATTGATTGATTGCCCTACTTCCCAAGAAACCAAATCAAATGTCGGAATGAAAAATGCTCCAGAGTCTAATCTTGAGATGGACAGCAGAACTATAAGTGAGGAAAAAGCTGTCACCTGACCAGGCTCCCATGTCATATAGAAGTTGCCCCGACTGGAGACAGCAACATATCTCCCATCCGGTGACCGGTTAACAGTATTGAAGCTTCCTGTGTAATAACTTGCACCACTAATACCACTAGAAACTGTTCTGCAAAAGAATAGAAGCCGCATGAACATCTTCACCATTACTAAGTTGAACAGTTTCCCACAGCAGTCTTAATTATTGTAGCTTTACACGGGGCAAGCAATACCAGAAATCCACCTACCTATTCAGTGTAGCTGAAACAGTCTCCTGAACTGCAGCTTTCCAGTTATAGCCCCTATTCGACGTAACATAGATAGCCCCTTCGTCAGTAACCATCTCTGCACTTTGATCCCCAGTTGCCTTAATGTATACCTGGAGAGAAATTAAAATCGAAATTGTCAAATTTGGAACGCAAAACCGACATTTTAGATAGAACACAACACCATTTCACAACTCACCATGTCTCCGGGGAGCTGAGCACTCAGCGGTATCCTTTTCCAGGTTTCGCCGGCATCAGGTGTGTACAACAAAATCGCCGGCTTGCCAACAATCCATCCTTCATTTCCTTTGAAGCTAATGGAATTAAACCTGTAATTGAAGTCTTCTTCCTCGGCTGAAGCTATGGATCGCGGAAACCAAGTGGCTCCCCCGTCTTTCGTCTCCAGAAGAGTCTGCCTTGTCCCCAATACGAACCCTATAAGTGAAACCATGCTTGGAATTCAATTCAATTTTGACAATTTTCCAACAAATTGAAACCTTAACGCGCGCGAGAGAGGGAAAGAGACCGTGTGTTGGGTCATCGGGGACAAATGCAATGTCGAGGAGGACGACGCCGGGGTCGATAGGGAGATAAACTCTTTCCCATTGAGAAAGCGCCTCGTCAGCTACTGCTGGCCTCTGATCGATGAGCGTGAGAGGAGCTGTGGCAGCGACAATGGCGGCGGTTTGTGAAATGAACTGCCGCCGGTTGAGCTGGATACGGTGCTGGTCTTGGGATTCGTTCAGGCAAGCTCTCGGAGGCAGTGGAAAGGAACGGTGAGTAGGCTGGTGAATTTGGGAGTTCGCTCGGAGAAGGAAAGAGGCGTTGGTTGTGGTGAAGGGAGACGTTACGGACGCCATTGTTGCTCGAAAGCTCTCCTCTCCTCTTCCTCTTCTGTGCGTTCCTTTTTCCCTCTTCTTATCCTGTGGTGTCTTGTAAAAAAAAAAAAAATCCTGTGGTGTGGTTGGTTAGCAATACTTAGCAATGCAGTCAAAAGCGTGATTCTATCTAGAAGCAGTGGGTGACCTAAAAGCGTAAAATCGTAAGTTTTTAAGTTTTAAAATGTAGATTTTGACTACATTTGTAAGGGAAAATCACGATTCTACATAGAATCGTTTTGGTGACCTAAAAAGGTAAAACCGTAAGCTTTTAAATTTTAAATAGCGATTTTGACTGCATTGATACTTAGCATCAACCGCTACGCGGTTGATTTTAAGCGTCTCACTGATTTGCCACGTGTACTAGCCCAATAGAAGAAGATTGCTGCTTCATTGGGCTTTCTTTTGCCATCTCCAGCCCATATATTCTAGAAGGAGCATTACTTTCCAATTAGGTGATCAAGACACAGTTTAGGGGTTTGACCTGAGAATTACAGTTTAGCAATGATGTGATAGGTTTTTTTTAGGGAAATTGGGAAAATAATGTGGCAGGTCGAGTTTTATGAATTTGTGTTAAATTAGATAATTAATTTTAGTAAATAGGAATGAAATAAAATAATTTTAATGGCTAGACTTGAATTTTTTTGTAATCCAATGCAGAACTTGCAATTTAGAACACACTAGACCGGATGGGTTATCAGTAGCTTTCTTTCGAACACACTGGACCTGTGTAGGGGATGATATAGTGGCGGCTGTGAAAGAGATCATAGAGAAGGCAACAATGCCGACGGGATTAAATCACACTCTGATTGCTCTAATCCCGAAGGTAAAGAACCCTGTTACTCCTAAAGAATTCCGGCCTATTAGTCTATGCAATGTGCTTTATAAACTGGTGGCGAAAGTTCTAGCGAACAGGCCCAAACTGGTGATGAACAAAGTCATTTCTCCGGAACAAAGTGCGTTTGTGCCTGGTCGCTTCATTACTGATAATGTCATGGGAGCATTTGAGTGCTTTCATTCGATCAAGAATAAGGGGAAAAAGGGAAGGGGTTTTCTTGCCGCAAAGACAGATATGGCGAAAGCATATGACAGAGTAGAGTGGAGGTTCTTGGAAGGGGTTATGAGGCGAATGGGCTTTGAAGAGAAGTGGTGGTTGTCATCATGACTTGTGTGCGTTCGGTCACGTTTTCAGTGCTGGTGAATGGTCATTAGTCACCCGCATTCGTGCCGAGTAGGGGTCTGAGGCAAGGAGACCCCCTGTCGCCGTACCTGTTTCTTTTGTGTGCGGAGGGACTCTCAGTGTACACGTCGTTGGCCGTCCAGGAGAAAAGGATCCATGGGATTCAGCCGGCAAGAGGAGCGCCTGTGGTGTCTCACCTATTTTTCGCTGACGATTGTATCTTTTTTGCTAGGTCAACTGTGGAGGAAAGTATGGAGCTGAAAAAGATACTTAAAGACTACGAGCGAGAATCAGGCCAGTTTGTAAGTTTTGAAAAATCCGAGGTTTCCTTTAGCTCGAATGTACTAACTCACAGGCGGTTGGAGATTGGGAGAGTGCTGGGAATGAAGGCCGTAGAGAAACATCAGAAATATCTGGGACTGGCTACAGAAGCTGGGAGATCGAAAAAGATGTTGTTCGAAGGAATTAAGGAGCGGTTACGGAAGAAGCTGAGTGGGTGGAAGGAGAGAACTCTTTCAGTGGCAGCAAGAGAGGTACTAATAAAATCTGTGGCGCAAGCGCAGTTTAGCTATGCCATGTCAGTGTTTAAGATACCGGATGGTACGTTAGATGAAGCCCACAGTATGATAATGAATTTCTGGTGGGGACAACGAGCAGCAGAAAGAAGGTCGCATGGATTGCGACTAGAGGAGATGGTAAATCTGAAGGGGGGGGGGGTGGTGGCATGGGGTTCAGGGATTTGAAGGGTTTCAATGAGGCTATGTTAGCAAAGCAATTGTGGAACCTGCTGAAACGTCCAAGTTCTCTCATTGCCCGCATCCTAAAAGCGAAGTACCATAAGAATTCTTCCATACTGGATGCAACATTGGGGTATAGACCGAGTTATGTTTGGCGCAGCCTTCTTAGTGCACAGGAACTTCTGAATAAGGGGTTAAGATGGAGGATAGGATCTGGTACGGAGGTGAAAATATGGGGCGATCGATGGGTATCGGGGCTTCCTGGTCAGTTTATATCCTGGGCGCCGATGGGATTGCCGGTTGATGCGGCTGTTCGGGAGCTTGTAGACCCGGATTTGGAATGCTGGGACAATACGCTACTAGAGAGTTGTTTTCCATCGGAAGTAGTGTTGGCTATTAAGCAAATTCCTTTGAGGGGAAATGAGTAGGTTGATACTTTGATCTGGCACAACAGTAAGTCTGGAAACTATACTGTAAGGGAGGGTATCATTCTTGGCTGGCGGAATTTTTGCGGCAGGAAGGGGTGGAGATGCAAGGGGAGGCGGAAGTATGGAGGGAGATATGGAAGCTCAATATTCCACCAAAGATTATACACTTTATTTGGTGGTTTATGAGAGAAATTCTACCCACAGGATTGCAAGTACATAAACGTAATCCCCGACGAAGTGACAGTTGTTCGTTCTGCGGTCTAGTAGAATCCCAAACTCATACGTTCTGTGAGTGTCAGTGGGTGTCTAGAATTTGGAGCCAATCAGAGTTCACGGGGTTGTTCGAGCTGAAGAATGATGATGTCTCGTTTTACAACTGGGTCAAGAAAGCTTTGGAGAAGGGAGAAACCAAGAAGTTTGAAGGTTGGTGTGACCTGCTCTGGTATCTCTGGAAGGAGAGAAATGCCCATTTGTTTAATGGGGCAAAACTACCCGAAGAGGAGATAGTGGTGCGGGCAAAATACCTATTAGATGACTACAAAACTCATCAAGGAAGACAGATGGAGCAGCTAGAGATTCAGGAGAGGAAAGGATGGAAAAGGCCGAGCCATGGTCGTGTTTCAGTATGCACTGATGCAGGCATCTTGGGCGACTAAGGAGCAGGCTTGGGGGTTATTATTCGGGACTCCAGTGGCCGGTTCTGTTTGGCGGCAACTAAAAGAGTCCCTGGTAGTTGGAAGGTGGAGGAAGCGGAAGCTCTGGCGGTCGAGTTCGGGGCGTAGATGGCGGTCCATGGTCATTTCCATAATGCAGTGCTGGAGTCGGATTGTCAAGTCCTGGTCCATAAGCTACAGGCTGCACACGAGTTCCAGGACGAAGTTGGGGTGATTTGCCGAAATATAAGGCGGCGGCTGCAGGGAACGGGTAAGTGTAGTTGGCAACATATTCGTAGGGAAGCTAATGAAGCCGCCCACATAATGGCGCATGTCAATTCGAGATGGAATGAGAGTGTGATTTGGTTCGATAGACCACCGATTTATCTCGTTAATCAGCTACATCTGGACGATGTAACCGTTTCAACTGATTAATAATATATAATACAGATTACCGTAAAAAAAAAAAAAAAACTTTTAGAACAAAATTGACGAGGAAGTAAAACGGAAATCCAAGCGCCGGTTTCACTGCCCCACTTTCTCATTATTCTCAGTGTCACAATTCAGGAAAACAACCCTGATTCAAGTTTCCAGCTTTCATCTCATTTCATCAAAATCCTTATCAGATTCATTATTCTTAATAACTTCCTCTCGCCGCGGATCTGAATTCACTGCATCGCAAATCATCGTCTCCAATCGTACCGGGAAAGCTTGCGACGATCCCCTTCCCGAACAATGGATCTTCCCACCACGGCTGCGCCGCTGGTTCGCTCTACCATGGTTCGGAAGCTAACCTCCGTCTTGTTCGGTTATCCTCCTTTCTCTTCTTCTGCTGCGTTCTTAATATATAGAAGCTCGATCTTGTGGTGTTCCGAATTCCCATCATTGTAATGCTCAACAGCTGGAGGTAGTCGAAGCTTGAAAGCCAGCATTTCGCTGTTTCATGTTTCCTTCCAGATCACAGGACTGTAACATTGGGGTCGAGCTTTGATTGACGAGGAATTTGGAATCGGAGTTTATCTCTTAGTTCCATTTCTCTAGGATGCAATTTCTAATACAGTTTCGGTCTATATGCTCCATTGCAGGATAATGTTGATTGACATAGAGGTTCCAAGGGAAATTGGTTCAAATTGTAGAGGATTATAAGGCAAAAATAAGTTAAGATCGCATTCAGGTGGCCTGCAGTGATGCTGCCGAGTAGATTCTCTTTGTTCGGTGGCGGCGGGGTTCAAGACAAGGGAAGAAGTTCTTCTGTTGATGGCATGAAAAGTGAGCTAGTGCCGACCTTTAAGCTTCAAACTGATAGAGATGTATATAGGCCTGGTGATTCCATTTTTGTTACTATTGAGATAAGTAATCCCTGTGTTGGAGCTGCTCAACAAGGCATGCCTGCAGCATCACTCTTAGTTGAAAGGCTTGGGTTCGAAATTAAGGGGATAGAGAAGTTGGATAACCAATGGTTTGCTACTCCAAAGCCTGTCTCTGGATCCAGGCAAAGAAGAGGTTCGTATTGGTCTTTGCAGTTTGCACACAATCTACTATTTCCCCCCCCCCCCCCCCCCCCCCCCCCCCCCCCCTGAATTTGGATGCCACCTGGAATTAAATCCCACGGATACTTGTGTTTGTTTCTAGAAGTTGTCAGTTACCGTGCTCATTGTCTAGCTATTTTTTATGAGATTGAACGAGAGTGTGTTGCTTTCAACCTTTCAGGTGAACATGTTTTCATGGACTGCTCAACATCCTCACTAGTTTCCAATCATGTCGTATCCTCTGGTGCTACCAAAACATGTAAGTTTGGTTTAAGCAGTATGGTACCCTGTATTGGCGATTGTATGTGTAAATACGAAAGATGTTGATGATGTACTACAACCTAGATGGTTACATCCCTGTTCTCTTAATGACCCCGTATGCTGTTTAAAGATTTATGGGGTTAGCCTTTGTTCATGCATCAACATGGTACCTTTCTTCTTGATTTCATATTTATTTTGGGAGTATGAGACTGAATCTGTTGCCTTGAATACCTTAGTTTTGATGCTTCTTCCTTGACAGTGGAATTCTCAGAATGTAGCTATTGTTCTACCCTGCTAGAGTTTATACCCAGCTCACCCTCTCTAGTCTTGTCATTCACTAAAGCAATAAATTATTACCTTCAAGATCTTCTCCACTGTTGGAACTTACTGATACGCGAATACCACAACAGACTCTAAGTTGTTGCTTCTCCATGAATTAGGGAACATAACAATCTTATTTTGCTAGCGAGGAACTAAACATATATTGCGTATTTTGTATGAGTTGATGGACTGATTTGGCTAGTCGATGCAAATTTCCAGATGTTATTCGTACAGTTCTTCCAAGCACGATACCTCCATCTTACAGAGGTGCCACCATTCGATATATGTACTATGTTAAGGGTATGCTATCTGCACGATGGCTGATACTGGACAATGGCCACTCCCGGACGGAGTCAAGGAATGACCTTATTTTCCTAGTGAGTTATATTTGGTGTCTTACTCATACAGAGATTCTGAAATTTGATTTTTCCTAACTTCATGATGATTTCCATATAGAATTTCTTTTTATATGTGATATCCTATAAAAAATATCCCACATTAGTTCTCAAGATAGCTCGCCTTTTGTCTTAGCATAATGCAATTTTATGGGTTACAGATATATGGTTTTCTTAGTTTACGAGTGACCTAATAATGTTCACTAACCCAACGGGGATATGTTCAATTCCTGTCAGGAAGCTCGTAATCCATTGCAAGTATGGGTGACCCAAAAAAACAATGGCTTGACAGTGGAAGAAGGTCCAAGTGAGGGTCAGTATGCTCGCCCTCGAGTATTTGTCTCTGAACTGTAATTAATCTTTTGAAGATAATGAAATATTGGAACCACGAAGTTAATGATTTTCCTGTTTTCATGATTTGATTTCTCTAAGGGTGGTATTATATTGAGAGAAGGCTAATACAAATAGTACATAATTTCAATACTCAACCTTGAGGGATATATATAAAAATTATTTTTGCAGGTTTTCCATAGAGTACAAAGCTGTATGGCGAGGGATTATGCCTCATAAGGTTTCTGGTTATGTTGTTAGATTTTCATTAAGTTGTCTTCCTTTCGGCAGGGATTGTTCCAGCCAATATAATTCAACTCGACGTATACTGGAGAGAGATGGATGGGGAATCTGAATGGGTAGGTTGTTTGTCATGCTGTTTAATTTCTTAGAAGTGTCAACTGGTGAACCAGTTTGTAATTTTCTAGCTATATTGTGGAGCCAGTTACAAAGCATTATAGCCACCACATCTACAATGAGTCAATTACTTTCCGTCAATGCAGGCCAGAGCCAATGACATAGAAGATGCACTTGAGGAAGGGTATGAAAGCTCAAGGGATGAAGTATCATCCGTTTCTTCTTACAATCCTGGCAGAGAAAGTATACACAAAACATTTGGAAGTTCCTTATCGTTGCAATCTGCTTCAGCAAGGTCTCCTACTCCGCCACTCCCTCGGCTCTCCGTGGCTGAGGTTCTATATGACCCTGCTACAGGTACTTTGACTGGTAGCATAATTTATTGCTGTATCTAACATAGTTCATAATGACACGGAGAAATTTGGCTTCAGTTGTATCCTTGGTAATATCTTTCATGTTTTTTCATTCTGGGTCTGCTTTGGTGGCCATTAAAGTGAACAGGAAAAACAACATTTGCAATCTTCTTTTAGTCACAAAAATAAGCATTTTCTCTTTACATTTTGTTTTTTTCTGGCAGATTTATCATCTTCCGACAAGAATTCTGCAGTTGCCTCCCCAAGGTTGCTGCAGAAGACTGCAAAATCCCATATTGAAGATGAGAATGCAGGGGTATCTTCTGCAGCTCCAGCAAAAACTGATGAACCTGCTCCATGTAAATTATTGAAAGGCTTCTCTCCCTCTTCCCTTGTCCATTTCTCCCCACTTGATTTTGTATTTGCCACGTATTTAGATTTTGAAGATGGAAATTTGAGAAATCTGATAAACTTATTCGTTGCCAACATTTTCTGCAGCAGAAGGCTTTAGTCGAGGAAGGTCATATAACATCAGGATGGATGACCGTGTCTTGCTCAGATTTTCCCCAAGGAATTCTGACTCTACTTACTACTTCAGTGATATGGTATAGCTTTCCAACACTGTTTCTACTGCCTGCATCTGTTGACTTTCCTAAACGTTTTGCTTACCCATAATTCTATTACAGATTGGTGGAACTTTAACCTTTTTCCATGAAGAAGGAGCGAGGAGATGCTTGGAGGTAATGGCCTTATAGCAGTAGAACATTATAAAATAGAACTTATTGCTTCAAAGATAAATTAGAGGGAACTAATATCATCAGTTGGAGGGTTAGAATCAACTTAATCACTCTTCAAGATAACGAGTTTGGTTGGTGTGCAGGTTTCAATAACATTGGAAACTTCAGAGACTATAAGTCGGCGATCTGTTCATCCTTCTCGTAAAAATTCACCGACAATAACGAAGGCACGCTACCTGATCTTCTGCAACGTATCTTGTAATTTTTTTCTTCAATTTGGGCATTAGTATCCAACTATATTGACAAATTTTTGTTTGTGGGGAGTGTAGGTTCAGAGTGATCATCATGAGGTTGTTGCAGATTTGCAGCAGACAAGCTTTCTTTTCTCGATCCCCATGGATGGGCCGATGTCATTTTCCACGCCTCGTGTCGCTGTACAATGGGCTTTACGATTTGAATTCTTCACCACCCCGAAGAATGTTGACTGGAGAAGGTATGCATGACCTCTTCTCAGGAGATGTTGACATTGGGTGACTTCCTTTGGTATAAAACTACCAGAGTAGTACTTGATTCAGTTACTAGGAAGAGTCCTAACTCAGCATTGTTTTCTGTTGCCTCCCAAATGCACAGATATGAGCATCCACTCCTGATCGAAGGGAGAGACAAGAGTGACTGGGTTCTGCCTATCATAGTGCACGCAACTCCTCCAGCGGCTCAAGCAGCCCATGCCCGGAATGAGAAGCTGTTTTCTCTGGACCCATTATGGGTTCAGACTTGAATTCAGGTAATGCGAAAGGTTAGAACTGTCTCGTATATTCAAGCGAGCTTCGGGTTATAAGTTACTGTACTTTGGGGCAACAATTAGGTGTTCCTGTAGACCAGTCCCCTGGTTGATTCTCAAGTCAGTAACCTTAATGTGTTTTTTTTTCCCCGCTGCAGGGTGGTATCGATCTTCTGCAAACATGACCCTCGAGAGCTACAGACAAATCTTTCAGATTCAGATTGTGCAGTCCGGCTACTTACTGCATTTGTCATGTGGAAAGTCGCCTTCAAGAAGCCAACGCCAGTCGTCGGTCTGTATATCCAGTCCAGGTGAAAATAGAATCGGTTGCCCTTATTAAACTTGAACCAAGAGAAAGTGAGAAATGTTCATATAATTTTGTAAACGTTAGCAATGGCAGGAAGGAAGCCATTCCATTGGTTGGATCCTTAGCCAAACAAAGGCTTCCTCTTCGTTTCCTACGTTGTTCTCTTTATCCAGCTGGGGAATGTATTGCAGATTTACATAAACAGTTATCCAGAGCTTCGTGTGCTTCCTTTCGCTTTTCTATTAGATGATTCCTTTTCGATATATACGATTTTTTTTTTTTTTGTGTAACTAAAATTCATATAAACAATTGTCAAATCCTCCCTCGATTGATACGTACAAACAATCCAGAATCACCAACAAGACAATTATTTATTTTTAATAAGTGGAGTTTCAGTAAGTCTTCCTTAACCGTATACCAACCTATAAAAAAGTAGTAGCTCATCTGTAAAAATCATAAAATCCACCCATTAGAACCTCTCGTTTGTCCTACGGACGTTTCACGCTGTGTCATGCCATGTATTATAGAAAATTGAATGGGAAGTAAATCAAGGACACAAGACACGAAGATTTACGTCGTGGTTTACTCGGTTTGTTGCGAACGAGACTAATCCAGTGACAATGTAGACTCCGATTTAGTTTTGTTTTTGTGTATTCTTTCTTCTGCACAATAGATGAGCTCCTTTGCCTTCTATAAGCCGAGCCCTATTCCCTTAGTCACATGACTAAGTCAATCTCCACCCTTGCACCTCATTAAAATCCAATTACTCATATTAATCCAATTTAAAAAAGGACAATATAGTAATTGTATAATTATTTAATTTATTAATTTATATAATAAACAAAGATAAATCAGTTTTGGCTGTTGCTGCCTTCGGACTGCCGCGATTCCCCAGCCGGAAAAATTTCCCGTCGGCTTTGTTTCCGGCGTCCCCTCTAGCCGCCGGCGACTCTAATTGCCGTCCATTTATATTATTCATGTTCCTGTATTATTTTGGGAATGAATTGTCCCAGGGGAGAGAGAGAGAGAGAGAGAGAGAGAGAGAGAGAGAGAGAGAGAGAGAGAGAGAGAGAGAGTTTCTGGTCGGAAAGATTTTTTCCCGGCGACAATCGTCGACGGAGAAGAATTTTTCGGCGACAGTGCCAATTTTGTGATGTTTGTTGACATATTTTGTAATGTTTGTATGCTTTGTTATTTTGTAATGTTCGTAAACTTTGTTATTTTTGTGCATCATGTTTATCATTTTTGTCAACCATGTTTGTAATGTTTTTTATGTCTAAAAAACAACCTGGTTGACTTTTGGATGAAACTTCTCTATATAGGGACGGAGCCTCCAAAGTCAACCCGGGTGTTTTTTCCCGTTCGTATGGATTGTCGTTCTAGTTTGTCATTTTTGTCCACCATGTTCGTACTGTTTGTATGTCTAAAAAACACTCGGATTGACTTTGGGAAGGAGCCCCTCTATATAGGGATGGAGCCTCCAAAGTCAACCCGGGTGTTTTTTCCCGTTCGTATGGATTGTCGGTCTAGTTTGTCATTTTTGTCTACCATGTTTGTATGGTTTGTATTGTTTGTCAGTCTAGTTTGTATTGTTTGTACAGTTCATACGTTTGTAATGTTTGTAAATCTGTTTGTATGTTTTGTCGCTCTAGTTTGTACTGTTCGTATGTTTGTATGGTTTGTACTGATTGTAAATCCGGTTTGTATACTTCGTAATTTTCCATAATACCCAAACTACCCATGTCATTAATTAAATAGTCCTTCCCACTTTTTAATCATTGGATTGAAGTGTCCAGATCTAATGACTAGGAGGGGCTTAGTCAAGTGACTAAGGACCACCTAGTCATGGATCCGCTCTCCTATTCACCCAATAAAATCAAACTAACTTTACTGATCAACAACAAATCAACTGATCGACAAATGTGGAAGCTAAAAGTCCCATGCCCATGCACATACGGAACACGTGCAACCGGGCTCCAAAATGTGCCTGCCACACATTTGTTTTTGACAATATGGAAAATCAAGAAACAAAATTGTACATTTTTTCTGTCAATTTTCTCTTTTTCGTATTTAGAATTTTATTTTTCCCCCCCTACTTACGGTGGTAAAAAAACCCAGAAATTCATTTAGGTTAATTTTGACTCCGTCACCTCCACTATATTTAAACAACCGAATCACATTGGTTTATGTCCCCCGATTAACTCTTCTTCTCCTCCTCTTCCCTTCCTCCGTCTTCCCTCATTTCTCCGGTCAGCCATGGCTTCCCTCCACGATTTCGTCAACCTCGACCTCTCCGTCACCACCGAGAAGATCATCGCCGAGTACATCTGGTTCGTTCTCTATCCCCTCCCCATTTCTAATAACAATTTCAATCTTCCACTCCGAATAAAACGCAATGTGATTGATCGAGATCCTCACGTCGGCCTTCTTTTCCTCCAGGGTTGGTGGATCTGGTATGGACATGAGGAGCAAAGCAAGGGTGGGTTTGATTCTTTTTTTTTTTCCCAGTCATTTTTTTTCTTTTAATTTCTCGCGTTGGTTCGGTTTTCTGATCTCCCCTGTTTCGGTTCTACAGACTCTGCCCGGACCAGTGACCGACCCGTCTGAGCTACCCAAGTGGAACTACGACGGCAGCTCCACCAACCAAGCCCCCGGCGATGACAGCGAAGTCATCCTCTAGTTCGTCCTGTCTCCTCCGGCCTCTTTTTTTTTTTTTAAGCTCTCCGGCGATGAATTTTTAATTTGGGTTGTTTTGTTTGACTCGGTTTTAGTCCACGAGCGATCTTCAAGGATCCCTTCAGAAAGGGAAACAACATCCTGGTAAAAAAAAAACTCACGATTCTCTCGTAATAATTAATCACTTCATTAATAGTTAATTAATTGAATTGTAATTATTAATAAAAGTTGCTATTCATTATAGGTCATATGCGATTCATACACCCCGGCCGGCGAGCCAATCCCAACCAACAAGCGGGCCAAAGCTGCCGAGATCTTCAGCAACCCCGACGTTGAAGCCGAGGAACCATGGTAACTAATCTTATTCCTATAATACGAGTGGTATTATGTTATATAATGAGGGAGGATTGTTATGTAATTCCAATATTCCATAGATTTCTGTTTAGTATCAAAATCGTAAAAATTAGGTGATTTTTTCTTCTAATGTCAAAGCCCGTACTCATCATCATCGTAGAAGTTAGATAATTTTCGAAATAGTCTTGAAAATCATCACAGAAACTAGAAACTGTTATGAACATTATTAAATATTCCGACATTTGTATTGTTAGGTTCGGGATCGAGCAGGAGTACACACTTCTGACGATGAACAAGTGGCCTCTTGGCTGGCCCGAAAATGGCTACCCTGGCCCCCAGGTAACAATGCCTTCTCCCCCAAGAAATCTCGTTTCTTTTCGCAATGTACATTTTTTTTTTAAGTTTTTGTGTGTGTGTGTAGGGACCTTACTACTGCGGAAATGGAGCTGACAAGGCATTCGGAAGGGACATCGTCGACGCTCACTACAAGGCCTGCTTGTACGCCGGAATCAACATCAGTGGGATCAACGGCGAGGTCATGCCCGGCCAGGTATATATATATAAAAAAAAACAGCTGAAGTGACAATTTAGGGCTTGTTTGGAAGTTGGGATTTCAGATGATGTATTTAGCCAATACATGCAATCAGAAGAATTCATCGTTTTTTTGGCTTAAAATGAAACAGAATGCTTGTATTTGAACAGCAGATGGGTCCACCAGAATCATTCATTATGAATGATTGTCAATCTCAACTTTTAGTAGAGATTGTGTTTGAGGGATTGTTGTCTTATTTTTTGTTCCTTATTCTTTGAGGGACCACCAAAATCATTCAATCTCCAAACAATGTATTTTTCAAATTCATACATTGAGACAATGCATCTAATTATAATACATGCATTGATTAAATACATCAATTTAAAGAATCCTAGCTTCCAAACATGCCCTTAAAATTCAGTCAAATTGTCATTAAAAGGTAGAAAAATGTCACAATAGTGTTGTACTGACATTTTACACAAATGACACGTAAATGTCACATAATCGAGTGTCACTAACTTCTTTTGTGACATTTGTTACAATTGTCAGTACCATTTTTGTGTGACGTTTATTTTACATATTGCGACACTTATAATCGTAGCATAATAACATCTTTTGTGACATTTTAAAGCGTCGTAAGTGATGCAAATAGTGACATTTCTAGAGACATATCAAACTGTTATAGTTAATACCAATAGTGAAATGTATTGTGACATTTTAATGTGTCATAGCCCATCTCAATAGTGACATTTTATAAGGACATGTTAATATGTCACGATTGATACAAATAGTGACATTTCTCGAGACATTCATAATTGTCACAGTAGATCCCAATAGTGACATTTCTAAGAACATATCAAAGTGTCATAGTAAATACATATTGTGACATTTCTCAGGACATTCCAAAGTGTCATGGTTGACACCAATGCTAACATTTACCGCGACATTTCCATATGTTATAGCCCATCTCAATAGTGACATTTTTAAGGACATGTGATAAAAATAGTGATATTTCGTGAGACATTCTTAATTGTCAAATGGTCTCAAATATGTACTTTCTTGTCTCCCTCAGTGGGAATTCCAAGTTGGACCTAGTGTCGGCATTTCTGCTGGTGATGAGGTCTGGGCCGCTCGTTACATCCTCGAGGTAATTAATTATCTCTTCGTCACTTTACCCATAGTGTATATCTGTGTCATTTCTTTTTTCCTTGTCATTCTTGTTAATGATGTGGGTTTTTCCCGAACAGAGGATTACTGAAATCGCAGGAGTTGTGGTCAGCTTCGACCCTAAGCCAGTTCCGGTATGTGACCTCGTACCATTTTGCTTTATTTTTCCTTAATTTCCTCTGCTAGCCACGATGTTGGTTGGTTCATCATGTCGATTAGCGTGACGACGAGAATGTCTTGAATTTTTTTGTCTAGGGTGATTGGAACGGCGCTGGTGCTCACACTAACTACAGGTTTGTGCCCTATACGTACCTTGACTGGAAGTCTGGAACTAGTTGTGTTACTTGTTTCGTGTTGAGTCGGATTTTGTTGTAATGTTGTGTGATGCGTAACGCGCGCAGTACCAAGTCGATGAGGGGCGACGGCGGTATCGATGTGATCAACGCCGCGATCGAGAAGTTGGAAGCCCGCCACATCGAGCACATCGCTGCTTATGGCGAGGGTAACGAGAGACGATTGACCGGCAACCATGAGACTGCTAGTATCAACCAATTCACTTGGGTATACGTCTTGCATTTATTTCCTTCTTCTTGCTAACCGTTTCTACGGAGGAGCTATCGAAATGTTTTGATTCAATTCAATGTCTGCGCGAATTTACAGGGTGTAGCCAACAGGGGAGCGTCGGTTCGTATCGGTCGCGACACCGAGAAGGAAGGAAAAGGTTACTTCGAGGACAGAAGGCCGGCTTCCAACATGGATCCCTACGTTGTCACATCCATGATCGCCGAGACCACCATTCTCCCTGCAGCTTGAAAACAAAAACAACCCTAAATGAACAATTGTTTCTCTTCTTCTAAAATTGACACATTTGAAAATCAATTTTGTCTTATTCGTCTCTGTTGTACGATAATGGTCTCCTTTTCCGACTTCGAGTCGGGTCGGGTCGGATCAGGTAATTTATCCTGGTTCGGTTTGGGCAGCTGAATTTTTTTCCCTTTCTGTTTTCTTTTTCAGCAAGCAAGCTTGTCAATTTCTCTCGACAGTAATAATAATAATAAAAAAAATTCAATTTTGTTATTTTTCCTAAGACACCCCCATTGTCGGCGGCGTCGTATTATGCATGCAAATGAATCATCCGCAACCTCGCCACGTGTCACCACCTCACTCCACGTGTCCCTCTGCTTTCCGCTATATATGTCTCTTATCAATCTCCCCGTCTCTCTCTATCTCCGACACTTTCACAATGGCTGACCACCGTCGGCACGATTACTACGGCCGTGAAGATCAAGACCAGTACGGCGCCGGCGGCATGATGAAGAGCATGCTGCCGGAGCGCGGACCTTCGACTCAGCAGATTCTAGCCGTGGTCACGCTCCTGCCGCTCGGCGGGTTCCTGCTGCTGGTAGCGGGCCTCGTGTTCGTGGCCACGCTGATCGGGCTCGCGGTGGCGACGCCGGTGTTCGTGATATGCAGCCCGGTGATCGTTCCGGCGGCGCTGGCGATCGGGATGGCGGTGATGGGGTTCCTGACGTCGGGCGCGTTCGGGATCACGGCGCTGTCGTCGCTGTCGTGGATGGCGAACTACATTCGCCGGACGAGGGTCGGGGCGGTGGTGCCGGAGCAGATGGAGCACGCGAAGCGGCGGGCCCAGGATGTGGCGGGCCAGGTGGGGCAGAAGGCTCGGGATGTGGGCCAGGCTGTTCAGGGGAAGGCCCAGGAAGCCACCAGGAGTGTCCAGGAAGGTGTTGGGTCGAGGAGCCCTGGACGTACTTGAAATTAATGAGTGGGCTTTATTATAGGGAGCAGTTTCGTGGGGTTTTCTCAAGGCTGTATGTATTTTCATTTTGAGTTGGTGATTTTGGGTGTTTCTATCTATGTCTCTATGAACTTCTTCGTGTTGTATACTTCTATGTGATAACTGAAAATCTGGAATAAATTATTGTCAGAGAGAGAATCTGAAATAAATTTGTGTATTTGGATGAGGGTATTGAATTGGATGTTTGGGTTCAATTTCATGAAATTGGATCCTTGTTTAGAAGGGTCCAATTTGAAAATGTCACCATTTTCATATGGTTACCCCAGATGCCAGCTTGTTAACTTTGCTAGGTCAGGCATGGGCACGGTTCCAATCGTGCCGTGCCTATTCGTATTTGTGTCATGCTCGTATTCGTGTTTAATAAAAAAGACGAAAACAAAAGAGATCATGAAAAAGAAAGTGAAAATAGGACGGAGGAAGATATTATTAACCGATAATGTTTGAGAAAAGTAACAAATAAGAGGGGAAAGAAAACTAGAAGTATATGCCGTGCCTATTCGTATTTGTGTCATGCTCGTATTCGTGTTTAATGAAAAAGACGAAAACAAAAAAGATCATGAAAAAGAAGGTGAAAATAGGACGGAGGAAGATATTATTAACCGATAATGTTTGAGAAAAGTAACAAATAAGAGGGGAAAGAAAACTATAAGTATAGCGAGTGTGATTTGGTTTTGTTTAATTCTTTGTTCATTTTTACTTATATTAGTAATTATATATATCTTTATGATATTTCTAACAGCAATAAATAATTATTTTTCTCCTTATGTTTTGTAATATTTGAACCTATAATTTTTTTTATATTTATTTTCTATAAAATAAATATTATTTTTGTGCCATGTCCGTTCTTATACTCAAGAAAGTCTCGAAAATATTAGGCCCGACACGGCCTACTCCCGTGCTCGTGCCCGTGCCCATGAAGTTTAGGCCCGACACGGTCCATAAATTATTCGTGCTCATGCCGGGCTTGCCCATTTATTTCGTGCTCGTATTCGTGCCGTGTTCTAACCGTGCCGTGCTAGCCCGTGGGCGGCACGACCCGGTGCCCACATACAGTCAATACGGTTTAGTCCAGGCCCAATCGAGTCGCCAGGTCGTTAATTTGGTCTAGATTGAGTAAAGCAAAGAGAAAAAAAAAAGACCATTTGACTCCAATTCAGTAGCTCTACAGCGGATCGACCCATAAATATATGACCTGATTTTCTCATCGAATCTGGACTTTCATCGTAATTCATATTATCATCATTCATCAACACAAAAATAAGGGCCATTGTTATTGTTAGAATATGACTTGAATTTGATTTGAGTTTGTTTTGTGTTTTATGCCTATTCTGTTTGGGTTTGGGATTGGGCTTTGTTTGACCTTTTTTCTTGTATGTTTGGGAAAAAGGTGTTTGGTTTTCTGTTTTGGATTGGGAGAAGAGTTCTATATATACTCTTCATCTCCCTAATCTGTAGTAAGGGTCAGTCAGGTTAGTTTGTTTGGTTTGTCCGTTTTGAATTTGGTTTGTAACCTGTACTCTCCTCAAATTAGTGAAATTTGTTCTCCCCTGCCCGTGGATTAGCTAGCACACATTGTGTTAGTGAACCACGTTAAATTTGTGTTTGTTCGTGTTGGTTTGGATTATCGATTGCACGCTTCTGCTCTGATACCACTTGTCAGAAATCGGGCTGCTCAATTAGTACGATATTGTCCGCTTTGGGCCAAGCCCGCACGGTTTTACTTTTGGGTGTCCTCCCCAAAAGGCCTCGTACTAATGAGATTGGTGAACACTAATATACAAGGGTTCCTTCCCTTGTATAACCGATATGGTACTTGGATTGTCCCATAACAATCCTCCCCTCAAGCCAATTACCACGAACATCGTGTCCTCACCTCAGCGATTATCTTGATCCGCCAAATGCCTTCTATCGATGGGCTTCTCGATACAAGGACTTTACCAGACGCAGAACTCTCTTTGATCTGCTTCCCAAATGCGGAACTCTCTTTGATCCGCCAAGCCCAAACATGGATCTCTCCTGGATCCACCAAACCAGATGCAGATCTCAAACCCCGAGGTCACCGAGCGAGGGTCCACTGAACTAACGTCCACCGCCCCGGATCTGCCGAACCAGGCTCTGATACCACTTGTCAGAACAGAAGCGTGCAATCGATAATCCAAACCAACACGAACAAACACAAATTTAACGTGATTCACTAACACAATGTGTGCTAGCTAATCCACGGGCAGGAAAGAACAAATTTCACTAATTTGAGGAGAGTACATGTTACAAATCAAATTCAAAATGGACAAACCAAACAAACTAACCTGACTGACCCTTACTACAGATTAGAGAGATGAAGATTATTTATAGAACTCTTCTCCCAATCCCAAATAGAAAACCAAACACATTTTTTCCAAACATATAAGGAAAAAGGTCAAACAAAGCCCAATCCCAAACCCACACAGAATAGGCATAAAACACAAAACAAACCTAAATCAAATTCAAATCATATTCTAACAATTATAAAATAAAAGTACAAATAAAAATAATCAATTCAAATCGGATTCTCAGGCCCAAAACTAGCCTACTGCGAAACAAAGACCTTGGACTTATATGGGCTGCCAATCAGGCAGTGACCCAAAGGCCCAACTGCTGGAGGGGGCAAAAAACTGGGGGTGGGGGAGAAACCTACGAAACAAAAGCGTCAGAAACATCTTCAAACAGTGGAAGTAGGGAAGAGGGTGACCAAAAAAAAAAAAAAAAAAGACCCCAAAGCGAAGGAAGAACAGGGCTGAACAGGCGGTGTAACACAACTCTTGGTCGCAGACTCTAAACGCTCGCCCTCCAAATCCTCTCCCTTATAGCCCAAGCCACCAAGAAAAGCTCCCTTCCTTTCCCCTGTTTGTCGCCCGCTTCCCTCGCCCTTTCTCTAGCTTCCTCTTCATTTTTGTTTGCTTTTTTTTTCTTCTTCTCCTCGTCCCTCTTTCCAATTTGTTTCCCATGGAGAAGAATTGAAGCATTCATTCTTCAGGAAAAAATAAAATCCGATTTCGGATAAGGTTTGTGATTGTTTATTTTGTGTTCGGGTTTTCTCTCCCTGTTTCCGTTTCTGTTTGCTTGTGCATGAATTGGTCGAGGATTAAAATAGCAATGCAATTTGAGTTTTTTGATAATTTGAGCTAGAAATTTTGCTTTCCGGGAAAAATTGGACTTGAATATGGTTAAGGCTGCTCCGTGTGATTTGGTTCCGTTGTTGCATATCGTTTCATGTAGCTGAGATTTTAAAGTTCGCAACTTTGAGAATGAATCGTTTGATGTAAGGTTAGGACTGTTGGGGGGCAGTGGCTGGACAATGGAGTTGTAATGGTAGAATTGGTTGCATTTGTTTTCTCTGGTGGGCTAGAAAGGGGACTGATTTTCTTTGAAAGAACAAATGCCGGAACCCTTAGGGAGATGTTCAGGAGTACTGGTTTTGGAATAATTGATGGAAGTTTGAGATTCAAGCATTTGGGAAGGTGGTACTTTTTGGAGTGTGAACAATCTGGTTTCCTTGGCCGGGAAGAGAGAGCCTGGAATACCACTAGGATATAGGAGCGCAGCTCGATTAGATTTTTTGGTTCATGAGGAACCAGCTCTGATCTGTTCTGCAAGCTTGATTGATAATTTTTTTTACAAATACCAGCAGTATGTGGAGTTAAGAAATCAGTTTTTTTGGATGACAAGTTTGTAGTTTACCATTTTAGGAGCCTGAAAAACTTGCCTGTGTGATACATGATAAAGTGATGCTGTATTTGCTGTCCAGTTTCTTCTCTCATCCCTCTGTGTGTTGTTTTCATTGTGCTTTTTATACAGGGTGGTAAAATATAGGGGGCGGGGAGCTGCAATGTATGCAAGGATAATCAAGAGTAGTAATCAGAAATGGGGTTCAGTCTTCATGCCATCTATACACTTAATTAAGCCAAACACCATGGATCAGGCCTGTGCTCGATCTTTAGTCCATACATCCGCAGTGCGAGTATGCAATTCCGGAAGAATTTCATCAAGGAAATACCAATTTAATTATTTTGTATCGTGTGGCAGTAGTAGTTATATCAGTAGAAGGCTCAGTTCATATCCTAAAAGGTTGCAGTTTCGTGCGTATAGTTCAGAGGGTGATGGACGTAACACAAGTGAGGATAAGCATGCGTCTCTAAATGGCACACCTAACTTTAATGATGGAAAGATACAGCATGGGAAAGTTGGAGGAGATCCCAGATCTTATGATACACATGCTTGTCTAGGGGAACAAGATCAAAAGGATTGGCTTAGTAATGAGAAGCTGGCTGTAGAAGCCAAAAAGAAGGAATCGCCTTTTTTAACCAGGCGTGAGAGGTTTAAAAATGAGTTTTTGCGGAGGGTTGTTCCTTGGGAGAAGATCCATGTTTCATGGGACACCTTTCCATATTACATCAAGTAATTATTTCTACTCTGGGGGATTTTGGCAATATTCTTTTATCCCCTGTTATTATGTTTTTTCTGCTCAGGTCATTAACTCACTTTTCAACCTCATCCAGTGAAAATACCAGAAACGTTTTGTTAGAATGTGTCACATCCCACCTAAAGCATAAGAATTTTGCTGCGTCTTATGGATCACGTTTGATGTCTTCAAGTGGCAGAATATTGCTCCAGAGCACTCCAGGTTCATCTCTTCACTTGAAGTTTAGAATTGGAGTTCTCAGTCTTTGCATATATTGAAATTGCTGCTAATGAAGATGAGCTAATAATTTCTTAATGGGATCATGTACAGGCACAGAGCTTTATCGGGAAAGAATAGTGAGAGCACTTGCACGAAAGTTACAAGTTCCTCTGCTAGTTCTCGATAGCAGTGTTCTTGCTCCTTACGTAAGATTGGCTGACCAAAATATGGAATGCTATATGTTGCATCATTATTGGGTATATTTTAGGTGAATTTTCTGCTTGTTCTGGAGCAGGATCTTGATGACTGCTCATCAGAGTTAGAGGATGATGCAGCAGAATCAGGGGAGGAGTCAGAGTCTGAGGTTGATGAAGAGAATGAAGCAGCCAATGAAGAGGAGTGGACAAGTAGTGCTGAAGGTAAATCAGAAGCTAGTGATGATGAAGCAGTTGATGTGCCGGCAACTGCTGAGGCAGCCCTCAGGAAGCTCATCCCTTACGATTTAGAAGAATTTGAAAAGGTTTGCTCCTTATGCATGTGAATGTCTTTTCTGTTTCCATAGTAACATTCCCAGAGGCATTTCAGGATACTTCCGGTTTGGTGGTGTTAAGGTTAGAGCTCGATTAGGTGCTTGACATTATTTCAAAGTTAGACTCGATGTTTGCTTCTACATAATTGGTGTCATGCTTCTCCAAGTGAACATTTGCTGATATTCAAATTGTGCCCTAATTTTTGGGTATGGATTTACTTTGTGCAGCGTCTCTCTGAAGAATCAGAAGCCTCCCCGGAGGTCTCAAAGGCTGACACTGCTGAGGCTGCTGACAACTCCAAAAGGCCTCCCAAAAAAGGTAACTTTGTATGCAAACTAGGATATTCATCTTCCATCATATGTAGAACTTTTTGCTTCAGGATTTCTATCTCTACCTTGTGTCTTTGAATGTTGTTGACTTTAATATCTCTTGTTTGTTTTTTATTCATCCTATTTGTGATTCGTTCTTTCTCTAGGTGATCGGGTGAAATTCATTGGCAATTCAAATTCCGTTGAAGCGGATAACAGGTACTGGATTCATTTTGCGGTTCGATCAAGTCATGGTATGATTTTTGTTGTTGTTGAGAGGAGTCCCAGATGTTTGATTTTTAGATTTAGTGCCCCGATGATCTTACTAAACATTGTACTGGACTGTATAAAATATTAAAATCCTTGAAGCCACAATCAATATTAGTTTAGCTGGAAATGTTATTAATGAGAAGAAAAAAGCAAATCCTGTTGCACCTTTTACTTTAACATGTTTGCTTTGGTCAAGTGTCCTAATTTTTTGCACCTGACGTATCATATCTGCTGGTTTTATTCTTAAGTAGCATTGTGTCCTTCGTCGAGATCCTTCCATTCAGTTTCTCAATTGTGGATGGGCCAGCACATGACATTCTATTGGCTTTTTTCCTACATTTGGCATTCAGTGTTTCTTTTTGCGATTGACACTTAGTGATGGTTCTTCAGTACATGTTGAGATTTGGTTTCCATTGTGTTATACATCGTCTTTTATCGACTATGTTTGTCTGCAAGTCTAAGACCCCTTCAGTAATTTCTCTGTATGCGTGGTTGTTCTCTCCACTTGAATTCTGGGATTTTCTTAATTCTACAGATTCTAACCTTAATCTTAATAGAGTTTAAGTCTCCGACCAGCCACCGCTTCCCCCTCCCCCTCTTGCTGGTGTGTCTATGGGATCGTGGATTGGTGCATACATAACAAGGCTGGTTGATGCATGCATAGGGTTAGTCAACTTTAGCTATTTTTGGTATGAGAGGTGGAATTGAACTGTGATTCTTGAACACATAGGTTGACTTGCAATCTGTGTCAGGAAGGTCTAGTTGAGGCCCGTGAATCTGCATTTAACTCATCCCCAAAGTAAACTTTGATATCCACAGGATCACATTGGGGAAGATACCTACATCTGATGGTCTGAAAAATGCTTTTACCGTTATTCGTGGCAGGTGGGTTGGTAAGTCCTCCTGGTGTATGTAAGGAGAACAAGAGTTGTCGCTGTCTTATTGCATTCGGCATCTGGTGTTTTGTATTGATTTTACCCTCAAGGATAGCATCAAGTGTTTTGACTGCAATACTATACTTTGAGTTGTTAGTGTTTCTTTCAATTGTTCCATGAGGTAGTTCTCATATCATTTTCGGTTGTCGGGAAACGTAGATGAGAAGTCTTTGCCTTTATGACTTTGTTCCTTGAGTTTGACTTGCTATCGCCTATCTGTTTGGAATGAAGGGCTTTAATGCGATGAAAGTCTTTTACTTCTGATAGATTTTTGTTTTAAGCAAAGGCAATGTCATCAGGACCTAATCACTTTTCGATGTAATTTCAGGCCCCTATCCAATGGTCAACGTGGTGAAGTTTACGAGGTCAGTGGCAATCAAGTTGCTGTTGTTTGGGATATGGGTAATGATAGCCAAGCAAAGGAAGGAGAGATACACGAAGAGCATGAAGAGCCGTCTGGAAAGGCACCAATCTATTGGATAAATGGTAATTTTGTACATCTTTTAAAGGATTATGTTTAATTTGAAACCAAAATCTATCAATCTTGGATCTGCATCTTCAATGAAACAAATGCTAGCAGGCATTTTGGTTTGACTGATTTTGATTTTCGTTTAATATTCATTAGATTTTATTACTAGCGGACATTATATCTAATTTGAAAAAAAAAAAACTGTGTTTAATAGGTGTTTCTGTGTCAGATTATTTATGTTCCACATATATGATATAATTTAAGAGGCATTAACTGTCAGGACCTATGATGTCCAGTTAGTATTACTTAGAATGCCACGCTGTTGGAATTTATTTGCACAGTATCATCAGTTTGATCTGAAATCTGATTTTTCATATCTGCTATCTTGCATAACTTTATATGAAACAAAGGTTATGTCTTCGGTGCACTCACATTTTTGGGTGCATTCAATGCACTCGCTTCATATTTGTTATTATGAGCATGCGATTCATGTCAAAACAATGTTAATCATCACGTATGATACGATGAAAAAGAAACCCCATGAATTAGCACAAAAATTATTCAAAATTTACATTAATCTGAAGAAATTATGATTTATAGATTTAGGATTAGGGTTAGGGTTCATGATTTGGGGTTTAGGGCAAAAGTTCAAAATTGAAGGTTTAGGGCTTAGGGTAATGCATTGATTAGTTGTGATCGTATATTATATTATCATATTACACTAATCTTACAAATTAAAATAAAAAATTGATGTCTTAAGGCTACTTTTAGAGTTGGGTGCATTGAATGCACTCATTTTTGTGAGTGCACCAAAGTAGCCACCATGAAACAAATATCAAAATTTACTGAGACTTCCTCATGTGTAGTTAAGGAGATTGAGCATGACCCTGATGCGGAGGCCGAAGACTGTTATCTTGCACTGGAGGCATTATATGAGGTATACGAAGGACATCATTATCGGGACCAGATGAAATATTGTTTCCTGTTTATGGTTTAGAAACCACTACTCATTAATCTTGTTGTGAATTGACATTTGCTCTTGACCTCTTTCCAGATCTTGCAGAGCATGCAGCCTCTTATAGTATATTTCCCAGACTTTTCCCTGTGGTTGTCTAGGGCAGTACCTAAGGACAACCGCAAGGAGTTTGTCCATAAGATGCAGGAAAAGTTTGACCAGCTTTCGGGTCCTGTGGTCATGATAAGTGGTCAGAACAAAGTTGAAAATGGCTCCAAGGAGAAAGAGAAATTTGTAAGATTTAGTGCTTTATTGGAATCTAGACGAACATTGATCCATTGTTGTGGAAGCAACACTTTCTCCGTTAATGGATATTGTTAGCTTACACTTTTTTCTTACATTTTTTTGTTTGCCTTTGAATTTGACGGCAGACAATGATCCTCCCAAATTTTGGTCGATTGGCTAAGCTGGTAAGCCCATGCTCCTGGTGTCAACTGTTCTAGTCTGATTTTTGTGTGTCTCTGTTGGAGGCAGTTTCATTGTTGCTTTTGCTTTCAGCCTCTTCCTTTGAAGCAACTTACTGAAGGTCTGAGAGGAACTAAGAGATCCAGTTACAATGAAATCAACAAGCTGTTTACTAATGTTTTACGTATTGACCCCCCCAAGGTAAATTATAACTGCCTGATTTGTGAAAGCTATTCTGAGATGGCAATTTGTATGGTATGCAGTTGTATCATGATATGTTTGTTGTCTCTACTGTTCCTGAGTTTTCTTATTCTTCTCATCACACTGAACTGAAGTTTGTAGGACCTTTTGGTGTTATATGCAAAGATAAACTACTTTTTTTTTTTGTTCTGGTTGTTTCAGTAAGCTTAATTTATGGCATAGTTGTCTGAATAAGCTGATAGTTCTTTTTAATTACAAGATCGTATCAAGTGACATCTTTGAGATCCCACCTTGTCATTTAGCATAAAGCTCCAATCAACACCTTGTACTATAGAATCAATAGAAGATGGACATTAAGAAGTAATGTAGGAGTGTTTAGTGGCATGTTCTGTTAATGAAAAAACATAGGCAATTCAATTTGCATAAGGGTGTTGGAGTTGAGTTAATGAGTCTCCCATTGTCCTTTAATAATTTGACAGGGAAGCTCAGTTAAATGCTAGAAATGTTGGGACCATAAGTTTGTATCCCCCATCCCCTGTCTTCTCAGTCCTCCCACTGGCTGATTTCTTTACAGGAAGAAGATATCCTTAGAACATTCAACAAACAGATTGAAGAGGATAGGAAGATTGTGATATCGAGGAGCAATATTAATGAACTACATAAGGTATATAGTTATTTTCTACTTGTTTGTTACTCTACAGGATGTATTGTTTCTTAAGATTTCTTCTAGTAGTAGCTGATAAGTAGCGGCTATGAGCCATGGAAATATTTGGATCCATAATTGCAGGTTCTTGATGAAAATGAGATGTCATGTGCCCAGTTATTGGATGTAGATACTGAAGGTGTAGTGCTGACTAAGCAGAGTAAGTGGCATGCTTTAGACAATCCCACTTTATAAGTATGCTCTGTTTCTCATGTGATAGTAACATTGTAACTTGGACCTGCTTTTTTAACAGAAGCTGAGAAAGTTGTTGGCTGGGCCAAGAATCACCATCTGGCTTCTTGCCTACTTCCATCCGTAGAAGGGGAAAGATTGGTCTTGCCTCGCCATAGGTGTGTATAATATATAAGTTATTGCTGTTTTTAGTGAAATTTTTTTCTTGTTTACATGTTAAAGAGCTCTCTTCAAAGCTTAATTGTTGTTTTTTTTTTGGGGGGTACATGAAGCCTTGAAGTTGCTATCTTGAGGTTGAAAGATCACGAAATCGCATCAAGAAAGCCATCTCAAAGTTTGAAGGCATGTTTTGTATTTTCTGTCTTATCACTTTATTGTGTGGCTTGTGCTTTGGGGTTAACATTCTTGTCTAATTTGTTCAAAATTTGACAGAACATGGCAAAGGATGAATATGAAACGAACTTTGTTTCAGCCGTAGTACCGCCTGGGGAGATTGGTGTGAGATTTAATGATGTAGGAGCTCTCGAAGATGTCAAGAAGGCCTTGAATGAACTTGTCATTCTCCCTATGAGGAGACCAGAACTTTTTTCTCATGGGAATTTGCTGAGGGTATTGAATTTTTATGCTAACAAAATGGATCTAATCTTCTCAATGCTTTGCCAATTGGATTGATTATTCTGATAAATTTCTTCCAGCCTTGCAAAGGAATATTGCTTTTTGGACCTCCTGGAACTGGGAAGACGCTTCTTGCTAAAGCTCTTGCCACTGAAGCTGGGGCGAACTTTATCAGCATAACAGGCTCCACTCTTACATCAAAGGTATGCTGAAGAAACTATATTCTGTTATTTGAACATATGTTGCTCATACTTGTCAGTTCATTTTCTTACCTTTGTATGCATGTAATGGTCCAAATTGGTTCGTTTATTCTTTTCCTCATAGAGATAAATTAGGGTCTTATTGCTCCCCAGTTAGCATGCATTTCAGACTGGATTACATCTGCCCTACTCTCTTCGGTGGGTTTCTTAGCCTCCTTAATTTTGTGATGTAGTGGTTTGGAGATGCCGAGAAGTTAACGAAGGCCCTTTTCTCGTTCGCCAGCAAGCTGGCTCCTGTTATCATATTTGTTGACGAGGTGATTCCCTAAATCACTGTCTGTTTTACTTGTGGTGTTCCCAATCTTTGATATTTTGATGATCGAAATACTGAAAAAGAACCAATAATGTTTGGAAGAAATAATAATTATTGCATAGTCATAATTTAACTCATTGAATTGAAGTTCTTTCTTTTGTGGATATCTGGGAGGTAGAAGGCTTTCTTTTAACATTACTTCTTACGTCCTTCAATATACTTGACATAGTACATATTGCCGTCTCACAATCTGCAAAATAGGTTAACTATTAGTGCAGCCATTTTTCTTTTACTGCTTTCGAACAACCATAAGTTGGCCTTTCTTCTGGACTTTGAACTTCTTATAACTTGGGAGGACAATAGGTTGACAGTTTGCTAGGTGCACGTGGTGGTGCGTTTGAGCATGAGGCAACGAGAAGAATGAGAAATGAGTTCATGGCGGCATGGGATGGATTGAGATCCAAAGATAGTCAAAGGATCCTCATCCTTGGTGCTACAAATCGACCATTTGATCTTGACGATGCTGTGATTCGTCGTTTACCTAGGAGGTAAGACTTTTATAGGAACAACGGTCTTCTGTGTAGAACATTAGTTGTCATACAGGGATGCCATTTTAATGTGTATGTGGAACGAAGACTGTTTCTCTTATGGAGGTTCTTATGAATCGGCTATTTCAGAATATATGTTGACTTGCCTGATGCTGAGAATCGTATGAAGATCCTGAAAATAATTCTCGGAAATGAGAATTTACAAACGGATTTCCAGTTTGAAGAACTTGCTAATGTAACTGAAGGATACTCTGGCAGTGACTTAAAGGTACCGAAATGTGTGATGGTTAACACGGGTCTTTTTGCATAGCGGCAGACTGTTCATAACATTGTGTTCTGTTTCCCTTCTGTAGAACCTCTGTATTGCAGCAGCATATCGACCGGTGCAAGAAGTCCTTGAAAAAGAAAACACGGTAAATTTATCATTGGCTCTATTTATACTGAAACATGAAATAGGTCCTCCTGTCAGTGTTCTGGCTTTGGCATGCTTGACTGCTTGTTCTTCTTGGCCTTCTGTCCCGCTAACTTGCTCATAGTTTAGCATACCGCCAACATAACAAGGTTTTTCGTGCTAATCTTTATAGGAACAGAAGGGTGATGCTCAAGGTCCAGCATTAAGATCGCTCACCTTGGACGATTTTGTTCAATCGAAGGCTAAGGTGACTGAACAGTAGTGCCCCATTGCGACATTTTCTTAGTGCAAAGCGATCTTGTGTTTTTCAAGTGGGGTTGTTTGATTGTTCTCACACCCTTGTGGTCTTAACAGGTTGGTCCCTCAGTTGCATTCGACGCCGCGAGCATGAACGAGTTGCGTAAATGGAACGAACAGTACGGGGAAGGAGGGAGTCGGCGGAAGTCTCCATTTGGTTTTTGAATTGAAACCAACGACATTGTATGATGTTTTCCCATCAAATTCTTTAGGAGAAATCATAGTCTTAGGAACGAAATAGGCAGAAGAAGATGAATGGAAACGTGAAGCCATATTCTTTCCTTTGTACCAGTCAGTAGCACAGCATAAGGACTTGGCTTTGGCAATGACAGCCCCGTGTACCATGTAACGTAGGGGGTGGGCAAACGGTTCGGCAAAACCGAACCGAAACCAAATTAAACCGAACCGAAACTGAATTAATGCTATTCGGTTCGGAATTCGGAAGGAAAATATGGATAGTTCGGAAACCAGGGGTTTTTCAACCGAACCGAATTTCCGACCGAAAAATCGAAATACTATAATTGCAAGCTCCAAATGGTGGATTTTTATGTTTGTAGTAGTTTTTAGACTTAAAGATTTGAAATGTTTTATGACTTATGTGTTGAAAAGTTTGATTTTATCATTGATGATGCATATAATTGATATTTATTGTTTATATTAGGGGTGAAAAATAATTTAAAAGTGAGAAAATACAAGTAGCTTCACAAATTCGGTTTTGGGTGAAAAACCGAACCAAATTGAATTATAATTCGGTTTAAACTGACCGAACTGAATTATAATTCGGTTCGAATTCGGTTTGAGAGAATTCGGGGACCCGACATTCATAATTTCGGTTCGGTCGAAACCGAACCGACCGAATGCCCATCCCTAACGTAATGAAATTTCAGGTTTATTTTAGTACTTATATATATTTTCCTCTTCCAATGAGTGGATTTTATTTTTAGCCAATAATCTATAACGGAATGAACTGTAGCATTCTTACAAACTAATAGACGATGAAATGCATTGTAGAATACTTACTAAAATAAGCTATAGAACTAGTCTTAATACATCGAATTATCACTTCTAAATTCTAATAAATGTATAACACATTAGGTCGTAAACCTTAAATTCTAAACCATCAGCCAAATTGTAACCCTAACCTTAAAATTGTAAATATTTAATGATCTTTTAGCATAACGTGCATACAAAAAAATAGTACACCAAAGACAAAATCACATACATTCATGTTGCTCGTTAAAGAATTTTATATATTGTACGCATAACATAATTAGACGCGAAAAATAAAAAAAATTACACCTTGTGAACCGAAAAAGAAAGAATGTTAAACATAATACTATAGTCGTTAATGAAAATCAATATTATCTAAAACAAAGGAGATCGCCTAGGCACTCCTTTCCTTCTATGTTTACGTTTGCTAATGATTTCCTTGTCAACATACACTCTCTTTCTGCTGCCTTTATCGATGTTGTCGACCATCTCAACCTTCCTAACATTGTCAACTTCTTCTTCTTCTTCTATGCAGTCCAACAGACTACAAGCGTTACTCATCTGCAATCAAAATTAGTAACAACATGATGATTTTTTTTTCTTCAAACGTATTGTGATTTCATTCAAATCGCATAAAATTCTAACCGTACAAACGAATGCGAGGAGGTAGTTAAGAAGGCTAGAGCTATACTTACATATTTGCACTCAATGGAGCAAAACTTGAAACTAGAACCTCCTTCTTGCTGTATCACCAATTCTCGTCCGCATTCTTCACATATTGGCATATCTCTATTGCTCAAAGTTTGTCCCCTCATTGGCCTTGCCTTGATGTAAACAACGTCCAAATAATTGATCTTGTAAAGCTGAATATGTGAGATGTCCAAGTACTTCCCAATAACCTTGATTTTCAGTGTTTCGTACTCCGAAGCTTTATATACCTTGATAAAATAAGAAATCAGACAAAATAAAAATAAAAAAAATCAGAAACTCCGACGAAAGAATTAGTGTTTAATGACTTTCTCAACATTAAGTAAAATATGACCGACTTACCTGAAAGACCAAGTGACTCTTGTGCTTACCGTTTGAATCGTTGCACAAATCACATAACATGGCGCCCTTGCAAGTTACGCAGAAGAAATTGCACTTTCTGTGATTATGGCTCTCGCATTCGCCATAGAACTTTGCCTTGAGTAGAAGCTCCACTAATTCTTTTTTATCCCTCATGGCTGATAATTAATACTACTAATCTGACTTCGTTGAACACATTCTCGCAATAGATTGCAGCCTATATATAGAGGCGGAAACCTGATTTGGGTGGAGACAGTAAACTCCTTTTCTTTGCAGAGTTTGGGAGGTTAAATCCATAAAGGATTTTGATTTTTGACTGCAAAACATTGTTAGGATAGGATTAGATGTATGCAAGTATGGGCCGATCAGGTATAGGCTGTAAAAGCAGGCCCATTAAATAAATACGGTCTTGGATTTTTACCTTCTAATCTTTTTGTGGAAATTTGCTGTTTTGTTACCTGGTTAGTCCAACCCGTTTACTTCCCGAAAATGTCATCGATTCTCTTTCGCTACGCCGCCCGTAAATCTGCCGGCGGCGGCGGCGGCGGCGGCCCCAATTTCCGGCAGGCTTTGTGTTATTCCCTATCCCTGCTCGACGGCTCGACGGTCGGCGCATTGTCGGCAAGTGCGAAGCCTGAATTCTCGAATAATCAGCTTCTGCGCCACTTCTCGCGTTTCTCTCGTGTCGCTTCTAGTTCCGACTTCCCGCGGGAAATTGCGAGACCGTGCGGCCTGAATTTGAGGTTCGCGGGGAGGATTTCGACGCTATCGAACAAAGAAAATCGAGGCAAAGGGGAGGAGCCTTTGAAGGCGGAGGTTTCGTGGATTGATCTCTACTTACCGAGATATGTACGGCCTTACGCCAAGCTCGCGCGGCTCGATAAGCCGATTGGGACTTGGCTACTCGCTTGGCCTTGTATGTGGTATGAGCTCTTCCTTTCTGTGTTGGGTTAGTTTTCGGTTTGTTGTAGCAAAGATCCATTGCTGCTAGAGAAACCACATTGAAGTTGTAGGAGTACTTGTTGGTGTTCATTTGCTAGATTTTCAATTTTGTAAGCGCCGATTGTGCTCGTCGTTCTTTCAGGTCAATTTCGATGGCGGCTCAGCCCGGCCATCTACCGGATATAAAGATGATGGCTCTGTTTGGCTGTGGGGCGTTGCTTTTACGAGGAGCTGGTTGCACGGTTAATGACCTTCTCGACAGGGATATTGACACCAAGGTATCATATTATTAGCTGCCCTGCTGAAGATTTCCATTGAATTCTGAGTTGGATTGCTAGCTTGCTCTGAGGATGATTGTGAGAGCTCTTGAAATGCAGGTAGAGCGCACAAGGTTAAGGCCGATTGCTAGTGGTCTTTTGACACCATTTCAGGGGCTATGTTTCCTCGGCTCTCAATTGCTTTTGGGTCTTGGAATTCTCCTTCAACTGAACGATTATAGGTTGGTTGCTAATCAATCTAATTCTTTTAACTAGCTTCCAAGGCTTTACAGTTTGTTATCTGATCCGATGTCATCCTTTAGATTTCTACAAGAGGCTGAAGTCAGGATCTTTGATACTTGTTAGTGCTAGGTTTAAGGGTGCACAAGCTGTACTGTTCTGGGGCTCTATTTTGGCTTTAGTTTTGCTGCATACAGTGTAGAATGAGCTGAATGAGGGTCTAGCATATTTGTGTTCCCTAATCCTAGTGTTACAAGAAACTAGTTTGTTGAATTTGTTTTTTTTCCGGTTTTTTATGAATAGTTGATGTTTTACAGCAAGATTTTGGGAGCATCATCATTGTTACTGGTTTTCTCGTATCCTCTCATGAAGAGATTCACCTTTTGGGTAAGCATGGTGGCTTATTCCATTGCTCTAGATTTTACTTGATGTTTACTTGCTTGACCGAATGTTTTTATGATGGGTTGCAATGTTTTGTCATCTATGATGTCCAGCCTCAAGCGTATCTGGGTTTAACGTTTAACTGGGGAGCTTTGTTAGGTTGGTCTGCTATAAGAGGAAGTCTAGACCCAGCTATTGTGTTGCCACTGTATGCGAGTGGAGTGTTCTGGACTCTCGTGTATGACACTATATATGCACATCAGGTATGGCTCTACGAACATATGTCTGCAGTAATATTCTCTTTGGTATATAAACCAATTAGTTAGCTTTCAGTAAAGGAAGTGTGTCTATTTTGATATCTCATACAGATTCTATTCTTTTGTTCCTGTACTGAAAAATGACAGTGAGTGCACATGTAGGATAAGGAAGACGATCTGAAAGTGGGTGTTAAATCTACAGCATTGAGATTTGGGGATTCAACTAAGCTATGGATCACTGGGTTTGGAATTGCATGCGTTAGCAGTCTTGCTGTCAGTGGATTTAATGCCGATCTTGGTAAACTTGTTTCCCTTTGACCCGTCCAATTTCTTATATGTTAATTAGTTATGACAATGAAAGGATTTTTGCTTATTCTTTTACCTTCCCTCCCCCCTCCCACTTGGCAAACAGGATGGCCATATTATGTAAGTTTAGCAGCAGCATCCGGACAATTAGCTTGGCAGATTCAGACGGTCGACCTATCCAGTCGAGCTGATTGCAACAGGAAGTAAGATGTGTAGTTCACCCTGTTTAAGATGTGTAGTTGTAGGCTTGAGTAGAACCCTGACTCAGCTGCTTCTTCATTTCCAGATTTGTGTCGAACAAATGGTTTGGCGCTATCATCTTCAGCGGGGTTTTATTCGGCAGACTCCTGCAGTAGCGATAAATAACACACCGAATACATGTACACAGGACTCAGGAGTAATGCTTGCACATCCCTATCACAGGTAGAGGTGAAATATGGGAATGATGGTCGTGGAAGTGTCAAAGAAGGCTCTTGGCCTCATCATGGCTGGTGTCTAAGAAGGTAGAGTCGCAAAAGGCCCATAATTAACTGTGTTAGGTTTTCATTCATTAGTGACAAATCGATGGCAGAAAAGAAGCAGGATTGTTTTCCATTGTATCAGTTTAATTAAGAAAACTTCTGATTCGTTCATTCAAGTAAGGCATCAATAACTTTTTTGGGAATTTGTTATAAACATAAGCTGATATTGATATTTGACAAAATGGTCATATTCTATAGGATGAATCATAGATATACATATACTTGAAAAGAGTATTGCTTGCAGAACATGAACATCAAGCAACACACTAACTCGAATCAGAACTGCTATGAGTACTTCTAATAGCAATACAAAATTAAGAACATACTCCTTTCCACCTGCATGAGAGAAAAGTTTTAACGCGCATGAAATGAACATAAGAGTTATAAGTTAAACCAAGTTTGGCCTATAGCTAGCTACCAACAGATGTTTCTCCAGCTTCAGTATGGGAAGATGTAAACTTGGTCGGATTTCTCTTCACCTTCTAGGCGTTGAACTTTCTATGATCATACATCTCATTCTTACCATACTCGAATCATCTCATTCTTACCATACTCGAACTTTCCCACGGGAGGATGGGAGACTGCTTTCTGGCAGTAGATGCAACCGTTGCGAATCAAATCTACATGCAGAGCGAAATCAGCATTGTCATTAATCTCGTGTATCTATCTGTCTATGTATAAGCAAAGTTACTAAACACCCTAAACTGAATGCAGTTATTGTTATCACGATGATGCTCGAATCAGATAGATACACACAATAACTACTCAACTCGCGATTGAGGCCAAGATGCTGATACAACACAACAACTAATATGATATAAGATCGATGTGAGGCCAAACAACAATCAATCTCCTACTCTATACAAAATAAGGGGATGATCATGATCTAATGAAATAAGCAAGCTAGTCATGCAGGTACATACCAAGTTAACAAACAAATATAAAAAAAAAAGATTAAAATAAAGAGTTAACAAATATGCTTAAACATCCCATAAACTAAATACTCGTAATAAAAGACGGGGAGAATATCATGATAACACTCTAGGAGTAGTCCTATTCACGATCCGAGGGGTCATGTTTAAACTCCACTGCTCTCTTCAAGAGTTAAGTGTAGCTATCCCAAGAAAGCGTTACTGAAATCGACGAATGTCACCCGGACGCCTTCAATAACAACCGGCAAAAGGTAAAAGCAGGCGGCCAGACGAAGTGGCTAACATTCCAATAAGATAGGATTAGAAATATCGCCATTCATGATGACGTGGGAATCGATTCAATAGTTCTAACAAGACCCAATCATATGATTTCGTCGTTGATCACGTCCACCTTGATGGGTGCAGAAATCTTGACCGGACCATTTTAATGACCGGTTGGCTGTTTCACTGGTCCACCCATGTGGTCTGGTCTGGTTTAATAATAACTAATAAGGATATAAATGTAATCTTTCTTTCTTTGGGGTTCTTTATTATGAACAACATGCTTTTCAGTTTGCTTGGAGCCAAGGTTGTCAACCCGCGGGTCGACCCACGGGTTGACCCACTTTAACATGACCCGGTGAGAATAATGGGCCGCACGCACCCGCCGGGTCGACCGCTACAAGGTATCGGGTTGGAGGTCAAATTGTGTCATTTTTTCTTTGATTTGCGAAATGCGTCTATTTTTTGATTTTTCTTTTCGCCTAACTCTATCTTTGGAATCCTAAGTTAAACATTTGAATATATATGTTATATAAGTGTGTGTAAATTTTCAATATATGTTGGATCTAAGTACGACATGTTATTTTGGTGGAATATTATATGTTATAACTCATATGTTAGATGAGATTTGATATAATTTATCAGGATAAGTACAATATAATGACTATTTTCATATTTTCCGGGCTAAACCGGGCTAAATCGGGTGACCCATTAACCCTTGACCCACTAGCTCCACCGGGTCTGGGTCAACCCGCGGGTTGACAACCTTGCTTGGAGCCCTTCATTACTCTGTGGCACAGATTGGAATGTAGCACCAATTGTTTAGTATGCCCCCGGACGCCGTCTCTCCCATGGTTTACTTCTTAAGAGGAGGTTTTTTTTCTCCAATTCACTGTGGTTCAACGTAGGGTCGTCGGAGACGCCGGATGCAAAAGTAACCCCTCCTCTTTTTAAGCATTTCTATTATGGTTTAAAGTATTGGTGATTTAAAGTATAACTTGAAGTTGTCTAAAGGTACAAATTCAAATTGTACCATATGACAATTTTACATTTATGTTGTGCTACAACTTCAAGTTGTAGTATAGCATAAAGATACAACTTTAATTTGTAGCATAAAGAAATTTTACAAAAAAAGTATGGATACAACCTAAAATTGTACATAAAAGTACAATTTCACGTTGTAAAAAAAAAACTAAACAACAGATACTTTAAAGTTATTATAAAACTAGATATGGGCCCGCCCGATGGGCGGATTTGGCTACCCATTTTAACCTAATATGAATATCGTCCGTTATCACTCAAAATATCAGAATCTTTGACTAATGCTAGCATTTAGATAAAAAGCATTATAAATGTATCCCACAATATCAATGAATATAGTTTATAAAGCAATGCTTTTCACTTCTACTTTGTCAGCCGAACAACGAACCCAAAGTCATAAATTAGAGCTCTTTACAAACCCCAAACAAATAAGAACATGATACAATGTTCTAGTCTAACTCACTGAAAATTGAAAACTCAGTATCAACAAAGGCACAGAAAAATGGGAGTCTGCTAATGGTATGATCATGAGTTCAAGCTTTGATACCTTCTTCCTTCTTGGATTTCCTTAATACTTCCAGACTTGTGTTGACATATGTAAAAAGGCAGAGATTTAACCAATTCCAATTAACATAAAAAGATGGTCTCATGAAATAGCTACATGTAAAATCGTAGTAGTTAAGCGCATAAAATAATTAGCCATAATCAGGTTGAACATGAATCATCAAACCCGCAAAAACTCTACAAATTAACATACAATGATATCACTTAGATTGAGTAGGAATTTAACTAATTGTAACTATTACTACGAAACATGAGTTAACAATAACATGCCGTACCTTATCTAAATTGCTCCATAACACTCCTATTTTCTGTTCCTCCGAAAATGGAAGAACCATGGTCGGTCTGTTCCACACTTCCACTGGACACCAAAATCTAATTAAACAGTAGATATGTTAAAAATAAAATTCCTCTTCTTTTAATATCTTAATTAATTTTGAATATAATAATATATAACAATATCGGGGGCGTGGCATTGGCATAGAAAGGGAATCCTCAGCGGGGAACGCGGCGGGCAGGGCGGAGTAGTAGCATGGGAAGAGGACGACATGCAGAGAGGGACGGCGGCGTAAATAATAAAAACACTATTCATCGGTAACCAACAGTAACTCTTTCAGGGCTGTGACGTTTGTAGACAGTACTGCACAATTATGCCCGTATCTGATCAGAAACTGACGATCCCCATATGAGCCGGCCCCCGGCCACCGCTCCTCCAGGAATATTAGGATTTTGTGATAAGAGAATAATTGGCAATCAAAACCTAATTTGCCTCTCTGTATTCAGTTATGATTTATACAACATTACAAGGGGAATCTGTTGAGAGGTTGAGGGAACGTGTACAGGAGAGAGGGAGAAGGTACAGGGATGTGGTGTAGTGGTTCCGAAGAATAGGTGGAAAATAGAAAAAAAGAATTATTATTCTTCTTTTTCTCTAATACGCCACTGCAAGATGGAGGAGGTGTCAACGACGCCAATTTTGGACCGGAGAAGAAGATAGCGTGGAGCCGGAAGAGGTTTGGTGAGTGTGTCCGCGAGCTGCTGAGCAGTAGGAATGTAGAGCACGTGAAGGCGACCAGCCTGGACAAGCTGGCGGACAAAGTGGTAATCAAGAGCCAAATGCTTCATACGAGAGTGGAAAACCGGATTCGAACTGAAATTGGTGGCACCCAAATTATCAGAGAACAAGGATGGCGGAGAGGAGAGTGGCTGATGTAGCTCCGTCAATAAATTCTGGACCCACTCGAGCTCAGCAGTAGCATGGGCAATGGCGCGATATTCAGCCTCAGTACTGGAACGAGCAACAGTCCGTTGCTTCTGTGAGCGCCAGGAAATGAGGGAGGATCCCAAATAGACAAGATAAGCAGAGGTGGATGTACGATCGTCGACATTACCAGCCCAGTCGGAATCGGCAAAGGCAGTGAGACGGAAGGGATGTGTAGCAGGGCGAATAGCTAAACCATAGGTGATGGTGCCGCAAACGTACCGGAGTAATCGTTTGAGGGACTGCCAGTGAAGGACCGTGGGTGCCTGCATATACTGAGAGAGTTTATTAACAGCGTACGCAATATCTGGCCTCGTATAGACAAGGTACTGAAGGGCCCCCAATGCCTGACGAAACCGAGTAGCATCCGTAGGGGAGGAGCCATCACGGAGGGACAGTTTGACAGATGATGCGAGCGGAGTGGAGACCGGGGAGGCATCCAACATATGGAAGCGGGTAAGAACATCGGTCATGTATTTGTGCTGAGAGAGAACATAACCGGTAGCCGTATGAATGATTTCAATGCCCAAAAAGTAATTCACATCACCGAGTTCCTTGAGGGAGAACTTGTGAGCTAGAGCCTGCTGAAAGGCCGAGAGAATGGCCGCATCATTACCTGTGAGCAACAGATCGTCCACGTAGACCAGGAAGTACATGGTAACACCGGGACGATGGTAGACAAATAGAGACGCATCGGACTGAGTCTTAGTGAACCCAAACTCAATAAGAAAAGAACTGAGAGCACTATACCATGCCCGAGGAGCCTGACGCAAACCATAGATAGCACGGCGAAGACGACATACATGAGTAGGACGGATGAGGTCGACAAAGCCGGGAGGTTGCTCCATGTAGACCTCATCATGAAGCGGCCCTTGAAGAAAGACATTGTTGACATCAAATTGCTTGATAGGCCAATGATGAGATAAAGCAATTGTGAAAACAGTACGCACAGTGACCGGCTTGATGACCGGGCTGAAAGTATCATGGAAGTCGACACCAGGCCGCTGATGAAACCCCTTGGCAACAAGACGACATTTGAATAAATTGATAGAACCGTCAGAGTGATGCTTGATACGATAGACCCATTTGTTCCCTAGCACATTGAAGTGAGGCTGGCGAGGTACGAGGTCCCATGTATGATTGTGCAGGAGAGCATTATTTTCCTTGTGAAGGGCAGCATGCCACTCTGGATATTGCATGGCATGGCGGACAGAACGAGGCTCAAGTGGGGGACTGCAAGTGGTGAGGTTGGCTTGAAACAGCCTTTTGGGCTTGTAGATCCCATCCTGGGCCCGTGTAGTCATGCGAAGGGTGCGCAGGAGGGGAGGAGGAGCCGTGGGCCTGGTTGTGGTTGGGAGGGGCGAGGAATGCTCAAGCCCGGCAGGCTGGGAGGGCCCAGCAGTAGAGGGATGGTCGGCGGAGCCCAATAGAACTGGGAGAGGCCCAGTAGCGGTGGACGGGCCAGGAGCTGAATGTGCGTGTGTGGGAGACGCCGCGCGGGGGGAGCTGCTGCCGACTGAAGGGGAATGGGCCGAGCTGCCTGCTTGGGGAGGCCGAGGCCCAGAGAGAGGAAGGGAGGTGATTGTAGGCCCAGTGTCAAACAACCAATTGTCCACCGAAGAAGTCCCTGCAGAAGAGTTAGAGGGGAATCCAGGGAAGGAGTCCTCGACAAAACGTACATGGCGGGACAAAAAAGTGCGCTGAGTTTGAGGATCAAAGCATTTATAGGCACTACGTTGTGGACAGTAGCCAATGAACAAGCATGGACGAGATCGAGGTTCAAGCTTGTGAGATGAGTAGGGACGTAACCAGGGATAACACAAGCAACCAAAGACACGAAGCTTATGATAGTTAGGAACAATGTTGAAAAGAGTAGTGTATGGAATATGACCACGCAAGGCGGAGGACGGAAGACGATTAATTAAATAAGTAGCAGTAGAGAAAGCAAAGGACCAAAAAATTGTGGGGAGATGAGCATGATGCAGAAGAGTGATACCGGTTTCGACAAGATGGCGATGTTTTCTTTCGGCGAGGCCGTTATGCTCAGGAGTATGCGGAGGGGTGAGGAGATGACTGATGCCATGATCAGCCAGTGTGGAGCACAATTTTTGAAATTCACCCCCACCATCGGAGTAAATGCGACAGATGGTAGTGGAAAAATAGTTTTCAACCATCTTGCGAAAAGCAGTAAACACAGACAGAACATCAGACTTAAATTTCAAGGGATAATACCATGTATAGCGGGAAAAATGATCAACGATTATTAAGTAATAACGAAAACCATCAATAGAGGGAACTGGTCCGGGTCCCCAAACATCCGTATACAATAAATCAAATGGTCTAGAGCTGGATAACGAAGAAACGGAAAAAGGAAGTTTATGACTTTTATTGGAGAGACAAGAGGGACAATGACTACTGACGAGAGAGGATGATACTGGTAGAGAGTGAGTGCGGAGGAGACTGGCAAGCGAGTGAGGAGATGGATGACCAAGACGAGCGTGCCAGGAGGAAGAGGAAGTGCGGGTGGTGACAAGAGCAAGACGAACGGTGTCCACATCACTAGGAAGCTCGTAGACATCCCCATTATTTACCCCTTTCAGCAGCGGCGCCCCTGTGCGGAGATCCTTCACAACAAAACAATCAGCAAAAAATTCCACCGAAAGGGGATTAGTACGACACAGCTTTGCCACAGAGATAAGCTTGCGTTTAATAGCAGGGGGACATAAGACATCGTGTAAGTGAAAGGAAGCCATGGAATGGTGTAAATGAGTAGACCCAATATGGGTGATCTGCAAACCTGTGCCATCGCCAACCATAATTTCGTCAGGGCCAGTGTAGTCGGAATAGAGGGACAGATTCCCTAAATCAGAGGTAACATGATGCGAGGCCGCGGAATGGAGTAACCATGGGCTAGAGGGCGGAGCACGACCGGCAGTAGTGAGATGGGCCTGAGATTGACGGGCCTGATATAATTGACGAGCCTGTGGAAAGAGTTTAAAACACTGGCGGACAGAATGGCCAGGTTTCTCACAAAATTGGCATGTGATAGGGGGCCTGCGTGGGCCAGAAAAAGGGGGCCCAGTGGAAGTGGAATCTGGCGGCCCAAAGGAGTGGGGCAATGGAAGTGGGCTGGAGGCCCTTTGGTAATCTTCAGAGGCCCGAAGTGAGGGAGCCCGCGGGGAATGGAACCCTCCATGCGGGGATCGGCCACCACTGTGGCGAGAGGAACTGCCGCCGCCCTTGTTGTATCCCTGTGAGAAAAACGCAGTAGGAATAGAGTGTTTCACTTTCGAGTTGAGATCAGACTCGTACTCAACCAGGGAGTCAACGAGATCCTCCAAGCAAAGTCCAGGCCCGCGAGCGCGAATGGCCGCGGCAAAAGCGCCGTATTCTTCTCCTAAGCCGCGAAGGCAATGAACGACAAGGTCTAGATCGGAGGCAGGGGCACCAATGAGCGCCAGTTCAGTGGCGATATTCTTGAGATCATTGACGAAGGTCATGACGTCTCTGTCGCCCTTGACAGTCGTGGCGAGTTTGCCCTTCAGATGAATAACACGGGACTGAGCGTTGCTGGCGTATAACTTTTCGAGGGTCAGCCAAGCCTCACGAGATGTGGATGCGGCAGAAACGAAGGAATAGATCGATTCAGAAATGGAACACCGCAAGGCATGAAGAATTAGCTTGTCTTGGCGAAACCAGTTGTGATATGCCGGATTGGGCGAGGCCACAGCGTCCACCATGACTGTGCGAGGAGGAGCGATTTTTGTACCATCAATGAAGCCGAATAAATCAAGGCCCATAAGCAGCGTTTCGAGCTGAGAGCGCCAGGAGGCGAAATTGGTTGAGGTAAGCTTTAATGGAAGCAGGGCAGCTGGGTTAAATGTGATGATTGTGGCGACTTCGGCCGAGGGAGTGGCATCAAGAACCTCGGCTCCACTGGACATTTTGATTGGGCAGAAGGGAAAGAAAAATGACAGAAGGGGAAGAAGATTTGGATCGGTGCTTAGCTGAGCGTTGCTAGCTCTGATACCATATTAGGATTTTGTGATAAGAGAATAATTGGCAATCAAAACCTAATTTGCCTCTCTGTATTCAGTTATGATTTATACAACATTACAAGGGGAATCTGTTGAGAGGTTGAGGGAACGTGTACAGGAGAGAGGGAGAAGGTACAGGGATTAGGGATGGCAATCAAACCCATGGCCGCGGGTATCTGACCGCCCCCGACCCAGTCAACGCGGGGAATCCCCGCTTTGACCGGGTATGGGGCGGATATGGGTAAAACCCGCAAAAAGTTTGATGGGTATGGGGCGGGTATGGTTTTTGCCTCCCCCGCCCCATACCCATCCCCATACCCGCCCCACCAAGATAATTTCTTCATATATAAAAAAAATATGTGCATCAAATTATAATCTATCAATGATGATGAGGATAACTTGAGAAAAATAAATAGTAGAAATGCAATTGATTGACCACCTTAATCAAAATCTAATTCATTTCTCTCAATCCTTATTTCACTCTTTCACTTTCCCCCTTGTCAACAAGATTATGTTAGTTAATTATTACTTAGTAGATGTATCAGAGTTAGAACATAATAATTTGAAAAATATTATACTCTATATTATGTATTAATGGATATTTTAGGATCATAATCTTTGAACCATTTTAAAAAATGACCGTGTTTTATTGACTTCATGATATAATATGTTCGTTTAGAATTATAATTAGAACTTTTCATGTAAGTTTTAGGTATAATAATGTTGGATGTACGGGTATGGGTATTACCCATGGGTACCCGAAACCCACGGGTATGGGGATGGGTTTGCAAAACATTCCCCGCACGAGTATGGGGCGGGTATGAGTTTGGGTATTTGAAGATGGGTATGGGGATGGTTTAAGCAAACCCGCCCCAAACCCGCCCCATTGCCATCCCTAACAGGGATGTGGTGTAGTGGTTCCGAAGAATAGGTGGAAAATAGAAAAAAGAATTATTATTCTTCTTTTTCTCTAATAAGGAAGACGTCATCACACCAGCTAGCTAGCTAGATGTGGTCAAATTGCAACCACCGCTCTCTTTGACTGCCACGTGGTAAATCTAGCCCGCATGCATGCAGTTGCGCAGGTGTACAGTAACAGGGGATGGGGATGGGGACGGGAGAAAAGCCAGCTCCCCGTCGAAATATCGTCATGTTCATGTCATGCCCATCCCCTTTTCTTTTTCTTTGTGTTCAGACGCGTATATATATAACCACTCAATTTTCCACACATGATTGCCGAAGATTAATGGGTAATAGCAGCTCATTTCATGCTTTTCCACGGCTTTCTTGAACTATTTGGTTTTCGCTCGATATCTCTCTCTCTAGCTAGTTGGGAGAGAGAGAATCGAAGCTAGCTAGCTCGAGAAAGTCGTGGGAAACTATGAAATGTTTTTGTGTGGATTGCTTGTATGGATGCATGGTAAGGAAGGAAGACCGCGATACTAGAGCTGGTAAACCTCGAAACCCTTCAAGTAGGTTTTTTTTCTTCTTCTTCCTAAACATGGCGGTGTGCCATTTTGATTAGGAGAATGTACATTTGGTTCTTTGAAAGTCCAGAGGAAAATATACGTAGTAGTAGTAGTCACAGGCTCATTGCGCTTCGTCATCATTGAATTTTCACTGAATTTAGCATTGTTGGAGTGGAGAAGCTAAGCTATATATTAGGGTTACAAGCATGCTCATCCATTTTAAGAACATTATTAATGTTAGTATGTTACATAGTGTCTGCAATCATTTTTTGGTTTGTGAATAATAGCAAGTTTCTTTGCAAATATTACCATGCTCGCTGACAAGCATTAGGAATTCTGCGTGTAAATTCTAGCAAATCCATTTATGTGTCGACGACATACACAATTTTTTCAGTAATTTTTGGTCTTGGACAATGGACACACACTAAAAATAAATAAATAAAAGTAGGGTTAATATTTTCGTATGACCTGAACTTTGACCAAAATAAATATTATGGCCAATCTTTTCGATCTATAACATCCTGACCCGAACTATACACCAAAATAAACAATTTGGCCAGATCCTACTTTTGACTGTTAACTTGGACGGTCAAACGCGTTGACCGTTAGTCAACGCGCCATGTCACTGCCAAGTCAGCATAAAATATTTAAAATAATTCACAATTTCCACACATTCTCTAATTTTAAATTATTATAAATTAAAAAAATCATCTAATACCTTAGTTAAACCAAAATAAAAAAACGAAAAAATTAAATATTTATCAGATCTTCTTACTTGGCAGTGACGTGGCGCGTTGACCGTTAATCAACGCGTTTGACCGTCCAAGTTAACGGTCAAACATCGGGTTTGGCCAAATTGTTTATTTTGGTGTATAGTTCGGGCCAGAATGTTATAGATCAAAAAGATTGGCCAGAATATTTATTTTGGTCAAAGTTCAGGTCATACGAAAATATTAACCCATAAAAGTACTACTGAACCAAGGATAAGGAATTTGGGCCTCTAATACGAGCCCGCTTTCTTGGTTTCTAGAAAGGCCCAAATAAGTTAGACCGACTAGAACCTTGTGTATAAACCCCGAACTTCCAATTGGGAGCTTTCATTCTCTATACAAAAATTGCGAAGCTCGGCTGAAATCCTTAAGCGGAGGTTTCATCCCCGAAGTCAGCGAACGAAAGAAAACTTTTTTTCCCACCAAAACATCCATGGCGGCCAGCGTAGTTCCACCGGGGCGGGGAGCCCGCAGGGCGACCACCGACGACGACAAGCTTGTCTTCGAGACGACGGACGGCATCGAGCCGGTCGCCAGCTTCAACGACATGGGAATCAATAACAGTCTGCTTCGTGGAATCTACGAGTACGGGTTCGAGAAGCCTTCCGCCATTCAGCAGCGAGCCGTTATGCCGATATTGAAAGGCCGAGACGTCATTGCCCAGGCACAATCCGGTACCGGAAAGACCTCCATGATTGCCCTCACAGTTTGCCAGGTCGTCGACATCAACAGCAAAGAGTAAGCTGTTTTCCCCCTCTTTTTTTAATTTGCTTTCCCCCTGCAAACCCTAATTTCTATATGTACTTTGTTTTGCTTGAAAGATTCGCTTTTCCTAGATGCCCTAGGTTTTGAAGATAGCCCGAATGCTTTGCTTCTTTCTTTATGTTAAATTTGTTACAACTTCAAGCGGAAGCTTTAGTAGCCTTAAAGATTGACAAATTACACCCTTTTAAGAAGAGCTTCCTACTAAGCTTGTCCTGAGTTCATTGTGGAGCAGGCTTAGGCCGATTTATGAATCGTTGAATGTTATGATTTCCAGTGAGCAAAAAGTTTGCTGGAAAAGGGTTCATTGATGCTGGGGGAGTCTAAATTTCTTAAGGATGGGACGGTCTAAGTTTGTTGCCGCGGACAAACACTTATTATGCTTTCCTTCATTAGTAGCAAATTTCTGGGTTCTCGAGATATGGACAGTCATTGTTTGAAGCAGTGTCTAGTATTATTTTTCTTTCCAAACAACAGTGTCTGCTTCAAATTGCGTATCTCTGGTTGATGTGAATATACCGGGTCCTTTGCATTTCTGACTTGGTTCGCTTCTATCCGGCAGGGTGCAGGCATTGGTATTGTCACCTACACGGGAGCTGGCTTCACAAACAGAGAAGGTTATCCTAGCAATAGGTGGCTATTTGAACATTCAAGCTCATGCATGCATTGGTGGAAAAAGTGTGGGTGAAGATATTAGAAAGCTAGAGCATGGGGTTCATGTTGTATCTGGAACACCAGGAAGAGTATGTGACATGATCAAGAGAAGGACTTTGCGCACTAGAGCCATTAAACTATTAGTCCTTGATGAATCCGATGAGATGTTGAGCAGAGGTTTCAAGGATCAAATATATGATGTTTACAGATATCTTCCACCAGAACTTCAGGTTCCCTCCCGATGCTTACTCACAAAATTTCCCATTTCTGTTTATGGATGTGTAGGCTACAACTATAGCTTTCCAGCTAAACTGTGTGTGCTTACACTTCCTATTGTTGAGATATTCCGTTCTCTTCCTACTTTTCTGAAATCTTTTATCCAATACTCTTAGGTTTGCTTGATCTCAGCCACGCTGCCGAATGAAATTTTGGAGATGACAGGAAAATTCATGACAGATCCAGTGAAGATCCTAGTAAAGCGTGATGAACTGACTTTGGAGGTATGTAGTTGTGTCATTTGTGTACCGAATAGCAATAACTCATAGGCCGAATTGAGATCATGGAACTTTTTGTTGCATCTTTGTGATGACAGGGTATCAAACAGTTTTTTGTTGCTGTCGAGAAGGAGGAGTGGAAATTCGATACTCTTTGTGATCTTTATGATACACTTACCATCACTCAAGCTGTTATTTTCTGTAATACAAAGCGGAAGGTAAGTTGCTGCTAAAACTAAAATATTTATGTCTATTTGTTTGTGCTTGAGATCGACATCTTCAATGCATGTACGTTTCTTCAGTTGTTTTTGACCTGTCAAAACTTTTGAAGATTGGTATTTGCTATCTGGTTTTGCAATAGATACCATATCTCTTACCCCCTGATGGCTGTGCACGTACACATGTTTCTAACTGCAATTTCACCCCTTCATATCCTGCTAGACCATATCTTTTAATAACGGCCATCAAGTTGCTGCTAAGTAGATAAAAAAGTGAAAACTTGGAATTAAATGGTGGTGTTGATTGTTGAAGCAGAAGTGAGCTACAAAAGTCCAATTATGAACCCGATTGTGTTGCGTTTCCCTTCTGCCTGTAGTTTATAGATTAGGAAAGCATTTATTGTATAATTCATTTCTCGAATAGGTATGAATCTGGTTTGATGCAAGTGGAAAAATTGATTGAGGTATCTGTAACAGGTTGATTGGTTAACTGAGAAGATGCGCTCCAGCAACTTCACAGTCTCGTCTATGCATGGTGACATGCCTCAGAAAGAGAGAGATGCAATTATGAAAGAGTTCAGGGATGGCACTACACGTGTCCTCATCACTACTGATGTTTGGGCCCGTGGACTAGACGTTCAGCAGGCATGTTTCTTTCCTTGTTTCTTTCTATTGATCATTTTAACTTCATTCTTGTAGTGAGCTTCCCTGGTGTTTCATTTGAGTTTGTCACCAATATCCTGTCAAAAAGCAGTAGCCTGGGAAACACTTGGTTCATTGGTGTGATCTTAAACTGTCTATCAAGCCTGATTGTGGTTGCGTTGACCAACTAACTCTGCAGGTGTCTCTTGTGATCAATTATGACCTGCCAAACAACCGTGAGCTGTACATTCATCGAATTGGTCGGTCTGGACGTTTTGGACGCAAGGTTTGTGATTCCTTTCAACTATCCTGTTGATATATGTATTTTCAGGTTCTTTTTTCCCCAACCTGGTGAAAGGGTTGACATGCTTGGGTTTGAACTGACGCAATGAAATCATGTGTTAATTGTGCAGGGTGTGGCCATCAACTTCGTGAAGTCGGATGATATCAGGATTTTGAGAGATATAGAGCAATACTACAGCACCCAGATTGACGAAATGCCAATGAATGTCGCTGACCTGATATAGAGAAGGCTGTTATGGTTTGCCAGTGTTGTGGTGAGATTTGATTGCTTCTCCAAGCTAGCTCAAGGAAGTGCGTTGGTGTTTGTTGTTTATGGTGCTGAAATGACTCCCTTCTGTTCCTGTGAGAAAGAGAGATGGAGAGAGAAATGTGTACAACTTGTGTTAATTTTTGGTGCGCGGAACGTTTCTGTTTGCTGTTTAGGATTTAGGGCATTCTCATGGTATAATGCAGTACTTGAATCTGAAATTCAAGTGTCTTCTCTTCTGTGCCCCTCTCGTAACCTTTTTTTATGGTTATTAATTGCGCTACCTGGATTGTATTTATTCAAGTTATATTGATTTCTCGTCCGCCAATCATCGTGGTGAGGCACAAGCTTATGTCCGATAGACCAAAAGCGTCTATTACCCGTGGACGTAGCCTGACCAGTGACCACTGAACGAGCCTTTGTAATCTATTTTTAACTACATTTTCGATGAATAACACAAGTACAAAACATGAAAGTTCATTTTCACCCAAAAATGAAACGGAAAACGCAGGTTTGATAAACTAGATGAACGGAAGACCCAGTTCTCTCAGCTAGCAGAAATGGTTGGGGTCCTGTCTACTTTGAATGAGAGGAACACCATCTTCCCTCCACACTATCCTTTCTTCACATAGTGCAGCGACCACTTCTTTGTATAGCTTATGTTCCTGAAGCATCCGCAAACAAGAATAATATATGCAAACTTCAGTAGTCCGGCAAGTCTGCCCATGCTTTACAGTTTACACAGAGAACAACTGAATAAAAGGCTACCTCTTTCAGAACTCTGGCAGCTAGGTCCTCCGGACTATCAGTTGAAAGAACTGGGACGACCATTTGAGCAAGGATACGCCCAGTGTCATAGTGCTCATCAACAAAGTGAATCGTCGGACCTGAGTACCTAACAAACACATTTGACAAGTAGAGATGGGGCGAACGAAAATGACAGATCAGGACACTGTTTCATTCAGTTCAATCTAATGCAGAGGTTGAATTTCCAGCTCCAGTTACCTTGCACCAGAGCTAATGACGGCTTTATGCACCTTCATCCCGTAATACCCTTTTCCTCCAAAGGCCGGAAGAAGCGATGGATGAATATTTAGTATGGCACGAGGATAAGCCCTGATCAACTCCACTGGTATAAGCTTTAGAAACCCAGCCAAGAGCACAAACTCAACTTCAAAGTTCCTTATCAGAGACAACAATATGAAGTGTAAACATCACATTTGCATCAAGTTTACGCGAGGAAAGAAAATTCAATCCCTTGTCTTTCGGCAAAGTATGGAACCTGAGAGCATCCACAAGGCTAGTTGGGGATAATCCATCAGCACCATCTTTTGTTCTAGGGAACTGAAGAACTGGGATGTCTTTGTTTCTGGCATACTCAGCACCTCCACAGTCTGTAGACGTTCACAGAAAGATCTAACCATATCAATGAATTTTTTTTTTTTTTTTTATAGAAACCTTCGTGAGATTGTATTAATTTCCAGAACCATTTACATTATCAGCAAGTGGTTGATCAACTAAGAAGATAGGAGGTCTATCTACCCACACAATCCCCTCATTCCAGTGTGTCTCAATGATTTCAAGTGGTGAAGGTTTATCTTGGTTGAGATGCATAGTAAGAATGGAGCGAAGTAATTGCATTTCTGTGGAAGATTACTAATCGACCCAGAAACGAGCTACGAAGCCTAACAATGCTTGCCATTGATTTAAGAGCCAGCAGAGTAGCATTCATCAAGAGCAGAAGTGGGAGAGAGAACAGAAGTTTTGAGCTCAAATAAAAGCTACAGCGAAAGAGACTGTTTACCAGTTTTATTGGTGACCAAAGCAACAATTTCACCACGAACGGATCCCTCGACACAAGCTTCATGAATCGATTTGAAATTCGACCCTCCACCAGATACAAAAACTGCTAACTTTTTCTTCGCAACCCCTGGTTTCTTCTTCTTCTTCTTCTCTTCGGCAGAATTCTTGATTGATTCCCGACTCGCCCTAATGTTAATGCATTCCAGATTTGGTAAAAACCGGCTCTTTCTTGTCCTCGGAGAAGCTGAAAATTGGGCGTCTTCGAAGTAGAGCCAGCGGTGGGCTCGAGCGGACCAGCAACAAGGCAGAGCGAGGAAGGGTTTATTGAGGGTTTTTGGAACTGGTGGTGAGAAAACGGAATTCGAACAGAAATCGGATATGAAACAGCGGGAATCCATGTTCTGATGATCTAGTTTGTCGAATCGCTGAAACCTAATTTTACGATTCGATGGATGAAATAACCTCAAACTCAGGACACTACTAGGTGCACTGTATACTGTACTATACTTCTTCTTAGACAGGTTCCCGGCGGCGCCGGCTGAAGCTAAGCTAGAGCGTCTGTGTTTGTGCTGCAGCGCCGGAGTTTCAGTGCTAAGCTCGAACTCTGACGGCGGCGGAGCGGCGTCGGAGTTTCAGGGGGTCAGTTTCTGATTCGGGGTGTGTTATCGCGGTGAATGTTGTATGGGCTTGGGCCTAGCATTTAGTCAACCTTTTCGTGGCCCCTAAAAGCCCACAATTGCTTAATGATCTTTCAGAACCCTAGTGTGTCTATGACTTCAAAATGAACATCACGAAATATTGATTAGGAGGTAAAGATTAGTATATCATTTTTGTGTTCCAACTTCACTCTTTAAAAAGTACACCTTTTACACGTGCATCAGTCATAGTAATTTCAAAGGAATATATACTCTTTTATTACTAACAATATTAACACTTTAATATACGCAGTTAATTTTATCAATAATTTCTCATAATACACATTCTCTTCTAATCACAATTCCAAAACTACCATCTTATCATAGAACTGTGGAAACAAGCATCTCAATCAATCTTAATGTGTCATAAAACGGATTGTAAAAAGAAAAGGAGTATTACCAACTATCAAGTAATCACCTCTCACAAATCTCAATGAGTACAATAAAATATCATAACGCAAAATACAATATAGGCGGATAAAAAAGCTGAGTCACGTAATGCTAGTTCTCAAAAGCTTGCTCCTCTACAGCTCTACTTATACAGTTATACCAACTTGAAAAAACATTACTTTTCTTTCTATGATAGGAGACCCGGACCCGTAGAGAGAGAACATTACTTGAAACAACAAATTCTCCTTCCACAACACTAAGTTTGATACACAAGCAACATGTTAGCAATGGGAGCTTAACGCAAGTAGCACGATAGAATTCACCTTCAATCATGCTCTCTGTATTATAACTCTTGCTTTCCCTTCAAAAATTGGTTTGGCAGTTTGATACTACAACTACAAGCCCCCCAAAAATCTGCTCAGTAGAAGCAGGCATTACTTTTAAATCATGATATATTATCACTAAGAAACCCCCCTCTTAGCTATCTGTACAACTGAAATCATCCCCCTTCCTCAGAACTAATACCTATCCATCCCACTGCATTCCAACTGTCAGTAACAACAAACAAAAAGAGACACTCTTTCAGAACTCCATTACCCTGGAAGTGAGGTTGAGCAAAGGCTCCAATGCACTTGCATCAAACTTCCTAGCAAACAGATGGCAAATAGGGGTCACTCCCGAATTGTAGGAACACAGCGTTTGATTCATCCGGATCGATTGTATGAACCCTTCAGTGATATTAACCGCACTGTACGTTGCTGGATGCGGGCCACCCAGTGACCAATCGACCCAAGTCACAGTTCGGTTAGAGTTCATTGATCCATGGAAAATGTTGATGAAAGTTGGGAGGAAATGCTCATCAGGGTAGCAAGCAGGGGTGCAGTATTTCTTGAACAGCCTGTGGTACTTTGTGTCCGAGACCACATAGGCAGCTAAGGCCCGCTGCATCTCGAACCACTGAGAACCTTTCCTCCATTGTCTGATCCAGATGTACGGAAGCATCTTCCTGCTGTATCTGCCACGTCCGTACCGGGATGGATCATCATAGGCCTCCACAAACCCGTGCTCAGAATGGACGAGGTAGTTGTAGACTGTTTTGAAATTATAGACAGGGATGCAGCTCTCTGAGAGAAGAATGAACCGCTCGTTTGAGAAATCCAGCAGGGCATTCGCAAGGAGGCGCCTCTCAGCGTCGAGCAGTAATACCGATCCCCATTCCACATGCTGCAAAGGGGAAGAAAAAGAAGCACTTTAAGATTTGAGAGACATCCCAAGGAATAACTAGTTTAACTATCATGCTTTATACCAATGCCCAACGGTTACTGCACTAGATTCTACTGTTTTGTATTTTACTAACCATCAAGTGCTGGATGGTATTTCACTAGCTTAGATATAAACTACAGTGTATAAATTCGTCAAAAGACAGAAGCATAGCAACTTCTGTAGTTTATTATCATCAGTTAAATAAAGAGATTCAAGTCCAACCTAAATCCAAATTTAATGATGTGATTCAGAGAAGCATGAGAATGATATGAATCAAGCAAGCTCCAAACGTTCCCTTTCTAATCACAACATATTAACCATATATAACTGCAAGTTTTGTTTCCTTCTGTTAGTAAAACGAAGAGTAATCAATTCTGTCTGTAATTGTCATCCATATGCCGCCCATAACGTAAACCTGAGTAATATGCACTTACATATCAAATCCATGCTCAAGCAAGATTTGACCCACAAAGTTCATCAAGACTAATAGCAATTCTCACAAGATTCACCCACCTGCCTACTGAAACTCAATGCCTACAAGCTATTGATATAGTTACAGTCCTTTATCTCCCTCACCTTATTCCACTAGTGTGATATGGAATAGGTAGTTGGAAAATGGTTCTCCTAAAAATGTTTCCGTGCTATCTAAGCTAGTAAGCTAAAAGGACACAACCAACATCTGTGGCATCATGACAAAGAAACGTAATCCATATCCCAAACAAACTTCTCAGACAAGGGAGAAACAATCCATACCTTACTAGGAATCTGCCTTCCATAGAACGGAGAACCGCTGGAAACATTGAACACATAACCAGGATCGGTATGAACATAAATAGAGAAGTACTTATCATGGCCCCTAAAGAACCTCTCCCACAGAGGCAACAAGGGCAAAGGCCCTCTAGTCAAGAACATGAAAGCCACCTTAGGGACTCGATCAAAGGGATACTCTTCCTTCTTAGGAACCAAAGAAGCCCTCCAGAAAAGCTCTCGATCACTCATTCCATGCGTCAAGTTATGCGGGTGAAGAAACGTCTTGATGCTCAAACAATCAACCTTGCTGTCACCGTCACAAGACTTGCAATTGCAAGGCTCCGAATTTGTTGTGTTGCACTTGCTGCTGCTGCTGCTGCCATCGGATAAAATGCTCGTGGTAGTAACAGCAAAGTTGGAAGTGAACAGCAAATCCCTCTGTGAATTGAAGAGGCTGTTGATGTGAGTACTAGCTAGCAAGCCAAGAATGATCCCAGCAACGAATACCAGTAAAAATGAGAGAACTTGCAGCATTTTGAGCAAGCCCAGGTGGGTAATCTCGGAGCCATCTTCCCCTCTGTTGTGCCTCGCCATTCCTTTCTTGATCATTTAGTCAGTTCATTAAAACCCGCCGCGTCCTTTTCGAAAAATCCCCCTACCCTAAAGTTCACAGCTTTCCTGTGAATTCGAACTGAATAGAGCAAAAAAGCTCTATAAATCTGACATAACACACAAAACCGAGGCGAAAGCAAGATTAAGAATCGCAAGATGAAAGAACCCCAGAGTCCCAAAATCCCGGGACAAGAAGGGAAGACTTGACGAAGGACCCAAAAGACAGAAAAGGCTCGAAACGAAAATCAGAAAGCGACAGGGCCTATTGGGTTCATCTTCTTCTGATGATCGAGTCAAAACAGTAAACGTCGCCGGAATCCCGATTTGATATTGTTGATGGGACGGGGAGTAAATTAGAGAAGGAAGAAGATTAGGGGGGAACTTTGGGGATACCGGGAATGGAAAGCTGAATCAGACGTCACTAATGTGCGGAACAGACAATATGGAAACAAATATGGGGAGGGGAAGCGAGGGAAAGAGAATTTCGTTGGTTTCGGAGCAATGGGGGGAGGAGAAGAAAACGACGGGCGGAGGTGTGTGGGAATCTCCGATACGAGACGGAGAAAGAGAGAGAGAGAGAGAGAGAGTGTGGAATTCTTGGATTGGAGGAAAGCAGCAGCGCACGTCTGGAGATTGGATTGATAATTGAAAAAAAAATCGGCCACTGTCTTTCTCGTTCCCTCGCTCCTTCTTCTCTTCTCCCTTGGGTTTTGGTTTTTTTTTTTTAATGTTTTTGCGTGTCTAATCATGTTAGGATAGGATCATAGGAAATTTCAAATTAGGAATCTTCTTCATGTGTGTGTTACTTGTGTGACTGAGTGCGTCTTATCTCTGGTTTCTCTTTCGTCTGGTCAGCGGTGGTTTTGACCTAAGAATCAACTTAGTTGGGCTGGGCCTGCTACAAGTCTTTGACCCGGCCCATGTAAATCAGTGACCCGGCATTAGTAGTAGGCTAGTAGCTTCTTTTAACCAGTGTAGTAGTTGCAGTCTTTAATCTCGTCTCACACTTGTGAGTTGTGACAATGTAGCTAACAAGGGTTGTTGCTAGCAATACTTTTTTATGAACAAAACCTACCGTTTCGTAAAAAAAAAAGTATATTAATAATGTTATACAAAAGTCATTATAGTGTTACCTCTACATTTGTCTCGCGGATATCATGGACATCATTTCACAATTTGCTCATTTTTATCATATCCAACTCTTGATTTTAACATGCCATTGAGTTTCTTCAATTTTGATTGAACAATAGATCCTTGTTGGATCCCTTGAGGATTGCACAAAATTCGGATTTTTGTGAATCTGCCTCGAGATCCAAGGCCAGTACTAAACAAGTATTCCGGGCTAATTATAACACAAATGGATCAAAACTCCATCACCCTGGAAGCGAGATCAAGCAAAGCCTCCAAAACACTCGCATCAAACTTCCTAGCAAACAGATGACACGTAGACGCCACCCATAATTATAAGCACACGACGTCGTCTGGTTCCTCCGAATCGACCGCACGAGGCCCGCGGTCGTATTCCCCGCACCATACTTCTTCGGATGCTTCCGACCCCGGCCCGAAGCCGACGACCAATCGGCCCACGTCACGGTCCGGTTCGAGTTCTCCGACCCACGAAACATGTTGACAAAAGTCGGGAGAAAATGCTCGTCAGGGTAACAACTCCCGTTGCAGTGCTTCTCGAACAGCCCGTGGTACTTTTTGTCGGAGACCACGTAAGCGGCGAGGCTCCTCTGCATCTCGAACCACTGCGAACCCTTCCTCCAGTGTCGGATCGAGATGTCGGGAAGCATGTCGTCGCTGTACCTGCCGCGGCCGGAGCAGGTTGGATCGTCGTTGGACTCGAGGAAGGCGTGTCGGGATTGGAGGAGGTAATTGTAGATGGTTTGGAAGTTGTGGATTGGGATGCAGGATTCGGAGAGGAGGACGAAGCGCTCGTTTGAGAGTTCCAGCAGGGCGTTTGCTAGGAGGCGCCTCTCGGCGTTGAGGAGCGATATTGTTCCCTATTTGACATGTTGTAGAAAAATATGATTGGACGAATTAATTAATTTTCTATACCATTGATTTCATGATGGACATTTTGATCATTTGTTCATTATCGAAACTCTCTAATCTCCAAATATATCGGTCAATCGTCATATTAAACAAATCTTAGCGA